TTTGCTGATTTTGCCCTGAACGGGATTGACCAGCCAATTCGAAGCTGCCATACTCACCTAATCGCTGGCGCCCATCCACGATACACAAGAAGCCCATTGCACAACTAGACGCCGTCTGCAAATTGGGCACCTACGAGGCCAATGGACACAGTGAACATCAAGGAATCCATTACAGTGCTCTTACGTACACCTACAGCAAGGAAGAGCTGGAAACGAATCAAATGGAAGCTTCAAGTTGTGCAAATGGCGGGGGCCATCGTGATCCATGATCTCACAAGGCACGCAAAAACTTCAGCGTATTACCAAATCGCACTGCTTCGCTATGCCCCAAGGAGCAACCTTCTTGGCCCAGACGCATGGTTCCTGGTCGATCACCAGTCAGGAACCTGAACCACCATCCACTCCCTGGTCCTCCAGCCCCAGTCCCCACTCCAAACAAATGCTATGCATGTACACGGCTAAGTACCTCCCAGCAGGGCATGTACTATCTCGTCTGCCAAAAACCGGCCTGGAATACATGGAGTGAGAAATCCGTGAAAAAAAAAATTCGAGGGAATAAGAGGAAAAAGGATGGATACATTAGTCGGCTATCCATGGCTCTACATGCAACTAGTAGCGATGTAACTTTGTTGAATTCCACGCCACAGTATGCATCACAGTGGGAACAGCACCGTCGCCATAGATTTTGATTTCCAGCACTGTGCCATTCGCAGCTTTGCTTCCATTCCAATATACCCTGGAGGGACCTTTTTTGGCTTGCCCAATCTATCTCAACATTCTGGAACGTTGGTTGGTTCGACGTTTCTGTGGCCCCTCCACTTCATCCTGGCCGTGCATCACGACAACTCATCTACATCATTGGTGCAACTGAGGGCTGCTGTGAACGAGTCCTTGCAGTAAGGCAACCCATCGGGTTGTGTAATCCGTGTCTCGTGTGTCACTCAATGGAAACAAAAGCGCCTCCCTTTAAGAGCAACACCGGCCAACTGCATGCAATCTAACGAATCTCGGACGATGCCCGTGATCCATTGCATTGTGGATGACACCTGGGTTGCTAGGAAACGTAATGAGGGCTACACCGTTTCTTCGATTCTTCCCCAGATTATCAGTCTAAGTCGGCTCTAGCCGATAGCTTTACCGCCCCTTGGCGTCTTCCCCATGATCCAGCTGCCAACTCCTCGAAAAGGGTTGTAATAAGCAAATGATGCGTATCTGCTTTGGCCTGGGGGGCCGTTGCGACCCCACGAGACTGGGCAGTGGATTGATTAGGTATATCACGAGATGCCCTCGGTAATCTGACGTATCTGACACGAATGGGCAGCAACAACTTGGGAAGCCCGAAACGCACACACAGCAATTCATGCACGGCGCTCTCGAGCCTGCAGGGTATCTCTCGCATCCATCCAGTATCGGGCGCACATTGTATCAAAACAAAATTTTCACCGGGCAGCCCGCTGATAGGTGGTCCTTGTCCTGGATATCCATTGATGACACTCGGAGGTGGTGGGGCCCACCCACCGGACGTGTCGGCGCGGTAAGGCGTGATAACACCCCTTAAGTATCGCGCAATGTACACGGCGCCGCACGCACGGCATGCCGGTGCCCCAGATGGGATTTTCATTACCCCCAGGGTTTCCAATTGGAGATTTTGTTACCAAATACCCCAGGACTCAGCGAACATTAGTATTACGTTTTTACGTGATAGTTTCCTGGGTCCCCGCCAACACAGTGAAATGTTGGGGACTTGCCAATTACAGGGTAGCCCGTCACAGCAGGTAGGTCGCTGTGCCCTCCGTGGGCTGCCGCCGGCTCACAGGTACCTGGACCCAATTGGCAGCGCCCTACGCTGGAGCTCCAGCTAGCTCAGGAGGCCCCCCCTTCCCCCCTGCACCCCGCAATTCGAGCATGGCCCAGCCTAAAACGCCGGCGCTCCATCACGAGGACGGCAGAATCTTTCTCTACGTACCTGACAGAGCTTCTCCAGACGGCTCCAGACGGACGGGTTTAATTGTCCACGCCCCCTCAGATGCTTGGATCAGTCGCCAAGGACGTCTCCCCGTGGTGCATAATTTACCTAATACTACGTAATTGTATCTCTTAGTCAAAACGCGGAGTTCCAACACCGTCAAGACGCCCGCAAGGGCTTATAGCGGAACATAGCCTACATGTACTACGCGCGTCAACAGCGGGACCGCCTTTCCGAGAACCGACTGCTGTGAGCCCATGGCTTGCGGCTATTGGGCAGACGGACTGTACATCGTATGCACTCAGGGGCAGCTGGCGGGCGCAAGTTGTTACTATTCTTGCATATGCCCCATGTTTAAACTTCTTTTTTTCCCCCGACATCACTGCACACTTACCGACACCGCCACAAAGCGCCCAACCAGCCTCGCCGGGTCCAGCACGGTGTCGAGCACCTAACGAGCGCCACCCCTCTCCCAGCCAGTTTACACGGCACGTGCCCCTATCTCTTCATCTCCTTTGCAAGGGAGAAGGACCAGAAAGGGGAAATTGTGAATAAACAGATGCAAATAACTGAAACTTAATCATCTATCGAGTCAAGCCCGGTGGGTTTGCTTGTCTGCTGAGCAAGTCAGCCGACCAACTGGCATCAATTGCCCTCCAATCGCTCTCGGCCCGGTGGCCGGACCGGTGACCGGGACCACCGAACGCAGCCTGGAGTCTGGTGTCTAATTACCTAGGTACCTCATTAGCCACGATTACGCCTGCTTTCAGGGACTCTTTGGGCGGCAGGCATTTTGTGTGTCAGGTGACCAGCGCCCAGCTTTGGCGCCTCGCTGCACGTATTGAGTAATCGCTGACCTTTTGGTATCGCCGACTCGGCTATATGGTTTTTTGAATTCGACCATGGAGCTTATCAATAATCAACACGAAGAGCAGCTGCTAGTTAGTGGGCTTTGCGAGACAATGTGTCAGGTTTTACTTCTCACCCCTAATTATAGACGTGTTGCCAGTATACGAGTGTGGAGGCAACTTGGGAAATGCCCTTCCCAGCCCGTCTGCGCAGTTCCAAAGAGACAACAAGCCATGCATGGCTTTCTCATGCAGCCATGACCAAGCCAGCCAATCCATCTATGCACACGAAATCCTTTGAGGTGTGACTGTGCACCCCTTTCGACGATCCAAAGGTGGATAGACCGCTCCTCGAGAAGACGTCATTCTTGCGACCCTCTATGATTTTATCTGGGGCTACAGTGTGTATATATGCAAGGGTGACTAAGGTGGTATTGCGTACCTCATGAGGAATCGTCGAGCACGCCCATTGGCAAGATTCTTCAATCTATTTGTTCATCGAAACCTCGCCCCGGGTAATTCGCCAGACCGAAGTCCTCGTTGCTGTTAATGATACCCGATTCTAGGCTCAATGAGGGCTCGGCTATCGGATGTCGCGGGATGAAGAAATGATGCTGCTCGTGACCGGTGGATGGCGAGCTCCCTACAAACTCTTTGCAAGCAGAATAGGGGGTCGCGAAACCCCAGCTGGATGTTGGTTCATGTTACCTCCTCAACTGTGCTATCAAAGGAGCTGTTATAACAGCTATTCTCCTTTCGCTTTCCCCTTGTGGTAAGGATGGTCGGGTGATATACTTTGATTTTCTAATTTTCGGTTGACCTGCCTCGGGGACGGTGGTGGCAATCGTTGAAGCAAGGAACACGTATAACCAACATTTTGATTCTCACTAAACCTAAAGATCATAGCGTCAACGATAAACCGGTAATGACAGTTCAGGTAGGGCGAATGATCATCCCCCTCGAAAATCATACAAAACTGCCATTCCTTTACCACGAGCTTTCAAGGAAGGGACCTGCTTACATGCCGACGAGGCGAGGTGAGAGCCCTCCAACCTACATGTATGCTTTGCCGGAAGCATCTACATCCGTGTCGGTTGTAACACTGATATGGTATGGAATGGGCAAAGTTTTTTTGTAGTCGTTTCTAACCGGACCAAAACCTGCTCGGGATCCAAATATCAGGCTAGAGCTTCGTCGATACATAACGGTGGGTGCTCTGAGAATGCTACGGTTTCCACTGGGTGCCACTCTCGAGATTAAGATCTGGGTTGTGAGCAGTGAGGCAATAGAAGATAGCGTCTCAGTTGAGAGTAGTTTTGAATTGCGCCCTGTGTTCGGGTGAGATTTGGAGAGTGCCTAATCGAATAATGCAATATGCTTCAGCTCCTTCGGTTCTCCCTGTAATGTGGACAGTCCTAATTAACGCCTCCTGCTTGTTTATGTTCTCTACCCTTCCTAAACACTAGCTGTATCTAATGTTTTTGGGAAACATTTGATATGTGTGTGTCATGAGATGTTCCTTCGTTGTGGGCGCTTGGGGTAGGTTCACCTCTCTTGATAGTTTGTGAATGTCATATCCCAAAAGCATTTGCGCTGTGAGCTCATGTATGGATATGAGAATCTAACAGCCAAACTATAATTTGAAACCAACAAATTTATGTCGGATCGTGTCATATTCGGGCGTGATGTTAGTCTATATTTCCCATCGAGAATCATTTGGGGTAGTCGTGGCCCTTTCTCATCTCATCACACACACATGGTAATCATTAATAAATCCAACTCTATACTCGTTCAGCACGACAGGCGGTATGAGAGAGCTATAGGGTAGGTCAGAGGCAAAGTGTGTCGGGGGACGCACGTGATAGATGGCGGCATCGTGCGTGCTATGTCAGCACCTGGATCGGATAAACCAAGGCCGGGGTAATTGGTGATGGCAGCTCCCAAATTTTCCTGTGGCGCTTGGTGTGGTCATACCTGGTCCATTTTGACTATCATTAAAGCCAACTCGGGCCCCAACGTACCGCCGAAAAAGCTCTTGAAAAGCAGGGCCTTGCCTCAGATCATCATTTTCTAGCACGATAGACTCGTCCTTTAACCAGAGGCAGTCTTAATTCAATCATTGTGCGCCACGCGACCCGAGTCCGACACCCTTCTTTAAACCACCTCACATATAATAAATCGCCAAAATGGTCACTCTTACCGAGGTTGAGGATGAGCACTTCCAGGTCTCTCAGGCTGGTCCCGATGCCGATGATGACGATTTCACTGATACCGGTATGTCGCGAAATCAAACCACCCACTTTCCCCTCACCTGCTGATATCATCAACATAGACTCCGAGATCTCCAACGAGTCCGATTATGATCCTACAGAGGAAACCCTAGCAGAGCGCCTGTACGCTCTCCGCGATATCATCCCTCCCACAGCACGCGGCTGGGTCGCTGGCAAGGTCAATGCCGTCACCAGTGCCACCTGGACCGCCCTGTCATTCGGTGGCAAGTCTGCCTGGGTTATCACGACCTCCGCCCTCTTCTTCGGTGTTCCCTTCGCCCTGTCCTTCGCCGAGGACCAACAGCTCTCAGCCATGGAGCAAGAATACAACATGCGACAGCAGGGTGGCGAGCTGCTCACAGCCGGTGGTGAGCAGAGCACCGCCGACATGATCGGCGCTGCGATCGGGGATGGCAGCCAGCAGGCCAAGCCTTCCCTGTAAGGAACGACTCTACGCGACTCAACGAGGTATGCAGGCCATTTGGGCTGGAAGAAATGCCCACGACTGCGGATTTTCTCAACATCATACATGTATAATAATCACAAAATGGCAATATAGGTAATGCCAACGACGCCACCCAATGAATGCATTGCGAGAGGGATACCGGGGCTTAGCTCGGTGTGTAAGGATAGCTGTGTGATTTAGGGAAGGGATTCACGTGTATTCTTGTCGTTTAGACTTCAATTCATTATGACTGTAACTCATGTGCCGCCTTGCTTATTGTATGTCTGGGCTTGTTCCCCATGATCTAATCTATCGGAAATCCTGAGGATAGCCAATGTGCGGCTTGAGGCGTTTAGGTAAGATACCTATGAACCTGGGTCTGCTAGGCTCAGCATGAAGATTTAAGATGTGCTTTCAACTTCACATGAATGAAACAGAGCTGGCTGCCCGAAAAAGTATGCATGTGTCTTATTGTGACTACAAGTTAGCTTCGAAGAACACTTGAGCTGACGCAATTAATGAAGGAGAACAATTTCATATTTTGTAGGTATCGTACCAGATTGGGTTCGAGGTAATTGTACTGATACCAACTCACATGAAAACACCAGTTGTGATACCCAAGCGCTAGGAATGCTACCAAATTGTGAGAAATGTTACCTACCTAAGCTACTGTGGGCATCAGTTAGTACCTATCCATACCTCATCCTCCGAAGTAGAACCCCCAACCCACTAAACATAGGTAATCAACTCCAAGTGCATCCGACAACAAAAAGGTTCAAACGATGGATTTCGTGGCTCTTCCTAAAATCGAGGTCTGCCTCCCTCCAATTGGTAGTTCGCCGAACAAGGTGCTTACATGAGTCCAGCTCCATGCCCACCTCACGGGGAGCATTCGCCGCTCAACCCTCCACGAGATATGGAAGAGGAAGAAAGCCTCAAGCGCAACTGACCTTGAGGACCCTTTGATTGTTATGCCCGAGGGGAAGCATGATTTCGACCTAGAAACGTGAATACCCCTCCCCCGCCCATCTCCCCTGCTTATCTTGGCTATCTCCAGAATGACCAATAGGGGAAATAGGTTCTTCCCTCTCTTCAGCAGCTACATATACAACCTCCTCATCGATGAGGAGTCGATTCGGTATGCAACTACTTCCGTGCTCAGAGATTTCTTGGAAGATGGCGTAGTGTATGCGGAACTGCGAACCACTCCCAGAGAAACAACGCAGCTCACTGCTGAGCAGTACATCGCCATCACCCTCGACACCATAGCTGCCTTTGAAAAGGAAAACCCAGGTCTGCACGTGCGGCTTATCCTCTCTGTAGACCGCCGCCATGATCTAGCCAAAGCCTCATCGATTCTCGACATCGCATTGAGGCACAAGGGTAGAGTTGTCGGGCTGGACCTCTGCGGTAACCCCACCGCTCGCACGGGCGGCGGCATATCCCTCTTCACGCCCGTCTTCCAGCGTGCACGAGAAGCGGGCCTGAGCATCACCGTACATTTCGCCGAGGCTGAGGAGAGTGGATCGAGGGAGGAGCTGGATGTCCTGCTCTCATGGCAGCCGCAGAGGCTGGGACATGTCATTTGGGAAGACGAGGTGGCGCGGGCGACGATCCGGGAACGAAAGCTGTGCCTCGAGCTGTGCCTCAGTTGCAACGTCAAAGCCGGGATGATCAAAGGGAGTTTTGAAAGCCACCATTTCGGCCATTGGAGAGATGTGGAAGGACCGCTTATTTCTCTTGCGGTAGGTTTTTATTGTGTCTCTCTGGCGGCGACTGGCCCGAAGTATGCTGACAGAAGTAGACTGATGATGTTGGTGTATTTGGGAGCACACTGTCAAACGAGTATAGCCTGGTGGCTCAGTATTTCAACCTTGATAAGACCGGAATATGTGCTTTGGCAAGACAGAGCATCGATGCTATTTTTGGCGGCGACGAGGAAAAGAAGCGCTTGCGGGAGATTATGTGGTCATGAAGCGAAGCCTTCTGGCATCCTGATACAATCTTGAGGAAGAATGAGTTGTGTAATACTATTACTATAAAACTACGTAAACCTGCCTGCTATGCACACGTGTCGAGAGGAGAAGGCATGGCTCTCATCCAAGTTCAATAATTCATAAAGCTGTCAACCGTTCTTTTGGTCTTTGCATCATTTCCAACGTGTATGTTTTAGTCCACACCAGGTGGTGGTGCATCCAAGTCCATTGCCTCAAGCACATGTCTTTCATCACTACTGCGCTTGACCAGTGATCGGAAGAACTCGGATGCCCGCTCGCTTTCGCCCTTGACCTTGATTGTGTCTTCCCGGCGTGTGTCTAGATCCTTCACAGTCTGCTCGAGACCGACACGGAGGTTGTCCGCTGGTACCCGGAGGACACGTCGAACAGATGTGGTGATACGAGACGAGTTGGCGTGAACATAGTCCAACTCCGTCAGTTGAGAGGAGATCTTGGCGGCAAGGCGCCGAGGCAAAGAGTTGGGAATCTGCTGTACGATGTACGCCGATGCTGCGAAAGCTAATGAGTTGTTAGTTTAGACTATCATTTAGTAAAGAATGGACAAGGATCTTACCAGCAACGATGATGCCGGGGATAATGAGATGGCGCAGATTCTCGTTACCAACCAGGCGAGTGGCCGCGAGGGCCTGGTCCACCCATGTGCCCATTCCGATCATACGGGGCACTACAGCACCGGCAATCGTCAATGCCATGCCTGTTCCAGCATACTTTTCCTGTTGGTGCATCAAAGTAGACCAATCAACAAAGTCCAATAGCTCAGTAGGAATATGAACATCACGCGCAAGAGCATCCTTCTTACGTCGAAACATGACGTCTGAACGGAATGTGAGGTTCTTGAACTCATCACCAACGTGGAGAATACCCAGCTGTTTCATCGTGTTCACACCCCTGACAGTCTCTTTACGAGCATACTCCTCCACCTGAGTGACCGACTCGGCAATGTGGGAGAGCATGGCGTCCTTGAGTTCTTCGGCGTATTGGAAGGCGCTCAGGAATCCAGGATATACAACGTCATACTCCGCATTGCCTGCAAATTTGATGGCTGCCGTCAACTCTGCTCGGCTGTGCTCGTAGACATCTTGACATGTTTCCTCAATACCTCGGTCAACTCGGTCGCTGACCTCGGAGCGGGCCTTTTTGCGGGATTCAAGCTCGGGCTCAAGCTCCTTGAGCTCGGCTGTCACTCTCTCCAGCTCTGCTTGGGCAACATCACGATTGACAGTTGACAAGGTGTTCATGTCATTCAGGATGTTTAGAAGGTATGTGCGTGCGGGGGCGAGTTTGGAGCGAGCTCGCTTTTCCAGCACGAATCTCCGCAGAGACTGCTCCAGTGCCTCGAAGTCTCGTACCTTGTCGGCATCTTTTCCTTTGCCCTTGTCATCGTCGTCGCCAGGATCTCCACCACCGCCACCGGAAGGACCTCCAGGTGCTGGGATAGCATTACTGGAGACGAAGTGAACGAGTTCGGAAGATTCTTTATGGGTCCGTGGGCTGAGTCCAGCGACTTGGTTGAGAATAATCTTCTTGCATCGTTCCTTATCCCGGATAAAGTCGAACCCATTGACAACAATGAATATGTATGCCTTCTCAGCAGCGGCAGCCAAAATAAACTCTTGGGCAGATTGGGTAAAGTGGTTGGCAGCAGAGAGCACAAATACCACGACGTCAATCTCCTCCTGGCGAGCGAAGATGGCAGTTGTCTTTGTTGTGTCCGAGTTCAGGCCGGGAGCATCAATAAGCGCAATATCCACTACACCGTTGTTAAGAAGGGACTCGTCGATGCTTCGAGAATCTCTAACATAAATCTTGCACTGGGTATAGGTTTCATTGTCGATCACGATATTTTCCAACTCTTTCAAAGAAAACACGTCGTATGTTGACTCATCGTTCCGATCATATGTTGCATCCTTGTGCACAGCATGGACTTCCTCGATGCCAGCATTCTCCCTGGCATCAAGAACTTCGCAGAAAATCGCCGTGCAAGGTTGTTGGTCTTCGGGGAGAACCTTCCTTCTCAACAAGGCATTGCAAAAGGTTGACTTGCCGGCATTCAGATCACCAGTGATCAAGACTTTGCTTGATGTGTCGGCAATTCGTTCCCGAAGGGCGAGTAGGTGTTTCATGCTCGAACTGATCTTGCCGTCCAACAGCGATGCAATGGAACTCTTCTCGAGAGAGTGAACTAATTCCGCCTGGTGGAGGGCCCCGAGCTTTAGATCCAGCTTCAAAATCGAGAATTCCTGAGCGATCTGAGGACTAACGAGTCGTGGTTCGGCTGCGGTTCGATTTTCAGCGGCTCGGCTGGATTCAGCGAGATGATCCTCAACCGACGTTAAAGATCGCCTCAGCTTTGCTGGATTCATACCACGTCGGTTATCTGGAAGAAAAGAATCGGTTTTAGAGAGGCCAGGTCTAAACGATGAGTCGATGTCTTCGGCTTCGGCTGCCACGGTTCGTTGGACCGAAGGATAATGTGCTGGCCATGCCGCATTAATATCTCGCAGGCTATCCAGAAGTTCGAGTACTAGGTTGATCGATCGACTAAGTTTGCTTCGTTGGGAATTGTACCACATCTGGTGGATCGCTCCCGTTTGTTGTCGATGGGGGCGTTGGGTGCCTGCAACGGCAGTCAGGCCGGGATGATCCTCATCTGGAACACTTCCTCCGTATCCAGAGTCCTTCTCCATCATATTCATAAGCCTTGTACTGTGCTGTGGCTGGGCTCCGGATCCGACGGTCATATATTTGTGATCTGAGGGTGATTTGGCGGTGTCGTCCTGAGGGGACCGCCGGCCGGCATCGCGGCGTGCAGGCTGCTTGCCCTTCTTAGAGAAATAATCCTCGCTCATTATAAGTCGTATTGTCTGAGAACCATGGTAAAAAATCGAGTTCTGAGTTGAGTTGTTCGAGGGTCAGTCTCAAGGTGAAGTAGACCAATTCTTGGTGATCGCATGATTTTTAGTAGGTGGCGGCAAATTGACTGACGTCTCTTGCATGAGCCCGAGCTCCAGTTTTTAATGCGCGGGAGTGGCTTCATTGGTGAGCAAGGCTCCGCGGCAGAAGTTCGGCAGCTTGTCTCCATCGTTGGGCATCCAGGCATCTGGTAATCGAGCGTTATCTTATCAGTTCTTGAGCGGCCCCGGTTCCAGTCCCAGCACAAGGCATGAATGACGGTTACGTAGTGGGCTGGGTTGCGCAGACAACGTCCTTGATTTAGCTAGGCATCAGCATTCTCGCATCCCTCAACCTGGTCCAGTCTCGACATCGCACGATATACTACAATTGGGAGACGGCACCGAATCATTCCAAATACAATCGAGTCGGGCTACGCCAGGAGCAACATTAACAGGCCACCATGAACGTAAGAGAACCACCCCAAATGTTCACCCATCCGCTGCTCACAATGAAGGTGGTCAGATCCTCGAATGGGCTTTTGGAAAGCGTATGACGCCGGCGGAGCGTCTACGCAAGAACCAGCGTATGCTGGACAAGGCGATCCGGGAACTCGACCAAACTCGCGTGAAGCTGGAGAAGCAGGAGAAGACGCTCATCCAGCAGATCAAGACAAGCGCCAAAAATGGACAGATGGGCGCATGCAAAATTCAGGCCAAGGATCTCGTCCGTACGCGACGGTATATTGAGAAGTTTTATGGCATGAGGAGTCAACTTCAGAAAATCTCTCTGCGGCTTCAGGTATGGATATGTCGCTGTTTTTTGTGTAGACGAAGCAATACGTACTTGCGACGAGGAGCGAGACATTTGACTGACCTGATGCTATCATTAGACATATCGAACGAACGAGCAAATGATGCAGGCTATGAAAGGTGCTACGATGGCGCTTGGTAGCATGAACAAATCTATGAACCTTCCCCAACTTCAGCGCATTGCAATGGAATTTGAACGAGAGAACGATATAATGGAGCAAAGACAAGAAATGATGGACGATGCGGTTGACGATGCCATGGATGTTGGTGTTGAGGAAGAGGGTGATGAGGTTGTAGAGCAGGTATTGGAGGAGATTGGAATTGATCTGAGTCAAGCGGTAAGGAATTTTTGGAACCAACATCGACATTCTCATCGCCAGCTGACCTATTTGATTTTTCTTCTAGCTCGGCGACACGCCCACAGCACTCGGGAATCCTGTACAGACAGAGAGCAAGATTGCTCAAGCCGTTGGTGGAGGAGGTGGTGGAGGCAGTGGCGATCCAGTGGACGACGATTTGCAGGCAAGGCTGGACAGCCTCAGGAAATAAGCGAGTGCTACTCCGCAGCCTAGCGACCCAGTTTGATGCAGAAATCGGCCATTTTTACCATGATTGATCGTGGAGGGTTACCCGCAGGACCCGGGAGTATATCGGGATCTTTTTCCGTTAGTAGTGTCGAGCCATTTTGGGCTACCTACCTTCTTGAAGTTGCTCACAGCTCTCAGTGTGTCAAGATCCGTCTAGAATCAAGCCCCACAATGGACGCAACGAGGGAGGCTGGTCTAGGGCTTTGGAGGCGTTTATGGGGTATGTGGGAGAACGATTTAATGTATTCCTTGTTCAGGAGGCGTAGACTTTGTTCGAGCGGTCAGCTTTTTTTTATTATTGAAAGACTAGGTGTTCACATCAAGGTTTCTCACGGATCAGCACACCACACCGCTTGTATTCAATGCTTTGACTGTGAAATATGTGATATGTTACTGATAATATGGGAACCATTGTCGCCTCTTCTCCCATCCCTCGTCCACCCCGCACCGGATTCCTCCCAGGGGAATCTCCGTCTTCGAGAAAGTTTAGGTGCGGAGTGGGTATGTGCGTCGCGGCTAGAGAAGATCTCGGTGTAGTGTCCAATACCCCGTACAGGAATCTCAGTGATGCTCCAGTCTGTGGGGAACCCCCCCACGAGGGTGTTCGGCGATTATTTCTATACTTGGAAAGTTCCGGCGTCCCTGATCATTTAGGAAATTTTGAGGTTGAGGCTTCATTGACTTACAAGAAGTCGGTGGACAAGAGATTAGAGAGCGTCGAGTACATAGAGGGAGTGTCTCGTCTCTCTGAAGGTCAAACTTTCTTCTCCTGCAGCATCAAATCCTCTTCATTCATTCATTCTAATAGCTCCAACAATTCCTTATCTCCCACACATACAGTCAACATGTCTGGAAGCGGTTCACAGCTCAACGTTGCCATTGCAGGCCTTGGTCGCATGGGTAAGTTGGCATCTCGGATAAATAATGAATGGAAATTATTATGTTTCGGATGACTGACTGAATGACAGGAATGCGACATGCTCGCCACTTTGCCTTCTTCACCCCCAAGGCCAATCTGATTGCTGTCACTTCGCCAGTGCAAGCCGAGCTTGATGCCGCCCAAGCTGAATTTGGCCCAATCAGAACCTACCTCGACTATGACGAAATGCTGGCCAATGAGCCAAGCCTGCAGGCTGTTGTTGTTTCCAGTGCCACTACCGTGCATGCTGAGCAAGCCATTAAGGCCATTGACCAGGGTCTCCATGTCTTGTGTGAAAAGCCCCTGAGCACCGACGCTGAGATTGTAAGTGCTTAGATATTACTGGCATTTGGTTGACGTCGGGTACTAATCAATGTGTTAAGTCCCAATCCGTTGTGGATGCCTATAAGAAGTCTCTTAAGAAGAACCCTGCCCAGAAGGTCATCTGCGGATTTTCTCGACGTTTCGATGCGTCCTACCGTGATGCTTATCGCCGTGTCGCCAACGGTGACATCGGTCGCCCTTCAGTGTTCCGTTCGCAGACTTGCGACAAGCTTGACCCTACTGGCTTCTTCGTCGCCTACGCCGAGTTTAGCGGAGGTATCTTTGTTGACTGCTCCATCCACGACATTGACCTTGCCCTGTGGTTCATGGGCGAGGACAGCGTTGTCAAGAGCGTGTCTGCTGTTGGTATCACTGCTGTTTCACCTGAGTTGCGGAAGCACAATGACAGGGACAATGCTGTTGCCATTATCGAGTTTTACGTAAGTCAACACCACCGGGCGGTGAATCTGTGAGATGTGACACAGCCGGATGGCTAACCCAAGCAATATAGGGTGGCAAGATTGCCCAGCTCTTCTGCTCCCGTATGATGGCTGCCGGCCAGGAGGACACTACCGAAATCTTTGGCACTGAGGGCAAGATTGCTGTCAATACACAGCCTCAGCTCAACTTGGTCAACATCTACGAGTCGACCGGTATTCGCCGTGAGATCCCGCCTGACTACTACGGTCGCTTCCGGGAGGCTTTCATCACTGAGGCCAACGAGTTTACCGACTCCTGCCTCAACAACACCCCTCCCCCTACTAGACTCCAGAGCGCCGTCGATGCCGTCAAGATCGGAAAGGCTCTCCAGGAAAGCTTGATTACTGGAAAGAAGATCGAGTTTGATGAGCTTGGCAGACGTCTTGAGTCGTCCAAGCTGTAAGAGGTAGCTTCCGCCAGAGTTGGTTATCGTCTTTTGGTTTGGTAGACTGGGATTAGAGCGAGATTTGTTTGTTTCAAAAAATGGCAAAAACGGAAATGATATCACTTTACGATGAAAGAGAAACATAATGATTGAAAGTGAATGACAACGAGTTCCCGGAACGGGGCAAGCGACTGACATAAAACATGGCACACCCAAAACCTCCAGCGTTGAATTTCAACACAATGTCATAACAAGCAATGAGCAATGATAACAAAATCGAGCCAACTATCACAGTATAGTAATCTGTTATTTCCTCAGTATTATATTTAGTATTATTGATAAGAAAATGAGGGTCTTGACTTGCGTGAACAGAGCTTTGGTGTGCCATGTTTTATGTCAGTCGCTTGCGGGTCTGGCTAGCGACTACCGCAGGCAGGTGTACTTGGCACCTGATCTGTGCATGGATGTTTGGAGGCCTGAAAGCTGTTTCCCCAACTTGGTAAGCATAGAACTAAGTGTAGCAACTGCCCTTCCAGGGTGCGCAGCTAATTACCTAACCCAACGCCTGAATCAATGCTGCTTGGCTCTGCTGTGTTGCCCCGCTGAACATGCGCTTAGAGGCTGATTTCCCTCTGCTGCTGCGCTAAGCAGAATCGAGGAGGCCACCACCGCTACCTCCTTCCACCAACCACTCTCCCACTGCCGGCTTGGAAATGTGCTGAGCCACTGCGTTCAACCTCCAACTCAAGGATTCCAACCCTACCCACCCCCAAGTATATCTTGCGGCGCTCAGACAAAAACATCAGCCTTCCCCGGCGATACATTCTTCTCACTAAGGTATGTACCTCGCCTAATTCCCTGTTGCGTACGGCTGGGCACGGCATGTCTCGCCCACCTGTCCCTCGCTCGTTCAAAGTCCCAACCTACGTCACGGCGTCACCCCGACCCCTCGTGTGCTCATCCCATCCCCCAACTTGCCTCGACCGTTTTGTCTAGTGTCCCTCCCAGGTTCGCCAATTCCATTTTGTGCTGAGATAAACCTTGTTTTCATCCTATCACCCAGCTGGGCGGATACCATCTGCCTTGTGAAGAGGCCGTTACTTTCACAGCCTGAAGCACTACCCCACAGTGTCGGATTTCCTCAAGCTAATCGATCTGGTATTTCTAGAAAGTGAGATTGTGCACACGCACCTCCAAAGAGCACGAGACTTATGATCTTGATCTAGGACACTCGACCTAGAGACCCCTCTTCCGACCCTTCCGCACCATTTCCTGTCTTCAAGAGCCTGTCGCCACCTAGCCCAAGAAGCGCAAGAGCCAGCGAAAAGCCAGCGAAGAGAGAGACCCGTGGTATCGAGTCTATATAGAGAAAATATTTATCGTCGGTGAAACGCCAAACATCGGCATCGACGTTCTTATCAACAAAGCTGGCAGGCAATAAGCGACGCAGTCTCTCCTCCCAAGGAGGAAGTCTGCTAAATAGAATGTTTGGTGGTGGTTCCAACTCCGGGTCTAAAGGCGAACCTGATTCCTCTAAGACTGAGAACAAGTCCCCTTCGCGCGAGGCGAGCCCTGGTGCGAACCCAATCAAGGCGACAAACCAAACTACTAGTGGCGAGAAGCGCAGTGGTAATGGAAGCCCCCCTGGCAGGAGTGACAATGGGCCCTCAACGGATAAGAAGCGCAGGAGTAGTGGTGTTGGAGGCAAGGCTAGCAGCCTCTTGGCCTCAGCTAAGAATAGCTTGAGCTTCAACCAAGGCCGAAGCAACTCTGGTTCGGAGGCCCAAGGTCCTATCCAGAAGCTGGGGAAACAAGACCCTGCTTTGGCTGTTCCGCAGGGCCAGCATAATAACTCTGCAGGGGAATCGCTCCCTGGACCCAGATCTACCTTTCGTGTCGGCGTCTGGGAAGACAGGAATAAGAAATGTCGCCGTACGATGGAGGACACGCACGCCTTTTTATACAACTTTCTACCTACCCCGGCCCCTGCCACTGATGCGCAGGACAAAGAGAAGGGTGACGAAACAGAAACTTCTCAGAATGACGCTGTTGAGACCGATAATGGCTACTTCGCTATTTTCGATGGCCATGCTGGTACCTTTGCAGCAGACTGGTGTGGAAAGAAGTTACATATTATTCTCGAGGATATCATTAGAAAACACCCGAATGCGCCTATCCCTGAACTCTTAGATCAGGCATTTACATCGGCTGATGCCCAGCTAGAGAAGCTTCCAGTTAAGAACAGCGGCTGCACAGCTGCCATTGCTGTCCTGCGCTGGGAAGATCGGGTCCCAAGTGATAGGTCCGCAACTGGGTCCCAGTCCATAGCACCGGCAGCTGCGGCTGTTACTAAAGCCGCCAAAGCCGATGACCCATCTGCTTCCGAGAAGGACCAAGAGCAAGCTGCAGCGGACATTCTGACAGCTACATCGTCTGAATCGGCCCATGCCAAGTTAAAGGGAACCGCCAGCCGTCAGCGTGTTCTCTACACAGCCAACGTGGGAGATGCGCGAATCATCCTATGTCGCGCTGGTCGAGCCCTTCGCTTGTCGTACGACCACAAAGGCAGTGACGAGAACGAGGGCCGACGCATCGCGAATGCTGGAGGATTAATTTTGAATAACCGTGTGAATGGAGTCTTGGCAGTCACACGAGCTCTGGGCGACACCTATATGAAGGATCTTGTCACGGGCCACCCCTACACGACAGAGACGGTGATTCAACCTGACAGCGACGAGTTTATCATCATAGCTTGTGACGGAGTAAGTTGTTTTGGACCCAATTCTTCACACTGTCTCGACTACATGCTAATCTGAATTCTCATTTACTTAGCTCTGGGATGTTTGCAGTGACCAGGAAGCCGTTGACTTGGTGCGAAACATCGACGATCCCGTCACTGCATCCCAGCTTCTGGTTGATCATGCTTTGAGCCGTTTCAGTACCGACAATCTGTCCTGCATGATTGTGCGACTCAACAAGGAGGCGCTTGTGCATACCCAGCAGAGCAAGGATTTGGGAGTCGAGACAGAGAATGCCCCGACTAGAGCTACTGAAGCGGACAAGATTGTTGAAGATACGAAGCAGAAGATTGCTGATGGGACTTCACCGGCCGTTGGCGTTTCTGCCAGCAATAGCGGGCGTGGTTACGATCCGACAACAAACGAGGATGGCGAGTTTATACCTACCACACTGGACGGTACCGTGTTGGAGGAGGAGCCGGAAGCCATTTCGGATACTGAGAGCCCCGAACCTAAACCGAAGGTGGAGCAGATTGAATCGGAAACAGAGACAGTGAAGGCGGAGGCCGACAAGTCCAAGTCCTGACCCGTCTGGAGTGCCTCGGCTGCGTAGGCTCTCAATACAGCCCGCACCAGGCACCGGAAACCAGAAACCAGGCATTTGGCATCAGGCGCTTGCTTTATTATTTTTGCTGTCCATGTTTCAAGAAGAGAAGGTGTACGGGGAAACGACGCGAGCACTCTACGTATTAGCATTGAAGATTCGTGGTTACTAGTATTCCTGCGTGTGAAAGAACTCGAATTAAATGATTGAATCATATTATATGCCTCTTGCTGGCTGATTGACAAGCTACGAACGAACGAACCGTTCTGGTGGCGGGTGTTTGCTGGGTGAGACGCAGGGAAATGATGCAATCTTGGGGGAGAACCGGGGACCTCCCTGATGGTGTGTCTGAGGAGCTGCGTTTTGGTCGGACTTTGTGCCATTTCGAAGGAGCATTATTAACGAACGGCTGGGAAACCCGTCACATAGCAGCGCGCCCCTATTAGACGTCTATATTTAACCCAGCTGCTGGGTAGTAGTGAACTACGTACTACGTACATATACTATTATACAGTGGATGGACAGACAGGGCTCGGACGGCATCCTCTGGGCGCGATGTGATGAATGTGATGCGGACTCTCGCGGCATGGTGGAATTGGCCACCAGCAGGGGATTATACATGGCGCTACTGAACGAGACGTTACTACTCTGTACCGTGTGTGTATTTGTGCGTTCTGTCTGCGCGTGTGGTATGCCCGACTTTGCCATGCCTGGGGCGAGGAGCGGATATCAATAATATCGGGACGACAGCGCCATCGAGTGTAGGCACGCCCCCTTAGGGAATAGTTTGTGCCGGTCTCTCATTTGCCTGCCCACCCCCTGAGCAAGTCTTTAGAGCCCCTGGGTGCCAAGGTGCAGAAGCCCCATTTCTGCCCCTGTCGGGGTCCCCCGCCCCCCTGCAGACCCGGTCCCATCATCCATTGCCTCCAATGGTTTTGGGCCATTGGGGCTGGCCTTGGGTAGGAAGGAGCAGTCGCCTCTGAGTACAGCGGCACAAGAGCCAGCATCTCGAAAATTATGCTGTGGTGCTCCCTGAAGCACTGATCCAATCCTGCCTGCCCTTCCCCGAAGACACGCCACCACAACCACCATCACATTCTTTGGGAGGGCACAGAGAGACCCAAGTTTGTTTTCTATGCCAACTCCCTCCCTGGCGAAAGATGCGACCTCTGCGCCTATCTTTGGTTTGAAACAAGCGCCCGTTCTCTTTGTCTGATCTGGTTCCAGCAATACTTTCTTCTTTCTGCTGGCGGGGAGTCAACTTTCTACATTGGATTTGTTCGTGCCCAGTGCCCTCCGCAGCTTTCTATAATCACTCACTCGTTGCCTATTCGTTGTTTTGTTCGCCGTCTCCTTGACGTTCGCCCACGGTCATTTTCTCTTTTTTTAGATTGTTGTTTCTTCACGAGTGTGTTCCGTCTACCAACCATCATATTTGCGCGCCTCCCCCCTTGCAGAGGAGGTTCTCAATTCGGCAGTCACGGCCCCCCTCGATCCAGCCTCGAAAGCGATTCTTTGTCTGCCGCCACACCCCAATGCGCAGCACGTCCGACCGATTGCGTGTCGATATCTGTGCGCGGTACCAGCATCTGATACCCAGCCCTCGAGCCAACGAACCCGTGCCGCCGCTCAGCCGTCGGAACGGTGCGCCAGACCTGCTATTGGAATATTCTCTCAACTCGTGCTTCTCTCCGCATGGGGACGGATCATAAGGCATGTCGTTGAATGGATTGGACGATCCCAAGGTCGCAGAGGCCTATGTAGCGGCTTCGGCTGAACCTGGAGGATGGTAGGTGCTTTGTTCATTCCCCTATATCCGTTTGGTGAGGGTGTCGCAGACGAGGCAGGCGCTAATCTTTTACCAGGTTTCTTCTGAAATATGCGAGTCGTGATGAGGTCGAGTTGCTCAGCAGTGGCACCGGTGGTGTTGCTGAGATGCGCGGTGCTGTGACAGCATATGATGAGACGAATCCACTATACGGTTTCTTGAAATATAGAAGGAGGAATGTCCTGGTCAAGTACTTGCCGGAGGGTTGTTCTCGTCTCATTCAAGGTGCGTGATACTTTGACAGGCGTGATCTGGATTTCTCCGACTTTGTATGCTGACACCATTGTAGCACGTGTGGCCGTCCACTTTAATGCCGTCTGTGAGCGTTTCTCGCCGTACGATTCACAGTTTGATATGACCGCAGCCGAAGACCTAGCCGACGCGAAATTATCACCTGCATGCTCGCTGCACGCTGCCAAGGGGTCGAACTCGTCCTCGAGCTCGCGCAAGAAGCATCTGATGGAAATTGCGGAGGAGGATGAAGAGGAGCAGCAACCTACGAAGCGCCAGTCACTCATTAAGGAAAAAGAAAAAGATAGGGAACAACTGAAAGGAAGTGACGAGCGCCCCACGACCACAGGGGAACCGGTCACCCTCAACTCAGATTTGGCTGCGTCATTGGAAAATAGCAAGTTTTCGGCACCTACCACTTCCGAAGTGCCAACATTTGTTGGGTCCGTTGAACCGTTACCGCCAACTGAGAATGCCCCGCGCCTTTCTTCTCAGTCAAGCCGCGCCGAGGTTTTCACGTCCTACTCTGCCTATTCATATACAAGCAAACCCAAGGTCAAACTAGGACCCCGCCCCTCGCTCGACACGACTATTATCCGACCCCAGACCGCAGGAAACTTTCGCCCTGTATCTTCTATTCCCGCCGGCTTGAAACTCTTTGGAAAAGGAAGCAGTTCGAGTGCAAGGCGGCGCAAGGACAGTGCGGGTAGTAGCAACGCTCCCGCATCACCCCGAAGCGAGATCACCGACTTTGCTTTCAGCGCAGCGATACCAATCCCCGAAGAACCAACCAACAAATTAACGCTTGATGTTCCTAGACCGGCAACAAGCTCAGGTGTTTCCACGAAGAGCGGCGTCAGCACAATCATGTCAACATCAATGAAGTCGGCCATGACACCTGAAAAGGCACGATTGAAGAAGGCATTGCAGCTCAGAGAAAAGAAGAAGAAGAAGAAGGAAGCGCAGTCCCCTTCGTCACCATCTCTTACTTCGTCAGAGATTCCTGATACGGTATCTGTGCCGGCAACTCCGGATTCTGCAGTTGCACATGGAGATGAGACGGACGTGACGGCAGATGATAAGGCATCTGAGACTAAGGCCGATGATTCGGGCGTCGGGATAGAGACATCCACGACCTCAACGAAAGGCGACCATGCATCTGAGGGCACACAGGCAGATTCTCGACCTGTAAGCCCTGTAGTCACATCTTCTGAGGCTGGGGAATCTACCAAAGCGTCCTCCGTATCAGAATCTACGGATCAAACTGTGGTGGTAGAAGAAGGTTTGGGAGATGGGTCCGATGCGAAACCTCCTGCTGGCTCTCCAGAGCCAGATGGCTTGGTAGGCGATCATGCGACAGAGTCAAGTGTGGCGAATGAGGAGCAAAAGGACGCTTCTGCACTAGAGTCCAAACCTGCTACTGTTGCACCACATCTGTCGGAAGAGATGAAGCCTGACAATGCTGACAGAAAGGCGAAGCCTGGTAGCGACCAACCAGAGAGCGCAAACACTGATCATGAACATGCCGAAGGTGAAAGTCAGGGTTGCAAGGATGCTGAAACCTCAAATCAGGCTGGGGAGCATGAACAGAGTGGGGCCGATCCCCGAGTTAATGCTGCTCAAAGTGTTCAAGTTTCACCAATCGCGCCGCAAGACCAGGCTCTCGAAGATCAGAAACCTGAGACAGTTGGAACCCCGGAGACGTCCTTGGAGGATATAGAAGCCAAACAAGCCCAGCCAGATCTCAAGACCGGACCCAATTCTTTGTCACCCAAAATCCAGCTACCTGATTCAGCGACTTTTCCAGATATCGCGGAAGACGACACTGCTACTCCCATTGTTCGGACCAACGCAAACGATTCCTCGGCTGATCAGGCAACCGAGAGTGATTCTGAGTCAGTATTGGCAGCCCGTGTCAGGAAATCCTCCATTGCCAAGCGCAAGGCGAATGTAGAGCCGATCAAAACTGATTTAGCTAATCGAGGTCGAGCTGCTTCTCAGTCTGACAGTGATCTCTCTGACGACGATAGTCTGTTGGAGGAACTTCAGAGCGCAACTGTTCATGAGGCCAAGCCTATGACTGTTTCGAAAACACCACTCACACCTGTATTTCCCGGAAGACTGAACAGTAACAGCGGGATGGCTACTGCAACCGCATCACCCCCCATCCAGGCAGGACCGTTCGCAGCTCCTCTCATGGCGAAGCCGCAAATGATTCGGACAGCTTCAAATCCGGTGCGTGGGAATCTGATTGCTCCTCCCTCGGATGTCAGCCAGTCTTCCGCTCGTTCTGTAAGCCAGGGTGCTGCCTTCCTGCATCAGGTCACCCAGCAGCGAACTGCAGATGGAACGTTAGCCAAGAAGACCAACATGGGCTCTAGTATTTCTCAACGTATCAAAGCGTTAGAGAGGCTCTCAGTAAAACCGGGAGACGCACCATCTCAAGCCAACTCAAGGCCTTCATCATCCTTCTTCTCTGTAAAACCCAGAGCCCCTTCTAGGTCACCATCTGTGGTGGACCGTACAACTTCCCTCTCCAAGGACACTCGCCCATCAACGGCCCATTCGAGAGACGATTCCCCAGAAGCTTCTAGGTTTCATCGTGAAAGGTCAGGGTCCATCTCCAGCCGACTCTCTGTTTTTGAACCAGGTAACTCGCCTGGCAATACGCCTCGCGGTAGACCCGAGACAGTGTCTGTTACGGCTAGAATCATCCGGGATTCACCTTCAGCGTCCCGCACACCTCCCGAATATAACAACCCCGTCGAGTTGAAGCAGTCCGCATTACTTGTAGATCATCAGAAATCTGATGCTGTGAGTCCCCCGCCTGAGCCTGTTGAGGAGGCTGTCCCAGAGAAGACAAAATCCCATCGTCGCAACGAGAGCAAGGACAGTGAGACACAGCGATCCTCTTTCAATGTTGTCAAGGAATTCATTAAGGAACATCGCAAGTCGATTGTCTCTTCACCCTCTTCTGAGGGACCTCGCTCACCTACTCGACCACCTTCAACGCACCAAAACACCACATTTGTTGGCCGCCTCTCAATGAGCAGCAGGCGGTCACTGAGCAAGGATCGGGATCTGACGGCATCGCCCTCTGTCGGTACAGACGGATCCGTCTCTGGCGATGATTCCAAGTCAACGACCAGCGATAAGAAGATGTCGCGTGCAGGGCGATTAATGCGACGCCTCTCTTCGTTCTCCGGTCCCAGCAAAGGACACAAGCATAATAATGCTCCCTCCACGAGCGGCACACCCACAGTAGCAGAAGAGGACACGGAGGCGGTTCAACCTGTGAAGCACAGTGCCCCCTCTATCGTGGCAGACTTGGGAGATGTTAATGTTCAATTCCCAGACACTCTGCTCTGGAAACGCCGTAACATGTACCTCGACTCACAAGGCTTCGTGGTACTTTCAGCACTTGCGCAGCAGCAACATCAGGCTCCAAAGGGACCAGCAACAACAGGTGTTAAGAAATATCACCTCTCAGAGTTTAAAACCCCCTACACGCCTGACGTCGAGGTACAAGAACTACCAAACAGTGTCGTGCTAGATCTGGTTGAAGGTAGTGCCGTACAAGTGGCTTGTGAAGACCGCACTGGTCAATTACATGTCTTGGAAGGTAAGTTGAGTTTGTTTTCCAATGATGAATGAATGTGGGTTCTAATGAGAGAATAGTTCTACGAAGCGCTCATGTCAAGCATGCCGGAAACTAAGATAACCTCGAGTTGACATGCATAGCGACGCCTGCGATGCTGAGACATCCACCTTGCTGTCTTCAAAACATTCACTTGGCCCCTCGGCTGCATCACACCATCACCCATTTCACTTCCGACGCGGCCATGGGCGCATAACTTTTCAGCCTAACCTAATTTTGAGAGTGATCCGAGGAGCGATCCATACGGACCCTTGCCGAACACGGTCCCTCTTCACTTTCTCTCCTTCTCTGTTCTTTCACGTTTTCTTATCATGTTCTAGATATATATTATAACTACCCCCGTGTTTGTCGTTAGCTGACTCACTACGTACCTACATTTCCCGAGGCTCCGGGACCTTTTGATATTTGCTTTCATAATCTTATTATTTCTAGTTAGTAGTTGAAAAAATCGAATGGCGAAGACGCCATAGGAGATCTACCTGGCGTGGCGATATACATGGCCGTTTCCTCAGCAGGTTGAGGGCGCCAGAGTCCTGTTTGGATCTACCCCCTGCATGATGTTTGGATCAGAACTTGACATAGCTTAGCGACTCATTCCACTCATATGGAGCAGGGCACAATGATTGCGAGGAGGTGATAGGGAGCATAGAAGGCAGGGCTACCGTTTGTTGCGAAGAAAGAAAGGCTCTGTTCTGCTGTAGTAACTAGCTGAATTGATATTCCAATGAACGATCAAGATTGATTGCTGCCTCTAGTGATAGGTGCATATGATCACAGTTGTCTTCAGACGAATTCTTACCTTCTGCTCCCAAACCCCAAACCTAACATTGAAGAGCGAAAAGTCGGTTGAAGACTGTACTTGTTATTTGCAACTGATATGGGCGGTTGTGAGGGGCTGATGATTCATGGAGATAGCTGAATAAGATACCCAATCTCATCTTCGTCTTGATTTCAAAGCAAAGCTAGATGTTATTAATAAGACCGGAACAGTTATCCAGTTGCTCTCAACAGGGACCCCCTTGCATACCATCATGGCCGATGAGGAAATTTGATCTGTCTGGCCGTTGGCTCCACATAAGACCGCAACGAGATGCGGACGTGTAAACCACCAAAGTGACTGGCTCATATGCGAATAATAGGAAACCGGAGAGGAAAGAAAAAGTATAAAGAAGCGATGTATCTGTCCTTCTAAGGTTATGGAGGAAGCATTCCGTTTTCACTCTTTACCAGGTGCTGACTGGGCTATACCTTCTCACTCACCTCGGACTCTCTCATCAAGATGCGGTTCCTGAACTTCTTTACAGCCATTTCATTGACGCCTCTGGCTTTGGCCTTCCCTCTCAACTTGACGCAACCTGGAACGATTCCAGGAACCACTAGTCACTACACCGAAGTGAGAGGCCATACGTATCATTACCTACTGGCTGAGCCGAGCTCGGAGCCAAAAGGGACAGTTCTCCTAGTACACGGCTTGCCTACGGATGGCGGTACCAGGTACCGGCCCTCACAGCCCTCGGGTATCGAGTTATTGCCCCGGACATGCTGGGCTACGCAGGGACAGACTCGCCCAGCTCGCTCATCCACTGGACTCACAAGGAGCTGGCCACGGACCTGGTCAATCTCGCCGGCCAGATCGCCCCCGGCGAGCAAGTCATCCTCGGCGGCCATGACTGGGGAGCCGGCCTGGTCTACAAGGTCGCCATGTGGTACCCCGACTTCGTCAAGGCCTTCTTCACCATCGCCGTCCCCTACATGCCGCCGTGGCTCGGGCTGTCCACCGACTGGAAGGACCTGTCTGAGCTTGTGGCCGACGGTACTTTCCCCACGCTCGGCTACCAGCTGCAGTGGCGGGACCCGTCCATCGACCGCAACTTCACGACGCCGTCGCAGATCAGGATGATGTTCAACACCGTCTTCGGCGGGACCACGCCCGAGGGAGCCTATGGATACTCCGTCAGCGAGGGATTCCTCTACGACGTGATGCCTCTGTTGCAACCGAATCCCCTTGTAAACTCTTCAGATATGGACCTCTACGTCAACAGCATCGCCAGGCACGGCGTCCGCGGAGGCTTCAACTGGTACCGCACCCGTAGGATGGACTGGGAGGACGAGCTGCCCCTCGCCGAGGAGGGCACGTTCCGGTTCAGGATGCCGTCGCTCTTCATCCCCGCGCTCAGGGACATCTCCATGCCGGAGGAGTACTATAAGGACATGCCCGGGTACTTTGACTCTTTGGCGATACGGGCGGTCGACGCAGGGCACTGGGCCCACTGGGAGGGTCGTGAGGAGGTCAACGAGATCTTGGCTGGCTGGGTCAAATCTTTGAATTAGAGACTTGTTATTTTACCTAAGCGTCCTAGAACATGTCCAAGTTTCATTTATGTGACAGGGAGTTGGGATGCGGGTGGGGAGATGGGAGTGTTCACTTATGGCAATTGTCAGGTATCTTATGTGTACTTTTAACCAACCAGCCATAGCCACACAACGTATTATTATTAATTATAAAAAATTACTACAACACACCATCATTAATTGATTTTCTATTCTGACAAGCAAAAAAAGCCCTTGGCACGCTCACATGCTCGCGTTGTGGGGGCCCGTCGGCGTGCAGCTGTCAACGGCCGTAAGTGACGATGGCAAACCAAACCAGCGCAAACCGCAAGCAAAACATATGCCACAAAAAAAAAAAAAGAAGAAAAGAAGAAAAATGCGAGGTCGAACTAGCGACCAGTGGTAAACTTGCGTTATCGGAGATAGGCTACGAACCCCGACCTGTAAGGCTCAAGCTGAGGCGTTACCATCTGAACCAGTTGTACTGACCCCGCGTGTTGACTGAGGTGATTCTATGTTGGGTTATAGCACGTAAACACAGGTGCATCCCATATTTATTTATCTGCCATTGTGAGAAGTGACTGACTGACATACAGTGGCAGTGGACAGGGCTGCTCTGCCATGCAGGTTTGAGCTGTCGAGGTGCGCATCCGCTCGAGGCTGCTCGCTATGCGCAGGTATTTTTTGTAAGGCTTGCGCGTACGCATCCATTCTCGTTACTCTTAAACAGAAGAAACATGGATACGGATCCAAGAATGGTCATTATAAAAAGAAGACGCTTCAAACACCAAATGCTGATATCCCGAGCGTCGATATAGCATGGCAGACACTTGGTAGTCTTCCCTGCTAGGGTTCGAGCACGCGAGGAGCCACAGTCTCAACGTAACTCAGGGCTCAAATACTTTCTTTTAGAAGTGAGTACATTCCCGACTTGTAGGGTGTGCTTCTTCTTCCAGGTCATTTAGTATGCTGTTTACGCCGACTCTTTTCAAACAGGAGCCGAACTCTTCGCACATACGTTAATTCATGTGAGAAATTGCAAGAATGAAAGCTAAGCTTCGATCCGTTAGTCGGATTTTACATAATTAATACCATGTATATCATCACATTTGATATATCCTCCTTCCCACCCCTACTCCAGTCCTCCCACACCATTCCTCAGGATTGTGCTTCCTTCTTCCTTCTCACGCTGATCTTGACTACGTACGCTAGACCAATGCGACTTTTCGTATTTCTGGATATCAATCTAAGAGGAGAGGGTTGCCATCCGCATTGGCGCACATCCACGGCAGTTCCTCGACCACCTTCTACTCGAGCGACACAAGAGCCCAAGTCACATCCACCATCACGAACTTGCTACATTGGACAGTCCACATCCTGACCTTGCTGAATCCTTCGCTGGCAGCTTCACGACACCCTCATGCTCCTTCTCGTTCTTTGTATACACGCTAAATCACGACTCGCAAGCAGAGGAATAACCGTCCACTCCAACGTTTCATGGCAACTCTAAAAGACCGCCGCGCAACTGATTGGCAGATGGCATAGCCGCCAGGTGGACTCACTCCTGCAGAGCACATGCATGCATACATACGCAGTCTCACCGTTCGGGAAGGTGGGAGCAGATAGGCGCCCGCCATATAGCCGCTCGTTACTACACCAGCGATCCCCCCTTCTCCAATATTTCATCGGGTAGTCCGAGGGGCTAGGAAAACTAGCGGTATGATATATTGGAGGCTGGCCTGTCGGAATAGAACATCATGATTGGACATCTATACGTCACTGGCTAGCCCAGAGTTGCGAAATCACCTTCTTCTTCACCACCATGAACCCCTCTCTCGAGAAATGAGGGGCAGGTCGCTCGCCCATCTTCTCATATCCAAAATCCTCGGAAACCCCGAGTGAGACTGTAACATCAGGACCGTTGGGGGGAAATGTCTCTCTTTCGTCATTGGTATCTCGCTAGGTATTTCGTTCCCTCGGTATTCCTCCCATGCTGTTTTGTTCCCCCGTCCCCATTCAAACCGTCCGTTTCTTCCCTCGCCCAGCCCCTCCCCAATCTCTCCCCCCCCTAAACGTAGCACATGACAGTTTGTAGCGACAGCACCGTGTATGTGTATACACATATTTTACCTCTTCCAGCCATATATTATGCACTCCGACACATACAAAACATCCCCAGATCAGGCTCATACACACACACCCCCCAGCATAATGGTATATCAACCGCCCCTCCACCTATAGTTGCCCCTTTTCAAAGAACGATAGAAATTTTTGGTTCGCCCAAGATACAAGCACCCTCACCACACTCCTTTCGTGGCCTCTAAAAAGGCAAAAAGATTTTTTCCGCGCACAGAACCGGGCAAGATGGCGAAAATAGATGGCTCAAAAATAAAAACGCCGCGTGACCCCATTGGCAAACCCCGTAGGAGGAAAGCACAGTCGCATCCTGTTGAAGTCGAGCAGATCCCAGCCTTGAAGGTGATGCTGATACACCGCACGCACGCACGCACGCGCCCCCAATTCTCAAACATAACAAAAAAAAACCAATTAGTAAAGGAGGATGCCTGTGATATTCAAAGGAAAAGAAACACAATGGATGAAGTGAAGTGAAGAGAGTGAGTAAACAATATCCAAGAAAATGTTCGTGACTAGGTCGTGGTTCAGGCCCGTAATAAGCTCGTCGAGAAATCCAAGACAGAAATGGCTATGCTGTACCTCCAAAAAAGACGCCATCTGCATACTTGAAGAGTGCCAATCGTCATAAAAAATAGCAAAACATATCCAATCATATAACAAGGTCTATCGCGAATGATGTAAATCCCAGGGACGTGGCCATATGGGACCCCAGTTTTTCGCCATACCCGAACATCCCGGCTCATCGAGAGAACGAGTCATGCCGCAAGATACAACAACAGAAAAGCAGAGAGTTGGTTCTTTCTGTCCAAGGATCGCCACATCTGAGTGCTTTGACCAGATGGTGGCCACAGGTGTATCGTCGTGGGATGATCGTCTTTGCCCCTCTCTTCGACAGACTTTTTCCTCACTGCGCAGACCTCCGAGAAATGATGCCGAGTTCGAGTTATACACGCCAGTTTTTGGTGATTCGATCCTGGGTAGAACTTCATATAATTCCGCCAGGAGGATCATACACCGCCGTGCCTGATCTTCCTGCCGTGCTCCCTACACCTGCAGACCCGCCGTCCTCAGCAGGCGCCGTCGTTGTTCTCCTCAACATGAACATAGGTTTCTTGCCTTCCTTGTCCAGTTGTTTGAACAGGATCAGCGGCTTCTCATCCATCCCTAGGCAGCGCTCTTGGTCACCGTAGACAATGTAGAGTGCGTATTGATCCCAAGGGGCGTTGATCTGATACTTCTTGAGCGCTGCAGGGAGAACCTTGTGACATGGGTCATCCATGCTAACACGGAAGCTCTTGAACATGTCGGCACCCCCTCGATCGTTAGCGATACCGCCGGTAGCAGTCGGGGTATCTACCGTAGGCGTTTCTCGCCTGATGGGCTTCGAAGCAACGCGAGGATAGTTGCCGTGGTCCGTATCGCTCCTTGCTGTTGCAGGCGACGGCTCGGCGCGGTAAGATCGTGAGGCCAGGGTGCCCAGATGGGTTTGTGGCGACGTGGGGGATGGGATGTTGGGAGAGGGGTATCCAGTAAGGGTGCTCTGGGCGGAGCCGTTCATTGCAGCCAAGTGCGTCGATGAAAGAACCGCCCGCTCAGCAGCCCCTGCAGGATCCAGGCTTGGCATCTCAGCTATTGACCTCTCATACGTAGCTGTCGTCGGTGATGCATTTTTCGGCGTGGTGCCAATCATTATCTTTCGTTGCGAGTACGCACGCTTGGGGCCTTGGGCTGTGCCTGGTGTCGTAACCGGGGGAGATAATGTAGAGTTGTCGTATGAGTAGGAAACGCCACCGAGGTTCGGTAATGGTTGTTGTTCCTTGACTAATCGAAGAGCAGGGAGCATATCTTCTCGTAGTCGTCGGAAGTCTTCGGCCGTCCGTCGAAGATCTTGTTCCAGGAGATTCATTCGCTCATCCCTCAGCCGCAGCTGCTCTACTAAATGCTTGATGTCTTTGATGGTGGCTGTGGCATACTGGGCCTCAGCATCGGCGGCTGTTGATCCATGGTTAGCGGCGTCCAGGTGTCTGGGATCGGAAGGTTAAAAAGCGATCGGCAGACGTACAGAGCGGCATGTAATGGTCACTTTCCATAGCAACATCCTGTGCCTTCTTCACATCGTAAACGCTCTTGAGAATGCTAAGTCGGTGTCCAACACTGGTGATGCCCATGCTCTTCAGATCATCGTGGTGGAGCGCCACGAGAGCCTCTCCAACAATCTCGTTCTCTGCAACCGCATTATCACTTGTTAGCAATCCAAACCTTGTGCGTAGTTTTCAATCACCCGGTTTTATCAACAAGACGTACGGATAAAGCGGTCGGCATATTGCTGCAGCCCGAGGCTTGCGATGAAATCGGCACACTCCTCCGCCGTCCATTCGGTGACGATTGTCTCGGGAAGGCGATCGGCGCTCGTTCGGTGTCCATATGTCGTGGGCGTGTGCTCTGCCGAGGTGGACAATTCAGAATCGATGGGTGAATGTTCCGAGTCGTTGATGGGTGAATGGCCACGCTCGTACTCGTCGTCGGCATCCGACTCGGCGTAAGCCGTCCCTCCAGCGAACTCCATGGTCTCGACCCGACTAGAAGGCCGGCAAGGAGTCTGGAGAAAGGGGCAGGAAGGCTCGTGGAGAGCCGACCAGGTCTGTCTCGTGGATAACTAATGCAGCAGCGGAGACCTCTCCTGAGTCGCCGTCAGAAGAGATGGTCGGCGTGAGCGAGAATAAGCCAGCGTCGTGAGATGAGCCCCCCGTCGGGCGAGGTGGGTGGTTATTGGTGTCGGCCACCGAATTGCGTCAGCCAGTCGTCCTGGCGGTTGGCATGGATTGTCGCGGCGGATCTGATGGCAAGCAGGCGGCTAGAGCGTTGGTTGGTGAGCAAGAGAGGGGACGAGTCGGGAGTGGAAAATTGTACCCTCTCGATCGGCGGACCCGGAGGATGTGGTGAGGGCCAGGCGGCTGCAGGGCGAAGAAGAGAGAAATGCGAAGCAGGGCAGAGCAGGCGAGGATAGGCAGGTGCTTGCGTCGTTGTGTGTGTGCGTGTTCGTGTGCGTGAGGGTGGTTCAGCGTTCTCATCAACGTACGTCGAGCGATGGAACGGCTGGAAAGGTCCAATCCAAGCCCGACTGGCTGCTCTGTCCCCACCCTCAGGTCCCAATGGAAGTGGACGCTGGCTCGCTAGCTGGTGGTGGTGGTGGTGCTACCGTCAGTGCCCGTAGGTACCTAGCAGCCAGGCTCCCCATCGCAAGTTAGTGCTCAATTGGAGGACACGGGCAGGTTTTGTGGGCACCGGAACCCCCAGCCTGTACCGCCGACAGCTCGAGGTAGGTAGAACCCCAAGCAGGTGGGAGAAGAAGAAATGAGACACCAAATTGATAAGCACTATCTGCAATAACCCGGGATTACAATAATCAAAATGTTAAATTGACGATATGGACTGCATTGTCTCTTTGATTTCTTAATTTCGTCCGCAATAGTTGAGAAATATTCGTCACAGCAAGAATGGACAGGCCATGGTGTATCGATTTCAATGCCACCTGGTTGAGTCCGGAGGCACCGTCCAGTGGGTGCACCTGTAGGTGACAGGGTGGAGAGAGGGGACTGAGGGGAAGGGAGCATACCGACCGACGCCTGGCCATGTCGGTGGCTACTGGTTTTTTTAGCACAGCGCTGGCCACTCTGCTCCTCTGTGGCCCCCTCTACCACCGTTTTATGTGGCAGACTTATCACCTAGCGCAGGCGGGTAGGCCTTGGGCTGGCTTGTGGAAGGGCGAGAGATCCCCATGGCACGGCACCTCAGCCACTCAGCCTCCGTCCGGATAGAGGTACCCAGAGGTTACCTAGTAGAGATGGGGGGGCCTGCCTCCAGTCGCTGCCGCGCCCCAGTCCGCTCTCTCCGGGTACGTACCCAGGGCGTCCAGGCCCCTAGCTCTAGCGGTAGTCAGGCACAGAGACGCCGTGGCCAGGGCGCTACTCCCTACTGGTAGTCGCTCCCGCGTGGGCCCACAGAAGTAGCATTAGAGTGTGGCACAGCTGCCAGAGCGACCAACCGAATGGCGAAATCAGCAGGCGAAGAACCTAATGATAGATACAACGGAGCAATTCGATCAATCCTTCTGGTCTGCAGTTGATCACTCCAGCTCTCCAGCTCTCCAGCTCTGTGCAACCCATATAATGGCTGGGGGACCAGGACCATTGTCTACATATCGCCCTGTCCGAGCATAAATTCCCCCCTCGAAGGGCAGGAGGTTCTCTCAGGCTGGTTGGCCCCACCCAGAGTCGAGCTTCTGTCCTTCCACCGGCGCAAAAGCAACACCAAAGTGCTACAGGGTTTCCCCCAATGTCAGCAATGCCCACCGGCGAGAAGAGAAGAAAAAAAGCACGGTCCCTCGGGCCAGGCAAGCCCATCTTCATATTCAACAAACCCAGGCAATAATACCAATATCTCGCCTGCCCAGGCGCAGGCTCAGCATTCTTGGCTTGTTGATCGCCACCTCACCTCTATTCCCATCTTGCGCGCCCCCGTTTCTCGAGCGTGAGACACACAAGGCTCCCGTTCCAGCCCTCGTATCGGACTCCTACCAGCTGGCCCCAGGTTTCAGGTTTCGACCTTGGCCTCTGCTAGAGAGCAAGTGTAGGGAGCTATAGTAGGGCCGCACTATATACATAGTATACCTCAAGGTCCCCCCGGGCGATATGATCGCTTAGCTCTCTCCGAGCTGAATGCGCTAGAACATTAGTCCCCTTGGTCCACTGCTCTTCCACGCAGTAGGGGGTTTGCGAATCGAAATCTCAGTTTTTCCCGCAAGGGGGAAAATAAACGGTAGATGTCGAACCCTGGCTATCGCATGATGATCAGCGTCTTCACTTACTTTCCTGGATACCGGCACGGTGAGCTACCCAGTCACTGGAGAAGGCTAAGCGTGGAGAAAAGTGGCGGCGGCAGTTCGTCTGGCGAATCCTGTCATCACCAGCTTGGCGCGCGCATCCAGCCTATGCTAGTGCATGCATATTCTAGAGCTATTAGCGAGTCCATTTGCTCCACAGATAGTAGAGCTACTGCCTACAAGATTCCGGCTCTCTCTCTTCCGTCTATTTAATAGGTAGTTCGATCGTAAATTCATGAGAACAGTCGAGGACCTACGTCACAATTTCAAGGTGAGCGAAACCCCACGTGGACAGGAGCTTGAGGCTGAAACCTCAGGGTGTGTTCCCCCCCCTGCTACATTCACAATCCTACCACACCTTAGGAAGCTAAGCAGGTTGCGCAGGTGTAAGTCAATAGTGTTTATTATCTATCTACATGAATAATTCGGAGTCAATATACAATAATTGCTCCTGTGGAAGAGCCATTGGCTTCTCCCTCGCAGATCCACATCCTCTGTCAAGCCAAAAGAGACAAAAAGAATCCCTCGGCCCAAGCATCTGCTCTCGCCTCACAGTGTCTTGCTATTTCTATGCTAGATTCGACCCCTAAGACCCCTTGGCGAGGTCTCAACAGAAGAAGTAGATTGTTGAAGAGAAGAAAAGGTACATGATTGATAACAGTGGGATGTACTATCAAACATGCGAGGATGTAATAATAATATACCGAACGAAAGTAACGAAGTGTATGCAGATATCCCATGCAGGCTGTATCGAGATGCGCCCCCAAACTCCAATGTAATGTAATGATGCCAAATATCTCTATGTCGAAGCTTCTTGGAACTTCTCAAGGTCGCGGGACCTTGATTGCGATGCAATATTAAGTAGAGGTTACCGTTTACCGCAAAGGAAGCTTGGCGTCGGTCGCGCCATAACGAATAACGTCCTCGACAGCCCATCTGGGAGGGTTGATGGGTGCGCCGGTCTCTGCGCGCCATTGCTTCTCCTCCTCAGGGGAAACGCTATCAGGAAGAGGCTCGAGACCACCGGCGATACCAGAGGAGTACCTCAACTGCATACGGTCTGCGATCTCGTCGCAAGCGACCAACAGGCGGTCAAGATCTTCCTTGTTGTGAGCCGAAGAAACACAGAAGCGAGCACGAGAGGTAATCAGAGGAGTAGCAGGGTACCCGACGACAACCACCGAGATCTTGCGTCGAAGCATCTCGTGGGAGAATGCAGGGATCTTGGCAGGGTGGTAGAGCATGACGGGGACGATTGGAGAGTCATCATGTCCAGAGACGATATAACCGAGACGCTTGAGTCCCAACCGGAGGTAGCGGGAGTTGAAAGCAATACGCTCGAGACGCTCTTCGCCTTGGCCCGGGCACAGCTCGCCAGTGATCATCTTGAGAGAAGCAAGAATTTGCATCAACACGCAGGGGGTAGGAGACTCTCCCAATTGCATGCCCACGTTCGAGGACTTAAGTTTGTCGATGATGTCCTTGTTCGCGGCAATGTATCCACCGTTGGCGCCAAAAGACTTTGTCAAAGTGCCCATCAGAATATCAATATTAGAAGGATCAACGCCAAAGTAGTCACAGACACCACGGCCGCGAGGGCCAAGAGCTCCGACAGAGTGGGCCTCGTCAATGTAGAGGTAGAATTTGTACTTGTCCTTCAGAGACAGAATACCAGGGAGATCACACATGGTACCTTCCATGGAGTAGAGACCTTCGACGACAACGAGAATCTTCTTCCAGGGGCGGTGGGTTCGGGGCTGACCCTGAGAGATGGCCTCACGGAGGACACGCTCAAGATCGGCAACGTGGTTGTGCTTGAAAGACTTGATGACAGCTCCAGAGAGACGCGCGCCAATGCGGATAGAGGCATGGTTGAGTTCATCAGAGATAATCAGGCATCCCTTTCCGACCAGAGCCTGGAAGGTACTCGAGTTGGTGACATATCCCATAGGGAAAACCATGGAAGCGGGCTTGCCCACGAAAGCGGCAATCTCGCGCTCAACTTCCAGAGCGAGGTCGGTGGTACCGGAATCCATTCGGGGGCTAGCGGAGGTGAGACCATATCGCTTGACACACTCTTCGACGGCATCGGCACACGGGCCTTCAGACTGAGCAAAACCGAGATAATTGTACGAGCTCATGTTAAGTGTCTCAGTGGTGGTACCGGTATACTGGTAGGTGCGGTTGAAGTCGTCGGACTTGCGGTCCAGGAGAGTAATGTATCGGCCGGGAACACCAGTGGTTGGGCGGGCAAAGCAATCGTCCAGCCTCATCTTGAGTCGGCGGGTGTAGAAATTGTCAAAGTCGTCATTGAGAGGTGCATAACCGTTCTGCACCTTGAGCGAGTCGTAGTGCTTCTTGTCGCCGAATCGCTTGCCGAAAAAGTCTCTGATGTGGCCCAGAAGAATGAGGAACAGGTAGCTGACATAGGTCGTCAGAATGTAGTAGTAAGGAGGCTCGTCTTCAATGGGATCTTCCAGCGGCTGCCCATGAGACGCGCTGGTATACCGATGGCTTGGGTGGTTGAGGGGGCCAAATTGGGCTTCTGCCCGTCGTTGACGCTCAACCTCCTCGGCAGTCTGGGGCTCAAAGAGCATCGTGGTTGACGAGTTCTCAACGACGCTGGTGTCGGCTGAGGACAGAGAAATGGTAGGCAGCATTCCAGGGGATTGCATTGTGCCAGTGGCGTTAGCCAGCTGGGGTTTCTGGTGCTGCTGCATGGCAAGGAGGCTCTGCTGGGTGTGCTCTTGGTTCTTGGAGCTGGAGAAGAATTGAGCTAGCCGGTTGGCTTTGGAACTGGAAGGACGCCTCTCGCGCAATATGTCGGATTGAGGCATTGCGGGAGTGGAGGAGGAAGAGAAGGGGTTCGCAAGTCGACGGGGCATTGCTTTGGCTGAGGAGCAGTATGTAGATAATGTAACTTGGATATGGTCCGAAGACTGTTGGTTTCACCCCTCACAAAGATAATCAAGACCGCACAAAAGACCAAGTCTGGTGGCTATGAAAGTAAATTGTCAGTACAACTGCTATGAATCAAGCTGTGCTGTGTAATATCGAGGCAGTGTGGGAATCTCTCAATCGCATCTTATCATGGACGTGGGGGATATTGCAGCAGTAACAAGACGCGCAGGAGGCAGGAGAGCTCCACAGCAAGTTCCAGAGACGTGAATGGCAAGAGTCAGAGCTCACACCCGGCAGCCATCCACAAACTCCCAAAAAAAAACGCTGCTGCAAGGTTGGTGTTGTCACAATTGATGCATGCGAGAAACCAACAACCAGGAATTAGGCGAAGCGGAGAGATGGGGAAGGGGGATCGGGCGGTGAAGACGGCCGTGTGCCAATGAGCCAGCCACACCGCCAGCGCCTCGCATATGCACCATGGCTCGAACCGGCAATCTCAAGATAACAGTCGGGTACTAACCTTGTCCAATGGAGAGACTCAATGCGATGTTCTCGATTGAGGGCTCAACGCGGCTTGAAGACGGTCCCGCGAGAGACAGAGACGGGATTGGAAAGAGGTGAAGCAGAGGAACGCGAAGAAGCAGCAGGATGCTGTTTTCTGTAGGGGCTCTGCGGCGCCGGAAGCCCGGAGATGACGAAAGGGCCACCCTAGTAATGAAATGCCACCACCCGCGTTTCTGCGTCGACACCACGAATTAAACAGCGCAAACCAGTCGAAGCCTGCCTGAATGAATGTCGAGGGACTATCGACGCTCACGGTGACAGAAGCGGGAGGTGGTAATATTAAGTCGTAGGTTTGGAGAGCAGACGGGACTGAAGAGAAGGAAAAAGGCAGTGTGGCACGGGCGAGATGAATTGTGGGCACAGTGGAAAATTGGAGCTTATGCTAGAGAGAGTTTGTGACAGAGGAAAGGGGAGGGAGTCACCAAGCTTGCCGACCCGCCTGTCATGGGAAATCCTGTACTGCGATTGGGCAGAGAACAGACGAGGGGCAACAGGGGCGAGCCTTTCAGGTACCGGGCACTGTGATTTTATAGGCCCTGGGCAGCGAGCCCAAATTGCAGTACAGCACCCATGCTGGTGACCAGTGGGCCTGCGACAGCATTGATGGCTTCGACGGGACACCAGCGCCCTGGTCGTGTCATCATCCGTCCAATCCCACGGAAGTACTCTTGCTGGTAGCTATTAGTCGTAGCTGTGTCGCGTGCGGATGAGCCCAAACACTTCGTGTGAGGGCCCGAATCACACGGCGCGATGCCACAGTGCGATGCGCGGGCTGCCCCTCTAACAGCCGGCTCCCTGCACACTCATCTATCTGCCTGCGTGGACGCTCAATGGCGATCGCCCGTTGTCTCCAGCCAATGCTACCTGACCAGCGAGGTGTCCTGGGCGAAAAGGTACCTCCTCGCTACAGACGGCCAGCTCCATCCAGGCGATCGGTGCATGATCCACTAGTATATTTAACTTGCATGGTGCTAATTAGACCATGGCAGCGGCCAATGGATACACACCGAAGAGCCGGGCAAATTTTTCGGTATCCGCGAGAGTCAGGGGCCAGAGCGACAAGGCGCGCGGGCTGTTCCATACCCTACCATGTAAGCCTTGGAAATGGGTCACGGACGTTTGATAATATCCGATTCTTGCCTCTTCTGCTTGTTGCCCAGGAAGACGGGAGGCAAAAGGCAACAACAAGGCTAGTCCCGAAAACCCATACACAGTGCACTCACACACAGACGCACAAGCAAGCTGAGCCTGAAGTGGCTTTTCCATGACGGCATCGCAAGGGGGCTCGGCTCTGCAGCTTCGCACATGCTGCTGGAGGCGGTACCCTACTAAAACAGCCTTTTCGTGTCCGACACCGAGGCGCCTGACTGCCTTCACCACACCCCAAACTGGAACCGGCCTATCTGCGACGGAATGGATGAAGTCTGGACAAATAAAGCCAACCTTAACGTTTCGCATTACTCATTATCCCGCGCATCATCCACATATCCGCTTCAGGATCATACCACTACCGCATTTGCTTGCTTTTTTGCATGGGCCGCGACTCCCGATCGGCGCCGAATCAGCGTGGATACTCAGACCTGAAGCGCTTCCGCCTCTGACAACAGTTTCTTGTGGAAATCATTGTGCCCACTCCCGATCGCCAACCCAACATGCATAGCCCTCCTATGCAACTATAAATATGTAGTACGTATGTACAATCGCGGCGTTGCTCATTCCAACCGCGCAGGTGAGGGGTTGAAACGCAAGATCGTCGTCATTAAGTGATGAATAAGCCGCAAGACTGGCAGGTGTGGTCATCCTTCCACGTTTTACTCTATATTTATTCATTGTAGTATATTTTTATCTATCTCTATCATTGTTTCCCCGCCCAGTCTTTGAACCATTCCAAAGCCTCGGGGTTGGCAACGCTGGCATTGGTCTTGACATCCAGGCCTGATATTATCTGCTTCACAGCAACTTCAATTCTGCAAGTAAAAATAACTATTAGTGTACTGATGTAGACAAACGGATGAAGAGCCGAGGAAGCCGGCAACTTACTTCTTTCCATTCCCAGTCTTTGGGATTCCCCCTCCGCACTCTTCCACCACACCCGGGACGTGGCGGGGGCTCAGCTCCGTCTTGATCTTAGCCCTGATGTCTATCTTGATCTTCTCGGAAAAGGCAGTCCCCGCGGTCATCACTAAAAACAAACAGACCGTCTCGTCCGTGTCGGTCAACCTGCGACGCCCGACGCAGACTGCCTCCTCGACCTCGGCGGCGAAGAACCTAGTCAGGATATTGTAGATCTCCGCAGACCCGAAGCGGACGCCGGACGGCTTCAGCACCCCGTCCGACCTGCCCAGCATGAGCAGGCTGCCCGTGTCTGGGTCGGGGATCTTGACGAAGTCGCCGTGGTGCCACACGGGGCCCCTTGCGCCGCAGATGTCCTCGAATCGCTCAAAGTAGGCCGCCCTGTATTTGGCGTCGCCGTTGGGTCCGAAGAAGGTCAACGGCTGGCATGGGAATGGCCGTACGCAGACCAAATCGCCAGCTTCCCCGGCTGGGACCTCCTCCCCTGTGATTGAGTCCACCACACGGATGGCCATGCCGAGCCCGGCGCATTGGATCTCCCCGACGCGGACTGGAAGGAGCGGGCAGGGGGCGCCGAAGAGAGAGATGATGTCTGTACCGCCCGTAATAGATCCTAGGTTAATGTTCTTGGGAAATGCCTCGTAGACGAACTTGAAGGTCGAAGGGGGAAGAGGGGAAGCTGTGGAGTAGATTGCTTCTAGACTGGAAAGGTCGATGCCAGGTTCCTTAAGGGGCAATACATTGTTCGCTTCCAGCGCCGTAAGGTACGCAGCAGAGGTACCAAAGTGAGTGACCTTGAGCTCAGAGAGGATTCGAAGCAGCGACATGTGAGAATGCGGCCGGAAGGGAGAGCCAGAGTAGAGGACGAGGGTGGTGCCCGCGGCCAACGCGCCGATGCTCCAGTGCCACATCATCCATGACGTTGTGGTGTAGTACAGCATACGGGAAGCCTGCGTGAGTGAGCAGTGAAGAATGTGCTCCTTTTTGTGTTGGATCAAGGTTCCCAGCGCTGTGTGCACAATAGCCTTAGGTAGACCCGTTGTGCCGCTCGAGTAGAGGATGTAAAGGGGGTGAGAGGGAGGCAGTTGCTCGAACGTAAGTGGTTTGTCGGCAGGTGAGGACGCAAGGAACGAATCATAATCAACGGAAACGACACCGAGCGCCGAGAGATCCTTAAGACCAAGATCAGTGTTGATGTTGTTAATGACGACGACAGATTTTAAGGTCTTGGCGTTTTGTTGAAGTTCCTTCACGATCTCAAGGGTCTTAGATGTACTCGACCACTCCTTGCCATTGTAGACAGTTCCGTTATCAGCGAAAAGCACCTTGGGCCCAATCTGTCCTAATCTATCAAGGACGGCGGAAACACCATTGTCAGGGCTGATTCCTGTCCACACGGCTCCCACTGACGCCGCGGCGAGCATGGCAACCAGAGCTTCCACGTGATTGGAGACATATCCTGCAACGATGTCACCAGCCTTCAGGTCCACGGGTGATTGGCGGAGTGCGTTGGCGCAACGGCGCACAGCTTCCCGAAGCTCTGACCAGCTTGTCTCACGGAGAGAGCCAGGAAGCTCTGTGAGAGTGATGGTGGCCGGAGAAGCAGGGTCCAGAGGGGTTTCCAAGGGCGGAAATAGCAGATTCTCAGCAAAGTTCAGGCGAGAATTTGAGAAGAAATCGGGCCGAGGAAACATAGGAGCATCCTCTGGGAAGGCTTTGAGCTAGGATTTTGTTAGAACTCCGGCAGCGGACAGAACAGACAAAATGACAAGGAGGGCAATGTCGTGCGAAATAGCAAACTGAAAGCAGCGCTGGATTGAACCATTTCTCAGGGAGTGGCTGGCCAAGAGATTCTTATGCGTTATAAAGCGCGACCAGTCCTTGTCTCATGCCAGTTCCCAACCATCTTCATCCAAGCGCAAACAGGAACAGAGAGATGAAGGGTATCGGAGGGAATCAATTTCATACATACTTTACCGTCGACCTCGCCCTTGATGCCAACAAAACTCCAGCATTCTTCCCAGAAGAGTGCCACATTGTCGATTGACCACCTATAAAGCCCCTTGTAATCCGAAATGTTCAAATTGTGCTTCACATTGACAGTCTGGATGAACCGCCACATCGCCGTCGACGCGGGGTCGGAATGCCTCCAGAGCTCCTCGGCCATTTTTACCAGGTCCCTCAATCCAGCGAAAAGTGGTAAGTTAGTGACCGAGATCCTAGAAAGATGGAAAATAAAAGAGAACTGGAGGAAACGAGGCCGAGAAAAAGAATAACCAAAGACAACTACTGCGATGGCGGAGAGGAAAAGGTTGAGAAGTTACTTTATTACCACCGTACTTTACTACTTAGGCTGAGTTCTGTTGGGATTAATGTTCCGCGGCATCGTGCCGCATTGCTGTTAGTACTGCGTCGGTTCGGCTCCTAGACCGGCGCAACCCGTGGAAAGGCGAAATTGGACCATCGGATCCGATACCGACTTGAAGCTTATGGCTGGTGCTGTGGCTAGTGCTGTGGGACTTCCTCTGATCGACTTCTTCAAAACCCCTCGGTTCATTCAAATACCATTCCATATTTCCCAAGACTGATTGGCTATTTGTGCTCGCCCTAACGGTGTTTGACAGGCTAGGAGTAGTGTAGTCACATTTCGGCATTTTGAAAGTCTGGCAAACTATTCATTGTATAAGACTCATCTAGCTTCATCGTCTAGCTGAACATATCTTCATAATTCGTTTATAACATGCCTGAAAATATTTCCATCCCCCCCATCAGCCATAGAATATCCAAAATCCGGGATAAAGAAAATAACAAGTATCGTGGTACATGTACGTGTACTATGCAATGCTCGAGCGAGCCCTCAAGACGCCTGGTTGTGTATGCCAAAAAGAAGAATCGGACAAAAAAGTGAACATGATGAGCGTGGGATTCCAACTCCTTTGCCTCTCCCACATGCCGGAAAAATAAATCAACGCTTTACTCGGTGCTGGACCTTGGAACGGGACGGATGTGTATAATATGGCGAAATGGGTGTTTCCGGGGGTCGATTACTCGGTGATGGCCCCATCTCCTCCCAACTCCGAGCTCGAAACCGAGTCCGGGTCGACAGATCTTAAGAGCAGCACCAGCCGGTAGGCACTGTTGCCGTTGAGATAGTATCGATGCAGCTTCTTAGACCGAAGGAACCCCAGCCGCTCATATAGTCTCATGGCAGAGAGGTTGTCCTCCTCTGTCTCGAGGACGATCTCATCGGCCTTGCGCACCGCCATGGCATCGATGGCCATCTTGACTAGCGCCGTGGCGACACCGCGGCCACGGTGAGGAGAGGCAACGGCCAGCATGGCAATGTAGCCCCGCCGCGTTGGGACCGAGTGTACGGCGTGTACCTCGAGCTTACAAATAATAACTCCAATCAACGAACCATCTACCGGGCTCAATGCCTATCAGGAAGTCAATATCGGGCAACCGGCAGCACTGGACTCGAGGAGGAAGGCTAGACCGCCTGGCATACCATGAAGCAGAGATGTGCCCATTGGCAAAGGAAATAACGGTAGACATAGATGCTGTAAGGCTCGCTGAGGTCTTTTGAAATGAGTGCTCTAATGGCCGGAAGATACTGCGCTTCTAAATTGTGATGGTACTGGACGAAATGGAGCTCCTGAGGAGGCTCTGCCGTTTGAGCCATGGTAAACGTAGTATAGCAGGACGGTAGCGCAGAATCACTTGCAGCTTGCTGGTGGACGGGATTGGTGGTATGGTGTGGGTGTGGGGAGGTGAGGAGTCGAGATGCAGAACCTCGGTGGATGAGGAGATAAAAAAGTCGACGGTGATATATCAACCGGCGTCCTGCACCATCGACTCTGACGATGACTCACGAGATAGGCGTTGAACGCTCGCAGTAAGCCCGAAAGTCGCAACTAGTGGTGCCGGGTGGTGTGTTGGCGGGCGCCTGTTTGGTCAGGTTGACACGAGATTTCAGGCACCGACCTGCGACTTTTGCCCCAAGATCCCAGATTCCAGAAGTGGCGGTTGTTGCTGGGCATGGACGGGCTGGGGAGGGGTTTGGCAGCGGGACAAGTCTGGCGTGTGCCAGGGATTTAGCGGGAATTCAGCCCTGTGTGCGCCTGAGGCCCGGCGAATGACGCACCATTTAGCGGCCGCTGCGCCCTGAAAACCGCCCCTGGCCAACGGGCGCCCAGCACGGCCACGACTCCCCACGTCGGCGACAAGTCCGCTGTCGGCGGCTTATGTAAGGCGAGCCGACGCGGATTTCCCCAACTTCCTCCTCCTTGCTGGGCCTGCCTAACCTAGAGTGGCACAGAGTTTCCACGTATCATGGGAGATGAATATGAAGTAAAAGGCCAAGACAATGCGCCATAATTTCTAATTCGCCGGGGAAGAATGCGGAGAAAGAGGAGAGGCGCGATGATACATAAGCGCTGAAAATTAACAGCAAGTTGCATGCTCTTTTCCTTAATACATCTAGCCCCGAGAGCCGTGAATCCTGACAATGCTACGTGCTGACCTCCTGCTCTTCCCACATAATTAGCTTTTAAGCATGGTTGCTCCCCAAGTACCTTACCCAACCTCCTAGCTCCTTGTGCGACGGACCAGGGAGACTACTCCCTCCCCAGCCATGATCTTCACTCACTACTCATCAAGTCGGCTCGCGTCGAGGCTCCCCCACTCTCTCCTTCTTGTTTATCCGGTCCTACATCTAGTATCCGGCCTTTCTCCAGGCTGGCCCCACGGGGTAATGGAGGCCTCATGTGAGTTGTCCTGCCCAAACCGGCCTAGAAACGCATACGCACCTTGTAATTCTGGTCTCCCACAAGGGTCCTTGTGCCATGTGGAGGTGTGTGTGCGGGGGAAACAAGGTCATTCTCCTGTCTGAGGTGGGGTTGGATGAGAATACCGTCACATCAGAAGCCCTTGTTGATGAGGGGGAGTGCGTGCTGGTCATGGAAGTTGACCGAGAGTGTAATCCGCATTTACCTCGTGGTAGCCGTCGTGGTTGCCGGGACACAAAGTATAAAAGGGCACCGGTTTTCGTTTGTTTTCCGGTGTTGATTAACTCTGAACCGCAACGGCTTCGAGACTCGCTTACAGACTTACTGAACTGCTTCTTCCTGATCACAGGAAAACGTACCCCCAAATATTTTTATTCGAGATATGGGATTTTTTAAAACTCATGCTGCTGGGACCAATGATCCCCCCGAGGTCCGTAACTGGACCATCCACATGATCGCCCTTGTGGCGTCCATGTCGGCTTTGGCAAGTACGTTTGAAGCTTCCATCTCATATGTTCCGTCTCTGTCCTGTGACTCGGTCAATATCCGTCGAATCATGCTGACATGGTGTTATTCATAGTGGGCTACGATACCGCCGTCATTGGTGGTACAATGGCTCTTGACTCGTTCAGGAAAGACTTTAAACTTGACGATATCCCCCAGTCGCAGATTGACACCATACAAGGTAACATCGTGTCCACCTTCCAGGCGGGCTGTTTCTTTGGCGCTCTTCTCACCTTCCCATTTGCGGAGCGATATGGACGAAAGAAGACAATCTTCGTTGCTGCTCTGGTTTTCCTCCTGGGTGGTACTCTGATGACTATCGCCAGAGGAAACATGAACCTGATAGTCGGAGGCCGAGCTATCGCCGGTCTTGGCATTGGCTCAACCTCCATGTGTGTCCCTGTCTACATTGCCGAAGTTGCCCCACCCTCCATCAGAGGTCGGCTTATTGGTATCTTCGAGATTGCATCCCAGGGGGGTGGCATGCTTGGCTTTTGGATCAACTATGCCACATCTCAGACCATATCCGTCGACTCCATTGCCCAGTGGACCATCCCACTCGCCCTGCAGTTGGCACCTGGTGTCATCCTCGCCTCTGGTATCATGTTCTGCCCCGAGTCACCTCGCTGGCTGGCCCGCCAGGATCGCTGGGAAGAGGCCGAGGATGTGCTGATAAAGGTCCGGAACCTTGACTCGAGCCATACCTACCTCCAGCAGGAGATTGCGGAGATTCGCTTGCAGGTCGAGCATCGCAGTACCATGAGGCTCAGCCGTAAGCAGCAGTTCAAGAAGCTGTTTGCACCTGGCGTGCGCAACCGCATGGGTATCGGCATGTTCCTCATGCTTCTCCAAAGCTGTAAGCTCCACTCATGGTTACCTGTTATTGCAATATGTATGCTGACCATCTAATATAGTCACTGGTGTCAACATCATCACCTACTATGCCCCAAGAATCTTCGAGACCCTTGGTATCACGGGAACTAGCACCAAGCTGTTCTCCACTGGTCTCTATGGTTGCTTCAAGACCCTGGGTATGATTACATTCACCTTCATTGTCGTAGAACGGATTGGCCGACGCAAAGGTCTCGTGTGGGGCGCCTTCTTGGGCTGCATCCCCATGTGGTACATTGGCGGATACGTCTTGCGGGCCGACCCGGCCGGAGCAGCCGCGGCAGGTCACACACAGCAGACGGGCTGGGGATACCTGGCCATGGCTTGCGTCTACCTCAATGCCTTCATCATCTGCGCTACCTGGCAGGGCATCACCTGGACCTACTGTTCCGAGATCTTCCCTCTGGACATCCGCATGCTCTGCGTGGCCATCACCACGGCGGACACTTGGGTGGGCTCCTTCGTCATTGCACGGTCAACTCCCTACATGATCAGTGGCCTTGGGTATGGAACGTATTTCGTCTTCGGCGGCATCGTTGTGCTGATGGGTATCTGGGCATTCTTCTTTGTGCCGGAAACAAAGGGTAAGTCGTTCTATGCTCTCACCTAACATACCTCTTGATTACTTGGGGCTAACATCTTTCTTCCACAGGTGTCTCACTCGAGGACATGGACGCGCTCTTTGCTACATCCACTGTCAAGACGGTCTGGGCGCAGCTCCGGGGCAGGAAGCTCCCAGGTCTTGACGCAAGCGGTGTCAGGACCAGTGAGAAGGAGGACGTGGAGATCGCTCATCAGGAGAAGCGATAACACGGGCCGATTCGTTGAACCTAGGGCAAGTCACAGCGAGGAGCAGTCAGTTGGGGGGGTCGGGGGCAGTGTGACAGCGTCATATTGCTCGTTCCTTTGTTTAGCAAGCAGGTCTTGGGTCGAACGACCACCTCCCCCTCCACTTACTTTAGTCAGTTTCTCAATGATGCAACGAATTGGGCGAATCTCCGGATTCGTACCTCCCAAACTTTTCCCTTCGGGTCTGAACCCCTGAATACTTACAGTGAAAATGAAAAAATAATCAACAGAATGCTATGCACCAGCCATATGTTTGATTTAAGCCAGTACTCCCAGACGCCAGTTTGAAGGCAAAAGTTCATATAAGAAGTGGTCCACACCCTATGTCAGTACTTAGAGAGCTTAAATACTTGCCATTTCAGGAATGTATTGCGTGGCTTGCTGCTCCATCTGCTGAGGCCGCTGCTCGGGCAGCGACTTGGGATCGAAGCTGCTCATGGGACGGAAACCTTCAGGCTGGACCGCCTGGATAGGCTGGATAGGCTGCTGCATCGCAGGGGCCATGGGCACGTTGTGAGGGGCAGTGAAGCCCGCCGACGAGTGGTGGGGCATGGCGACTCGAGAAGGACCAGGAGGCGGGTGCTGGAGGAACTGGATCACGTACTCCAGCTTGGCATCCAGGCGGCGGTTGCTCTCTGCCAGCGTCGAGACGACGGAGAGTGTCTGGTCGGCCACGCGGGTGAGGTGGATCTGGACTCTCATCAGCTCCCGCATGCCTCGCTCCGTGTCTGCGAGCTGGTCTTGGAGCTGAGCGACATCCGTGTCGTCCACATAGTCACCAAGGACGGGGTGGTGCTCAAACATGTTGGAATGTGCGTCGGAACTCTGGCCTCCCTCCGATTCAAGCCAGTTGTCTGAGGTGAGAGGTAGCTCTGTGTCAAGATGATCAAGTCGGGCCTCGACGGAAACACCTTGGAGGCCGATGGGGACGTGTCTAGAGCCGTCTTGGGCGGCACGTAGAGCGGCTTCCTTGCGAAGGTGGCGCTTAACCATGACTTCTGCGTCGACGCCGCAAATCAACTTGCCACTCTGGCGACTGTGTTGGCAATATAGAGAACCTGATTAGTAGACTGTATAATCTGATATTGGGTTCGATCTGATGTGGGAGAAGGTTGCTTACCGCTTATCCATGACTGCTCGAAGATTTGACACCAGCATGTTTCGTCGACCTTCGAGAGATGCGAGCCGGTAGTCCTCACGGCGGGAGATGCGAGTGCATGACTGCCACATGGCGTTGTACTCCCTGTTCTTGGCTTGCTCGAAGCGACGCTTCTCCTCGGGCAGCTTCTCGAGACGGGCTCGAGCTCGGACTGTTGGAGGGTGGCTTGAGTATTCAGTCGAGCCTCGAAGGCGCTTGTCCGGCATCTTGAGTGTAATGTTCCCAGCGGATGATTGAGACAACCTCTAAATACTTGACAAGAGCTTGATGTTGCTGTTGTTTGGTGATAATATCGGGATGTGGAAGATGTGTTGTGTGTTTTGTTCAAACCCAAGGCAGAGTAGTGTCCCAAAATGTGAAAATAATGTGCTTCTAGCACCGAATATGAGTCTGGTTGTTTGTCAGAGGGATATACTAGAATAGGAAGTCAAGATGGAAGCTTGAAAGCTTGGAATTGGGGAGGAGATGAAGACAATGAATGCACGAGGAGCTAGTTGAAAATGCAGACCCTAGAAAAACTGGCGAGATACAAGTCTGAGTGCTTCTGCCTCGAGAGAGAAAGGGGAGCTTCACTGCCTAAGACTCAGAGCCGATGTGCGGAGGGAAAATCAGCTGATCCATGATCGAAGAGTAGCCGCTGGAAGCAGCGCCTAGCCAACATGAAGACCAGCAGTTTTCCCAGTGTCCTCTGCTACAGAGCAGGTCAAGGCCATTATAGAGGGAGGACAGGTCGAGTCTTTCCCACGATGCCTTTTCCCTTTCACATTAAAACCATTCTTTGGCAGGCCTTGATATATAAACAGGCCGGTTCTGTCATCAGCGTCGTCGATATACCCTCCAACCTGATTGAGGTAGAATGAAATGTTGAAATTCAACGGCCAGTGCCGGGATAAAGATACAACAATTGGTTTAATTCACACACTTGCCCTCAGTCTGGTTGATCTCCCACGCATCTGTCCGATGATGAATATAGGCCTATAGAAAATATACATTTCTTTGATTTAAATTCACCCAATCTTTAAGATCAAAGACCAAGGTCGAATAATGGAATATCGACTTTAGCCTTGTCATTCTTGTGGCTGAGTCCTTCTTTTAGATCGCTGCGGCTCTCTGCAAGGATCCATAATGCAATAATAGTGGCTAGGCAGACACTAACAGCTTCTGCCGACATTATTGTCCGTTCATCGTTGGAAACGAGGAATGCGAGATGAGACCAGATCATGATTGGCCACAGCGGCTGTAGATCGCCCAACTTGGGTCTCTCCACACTGCATCATCGTTGTTCTTGGGCTGCTTCCATCTCGTTTCCCTCGTTCCTGAGCTTCTACGTGCTGATCTTAGTGCCCGGCGTTGCTGCCGACCAGGCGCAGGACCAAGATGACGCATCATCGCATCGCATCGCATTGCTTTACTTAGACTTGGCTGATATTTTGATGGCCTCCTAGCAACGACCGGGCGAAGAATGCTTCTGGGTATATATACTATGGTTGTATCTCAATCTCAATGGCACTTAACCACTTCTCCCTATCAATACTCGACTGCATCAAATACTCCAGCTAAAATCTGATTAACCATGCGTTCGATATCCCTCGCGCACATTCTAGCGCTCTGCCTTGCGCCGACCGTCATCCACGCCGGTCATGTCCCCTCCAACTCTTGCAAAGCCTTCCCAGGGACCAACAAGTGGCCTGCCTCGTCGCAATGGGACCGGCTCAATGCCACTGTGTCCGGTCGTCTGATCAAGCCGCTGGCACCTGGAGGTGTCTGCCATCCAGGCCAGCCCAACTATAACGAGGAGGAATGCAAGAAGCTCCCCGATGAGTGGAAGACTTACGATTGGCACAGTCGTGATCCCGTCTCAATGATGTTCGCCAACTGGGCCAACTGGGCGTGCTTACCCGATCCCGCAGCACCTTGCAGCACCAGCGGGTATCCTGCGTATGTGGTCAATGCAACGACACCCGAGGATGTGAAAGCCGGAGTTGATTTTGGTGAGCACTTTTCCTAAAGATGATCTACGTTGGAGAGTAGTATGAGAAAACTAATAGAGACGAAATAGCTCGGGAGAACAACATCAGAATCGTTGTCAAAGGCACTGGTCATGATTTCCTGGGCCGGTCCAATGCCCCAGGCAGTCTGTCCATCTGGACACACTACCTCAACTCGATCACTTTCCATTCCGGCAAGTTTAAGCTGACGGGTAGTGATATTGTCATCGAAGGCGACGCCATCACGGCTGGCGGTGGTGCCCAGATGTATGACTTGTACAAGGCTGCCGACGACCACAACGCCACCATTGTCGGAGGCGGAGCCAAAAGCGTGGGAGTGGGCGGATATTTCACTGGCGGTGGCCACGGTATCCTTGCGCATGACTATGGACTTGCCTCAGACAACGTTCTCGAGATTCAGGTGGTGACACCAAAGGGGAAGATCCTCGTTGTAAACGAAGCTCAGCATTCAGACCTCTTCTGGGCGCTACGCGGTGTAAGTCTGGACATCTCTGCATTCTATCATTGAAAACCCTGGCTAACTGAAGATATAGGGAGGTGGCTCAACTTTCGGGGTCATTACATCCATCACGATCCAAGCCCACCCGACGCCAGTACTGCAGCATATAAACCTCTTTGCCGGCATTCCCGCAAACTCTACCCGCAGGGACGAGTTCCTCAGCTTCATGCTCAACAAGGTCCCGGATTTGCTCGACTCCGGTCTCAGGGGTTACTGTTTTCTGAACCCTCTTGGACTTCCGATGCCGATCCCTGGCCTACCAGACGGCATGGCAAGCTTTTCAGGAGCTTTGATACTCATCAACAAGGGTCCAGAGGCAGTTTATGAGATCCTGGCGCCAATAAACGCCACAGTCCAGGAACGCTTTGGGGGCGAGGCAGGTATATACTCGGAGGGAGTCAAGTCGTACAACAAGTGGCTTGATTGGTTTGACGTAAACTATGATTCTGGAACAACAGGTGGCACAGCCCTCATGGTGTCCAGGTTGATCGATCGAGCGCCCTTGAAGGACAAGTCAGACGAGACCACCCAGGCCCTCATCACTGCTGCAAAGGCTGCAGGGCTGATCTCATTCTATCCTTTGGGGGGCAAGGGCGTGAACGAAGCAGTTCCACGAGGAGGCTCCAACTCGGTAAACCCTGGCTGGCGAAAGGCATATGTCCACACGTGTAAGTCGCAACCTCCCATTTTCGGCAACGGTTCGTGATGGTCATCGAAAATGATGCTGACTCTACAATCAGTGAGCGCACTACCCTTTACACCGTTCAACAGGACCTCTGAAAAGGAAGTTGCGGGGTTGCTCGACGCCTCGTTTGAGCCACTTCGCAAGCTCACACCTGGCCTTGGAGCTTATATCAATGAAGTGAGATAACAGCTTCCACTGCAATTAATGAACCAGCTAACATTCAGCAGGCCTCTCCGTATGAGAAGGATCCATACACAACCTTCTGGGGAGACAACTACAAGCGACTTCTTGAAATCAAGCGTCGTGTTGATCCCAAGGATGTGTTCTGGTGCTCTCCCTGCGTTGGAAATGAACGGTGGAAGGAGCATGAGGATGGAAGACTCTGCAAGGTTGACCCTGCGAGTTTTCGTGACTGAAATAATGATGTGTCAAGGATGTTGAGTTAGACTCTGGGAATAAACTGGTTAAGATTTGTCATTCTTGCTTGTCGTCTCGGTTGGAATTTGCGACTCCTTTGGCTCCTTTTCAGGTGTAGATGGTGCAGCTACAGAAAGCTGAGGCCGCCAGTAAATGGTAGTATTGGTGAATGCAGTGCTCATCGGATCCTGAGGGTGTTTCTTCTTTGAGTAGGTTTCCTCCATGGTCTTTGCCATTGCCAAGTCATCCATCGTTCCCAGTGTAACTCTGATCTGATCATTAGCGGGTCGTTTACGTCCAAGGGAAGAAAAAAACAAGAGGAAGTACTCACGTATCCCACACATCGAGGTCTGTGCCAATAAACACAGCAGGGAGACACTTCTCGAGAGCTTTCGCGTAGATGGGGCGGTACAGGTGCACTCCCGAGAGAACTGTGTTGCCGTCCACCTTCTCGAAACCTTCAGGGGAGCTGACCACCTCGTGCCCGAGAGAGACAATGAAAGCTCTATCTGCCTCTCCAAACACAGGGTCTTGGAAGTAGCATTTTACTTTAATTTCATCTCGTTTCTCTGCATTTCTCAAAGTTAGTCTATAAAAGTACCATATATAGATAGAAGGGATAGTCCCATACCCAAGGCCTCAACCATGAGGAGAAACCCAATGAGCTGGACAAAAGTGCGTCTCTTCGTTTCCCAGCCTCCATCTGGCGGATCGAAAGTTCCTATTCCAAGGCAAACGGCTTGTGTCACGTCTTTCGGACCATTCTTGGTCATCAGTTCATGAAGCTCCTCGCCTGCCTTCGTAGCCTCAAATTCAGAGCGTATGCGCTGATATTCGGCGGTGATTTCTTCAGGAGACCGAGTATTCTCCGTCGGTACAGCATGAATTTGATTCTCTTTGGTTGTGTGTACCGCTTTTGGTGGTTTTTTTCCAAGGCGACGACGGGACTTGGGCTTGACATGAGTCCAGCCATCGTCAGCTTCGGATTTCTCCAACGACATCTCTTCTTCTGAGATATCAATTAATTCAATAATTGAAATTTACATTAATACCATTGATGGTACCGCACCTTTGACAACTCTCCGTCAAGAAAGAAATCCGGCTAGCGGGTGGCCCTTATCTTATCGCGGACTGGGTTGAATGCTTAGTCACTGCCGCAGCAATCTGCACCGAAGTTATGCAGCTCTTGTGAACAGTTTTATGCACATCCTTGCAGCCTGTATCCAGGATCATGGACCAGTTGGTTCCCCGCTGTTGATGACCCAGTACTTTTGTAGTTTTCCTAGGCAGCTAGCTGGCTCTTTGAGATGGCAGCGTGATTTACCATGTTTCTGTTGGTTGGCAAAGTATGAGCCGTGAAAAAGGCCAGCTCGCCAATTTACTGGATGCGATGGTATCCCGGCATAAGCTATCAATGCAACCTCGTGAGGAGACTGATTGAATATCAACCCACTCATATGCCCGTCCCTGTACAAATAGCTGCCTGCTGTGCTTTGACATTGCATGTTTGGTGTTCAACAACAAGACTCCTACTACCTCACTCCCCACTCGATTCCTAAAACAATCGGCTGATGCCTTAGTCGACTGATGCTGGAACATAACTCACGATTTCCATCAAAATCTAGGATAGGTGGGAGCCGGCACCTCGCTCAAGGCTCTGCGATCTGTCTTGCCACGCAATTGGTAGGATTGTGACCTAGTAGAATACCTAGATGGCTTCGGAACTTGTTGGAAGACTTCTGGGTATGTTAAAGCCGTGGTGGTAACTAATTCGGACAATCTACTGACATTAATTAGAATGGCTTCCATTGACCAAGAGCCAAACGGGGCAGAGTATTTATGAATATGGCGTTCTTGGATCAGACGAGATTCGGACATTGTTGATCCAACCTGGTGCCAGTGGAAGCCCCCTGACTGGCCAAATCGATCAACACAAGCTTGGTGACCCTGACAAGCCCTACGAGGCTCTTTCTTACGCCTGGGGGAGCCCGAAGCGTGGAAATGTCATAAGGATCGGCGAAAAGGATGTTTTGGTCACTCAAAATGCCAGAGAGCTTCTGCTGCATCTCCGCGACGAACACCATCCCCGCCGGGTTTGGATTGACGGTATCTGCATCGATCAAGACAATATAGACGAGAGGAGTCACCAAGTGACACTGATGCAAGCAATATTCTCTGGGGCTTCGAGTGTTTTGATATGGGTCGGGGAGTCAGACGAAGATACTGACAGTGTCTTCTCGTTTTTCACTTTGATGGACGAACGACGTCGAGATCGGGCCGAGGCTGAAGCAAATGAGAATGAGAATGAGCATCCGGATACCGAGTTTGTTAGAAAGAGCATCAAGGACCCCTCCAAAGTTCGAAAATTTGCAAGCCGCCCCTGGTTTCATCGATCATGGACTTTTCAGGAAGCATGCCTTTCGGCGGAATCGTATCTGATCTGTGGAAAACATCAACTGCACTGGCGGATATTTGTCTCGGCGGCCCTGTACCTGACATCCGCGGGAATGCTCAACGTATTCGGCCAGTCGGCAGATACGATAGTAGCTCTCGCAAACCTGGCCGCTGCAAATCCCAGCCACCATACTCCATATCTGTCCGTCATTCTTCCACTGACGCGCGAACTGAAAGCTGGAAACCCTCATGACAAAATATTTTCAGTCCTTGGCATGGCTGACCGAACAAACATGCCCTCACTCAAATTGTCATATAGTCTCCCTGTATCTGAGGTGTACGCGCGAACCGCCAAAGCTATGATAGTCCAAGAACAGGGTCTCTCGGTCCTGTCTGGCGTTTGTGGGCCAGACCGGCAGGATCGAAACCTGCCTTCCTGGGTACCTGATTGGAATCTTTCTCGGCCTGCTGCTTATTTTCACGGATATGACTGGCCCGACACAACTCACCTATACGACATTAATGAAGGTGCGAGCTTCCCGAATGCTATCCCGAATGATCTCGGGCCCGAAACTCATATCCTGAAGCTGAGAGGTGCGAGGCTAGATGTCATAACCCACGTGTGTGACGGGAAAAGGCTTCTACTCGAGACTGCCACATTGAAAGGAAGGACACACAACATAACTGCCCGGTCCGCCAATGGCGAAATGAACCTGTTGCGGAAGGAACTTGATAAGATTCCCCTGAAACTCGGGTTTTCGCCCTTGAAAAGGTACAAGCAGACCGGGGAGGAAATCATCCAAGCCCTTGTGAGAACGCTGACTGCTGACCGAGGTGGGATTGGGGTGGAAGGAGGGGGGAAATGGTTCACGGACTACAAGAATACATATCGGCTTAGTGTGAGGAGGCAGGTTCCTCTCGGAAGCCGCTGGCTCTGGGCCATAAGCGGGAGCGAACCAAACCCTGACGTAACCCAACAGATGAGCGTGTTAACCATTGCCATGTGGACCTTCATGGCGGGGAGGAAGGTATTCAGAACGCGTCATGGGCTGCTCGGGATTGCAGCCGAAGGCACCAAGGTTGGAGACGAGGTGTGGGATATAATCGGCGGGCGGGTCCCGTTTGTGCTGAGATCGAAGAAGACATGGTTCCGGGAGGATCCAGGCACAGCAAGGACGGCAAGATTACAAGTAGTCGGTGAAGCGTACGTTCATGGGGTTATGAAGGGCGAGCTTTGGAAGACGGCGGAGGAGGAGGAGACTATGCGGAGCAGTACAGATACGTGGAGTAGCACAGATACGACTTCCGACGCTTTACACGGCGATGCTCTTGAATTTGAAGATCTGGAACTAGTTTGAATATGCAGTTCATAAGTCAGACATTTATTGAACAGCAATTGAACATCTACACCTGTAACTTGTGAACTATATGACTCTTACATCGGATCAGTGTGAGCCTTTCTCCGATACTCAGGTTCCAAGGCTACTAAACGATGGCGGATGAAGTTTTATTCATGGACATTGGATTTGAATCCACCTTCACATCTGCATTATGTCTTGGAGAAACCCACGAATTACTCAATGCGACAGGAGTGTGTCGATCAAACACTAGAAGTACTCTCAGACGTGCAGATATATCCGATTGTGGCCCTTTGTTAACTATGGGGCCACTATAAGCCGGTGTCTTCTCATCAGGAATTCAACATTCAGCTAAATGACCGTGGGTATAGATTTTCGAGCATTGTGAAATTCTCTAGGTAGCTTTCACTCATCTTATTACAGATACTTCTTGAACCAAGTGCCCAAAGATCAGAGGCTCAGAAGTGCTTGCTGGGTGGAACACTCGCTCATGGTTTCTTCTTTGGCTGCTACGTGTAACAATAAGCCGGCACTGGCCTTGCCGGGGATGACCCTGATGATGCTGGATGTGACACCAGGGCGCTAAAGCGTAACGCCCGGATGTACAGATTTGTGGCGCGATCTGTCTGATCCGGGCGGATTGGTAAATTATCGTACGGTGAAAACGGCGACGATTGTAGCGTGGGCTGGCGAGAGCTTGGGCCGTCTCGAGTCCCGTCCTGGTGCCGAAATGCATGTTGGTGATGGACCGTGATGGAGGGACGCCAGTTTAGCCCCCAATTACCACGCAAAAGGTCTGCGGGGATTCCTCTCGCATCTGGTTGGACGATGCTACCTGCATCTGCAACCCTTCTCGCGATGCCGATTGGTGACAGCTCCCTGGTCCATCCTGACTCCCCACCCAATATGCATGCGCTTGCCGGGATCTGGGCGCTTACACGCTCAACTGCCCGACCACCAGCCCCTCCCATTGGACGTCCCTCTGGCACATCACACGGCCCGACCGTGAGGGAGGGGGTGGGCGGGCGGCGACGTGGAGGCTGGACTCGAGGAATCCTGGCCTGTGACTGGGCCGCCCGAGACTGCATCCCCAAGGAATCACAGCGGGACATGCGTGGACTCGGCGCCTCCCCAGCGCTTCTCGTTGGGCCGTTTGCCAGTCAGACGAAGCAGCCATGACAGGCCACCTCGGGTCTTGGCTGGCCGCCGGGGGAGGTGGCCGCTCACTTAAAAGAATGCGGCCGGCGGCTACCATGTGGCTGCACGACTCTGCGTCTTCCCAAACACCCTCTCAGCCCTGCCAGGACGAACGAACCCTTCTCACCCTTCTCCCAACTCGCTGCTTGACCGACCGACTTGACCTTACGCCCCCTCAGCAGTCTGAAGCGGCTAGTGTATCTGATACAGAGCCGGCTCTCCTCACGATCTCCCTCAGGCCAGGACCAGGAGCCATTGCTTACCCTTCCCGTGGAAAAGCAAACTGCAAAAGGCGGGATTTGCCTCAGAAGCACGGGATTTGGCAGCATATCGTACTGTCCACCACCAGGTGAAACCGCGAGATCGCCTTGACGTGGGCTGCGACGGCCACCGCAACAACCAGCTCTGCTCTTAACCAGCTCTTCCACCCCTCCTCCCAAAATGCGATCCGAATCCCTCCTTGTCCTGCTGTTCGCAGCATTCGCAACGGCGCACATTGTCATCAGCTATCCCGGATGGCGAGGCAACAACCTCATCACCAATGAAACATTCCCATACGGCATGCAGTGGATGTACCCATGTAAGAAACGGCCCCAAGAGACAGAACAAGAAAAAGAAACTCCAGCTTTGAAAGAACTGCGATTGCTAACCTCCTCTCTTTAGGCGGCGGCATCGGAACGACCACGAACCGCACGTACTGGCCAACAACCGGCGGCGCCGTCGCCTTCCAGCCCGGCTGGTTCCGCGGCCACGAGCGGGCAAACATCCAGGTCAACATTGGCTTCGGCACCAACGGCCCTGACAACGGGCCCGTCGACATGTCCAACCAGATGGTCCCCGTCATCCAGCTCCTCGGGCCCAGCAACGGGCCTTACCCCGGCACCGTCTGCTTCCCCCAGGTGCCCCTGCCCAAGGACGCCAACGTCTCGGTGGGCGACAAGGCGACCATCCAGGTCGTCGAGCAGGCCCAGCACGGCGCATCGCTCTTCTCGGTAAGATGAATCCCAAATCATAAGAGTATGATGAATCAATCAAAATGCTAATTTCCGTTCTGAATAGTGCGTTGACATCGAGTTCGCCGCCCCCGGAGACCCAAAGATCGAGAAAGTCAACGAGGACAACTGCTTCAACTCGACTGACTTCGGGTTCGCTGAGATCTACGCAATCGCGACCACGAACCCCGTCACCGGGAAATCATACGACAATGTGAAGAACGACGCCGTCTCGACGAGGAGCAGCCTCGGCCTGATCTCGACCGTCGTCGCCGCTGGGTTGTGGGCGCTTCTGTGAAGAGCTGGTAAGCTCCCTCCTCTCGAAAGTTGGGCAGGTTAGGTTACGGAATTTTTGTATATAAGAATGCATGGACAATGACGGCGTTTAATTTCTTGGGAGGGCCTTTTTATGGATTGACGGAGTTACGGGGAACCTTCGTGTTCGAGTTATTTGCAAATATTCCCCATCAGTTAATAATGAAAACATGTCTTTTGATGACCTAAAAGACGAACGATAAACATCTCGCTCTATAGGCAAATTTATGATTACTCGTGTAGTTTTTTATAAGATGCTGGCTTAAAACAGGGCACCATCTCTTGACCAAGTCTATGAAATCCGACTGCGCTTCTGGTTCAAATACTCCAAGAGCACGTGTCAGGAGTTAAATATGATGAGAAAATTCCATCCGGGCCCCTTCCGTATGCATGCAAGTGATCTGCAGACAAAGCGACTGCTCAGCTCCTTGGTATCCGGCCGCCCAGGTTATCGGTACTCTAGCCGCCGGGAGCCATGTTAAGTCGCGCCATCACCGTCACGCGCGGCTACCAGGTCCTTATAGTCCCGACCCCTGGCCTCATTGTGGTACCACTTTCGAGATCTCTTGTGCAACTGCTCTCAGTCTCTCTTCGGCGCCCCTGTCAACTGCACCTTGTACCCAGCTGGCCACATCCAAGTTAGAGGCAGCTTCTGGTGATGTGATAAGAACGGTGCCTAGGGCAATGAGACCTCGATAGAGAACCTCTGCGTCTGACTGATCAGAGAGGTTTGACCCAATAATGTTGAGCAGGCGTCGACGCTGGTTTGGTGTGAGAAGCTTCTCGCGAGCAACAAGAACTGCGTAGTTCAGTGATGCTGTTGATGCTGCAATTAGAACATTGCGGTTCAGTTTGCCAATCGCATTGCCCCCTTGTATGCCTGCAATACGCTCGAGGAAGGAAAGGACAGTGTCAGCTTTGGAACTGGCGATGCTGCGGCCATCAGCCGATCCAAAAAGGTTGGCCAGCACACGGATGCCCATCATCACCGCATTCTCGTTGGGGGTTTCGCCCTGAGGTAAAGCCGAGGATATCGCCAGATCAATGATGGATGCATTCTCACCATCCGAGAACTGTGCTACAGCAGGGTACTTGGCCATACAGCGAAGCAGGTCCAAGCCGGCCAGTCTTTCTGTGTATGTCCATTTTGTAACAACACGGACAACAAGCTCGAGCCCTCTGGGAGGCAGGGGCTTGGACGTCTCCAACGACTCCCGCAGACTCTGGAATATAGCCTCTTCCCCTGGATTTAGCGCCGCATCTTTTCGACCGGCAGACACCATTGTCTTGTTGACAGCAATGATTTTGTTGAGAATCGCTAATTCACAAATCAGTCCAATTCTTCGTTTCGTTCGAGTGGTACTTAAGTTCCTTACCCTCGTATTTAGCAGCGGATATGCTGAGGTATTCTTTTTGAGGAATTGCCTTGGGCTTCTGCTCTTCGCCAGGGCGGTATCTTGATTCGGTACCATAGGGATCTGGACCGGTAGCCTGCGACTGTGGGCCAAGAGTTGCTCCCTGGGTATTCTGTGTGATGAAATTGGCAACATTGTCCAGATAGCTCAACGGCAGCTCGTTGTCATTTAGAAACTTCGTCGCCCTATCATAAGGATTCTCGGAGAGGTTGTAGGGTAATTTCAAAGGAGGCTTTCCGTCCTCGATGTCGACATCAAAGACAAAGTCATATGATTGTCCCTTGTACTCAACCTTCTTGCCACTGCTACCAACGGCGTCCACCACAGTTCCAACATTGATCCACTGCTGTTGGCTCACTGACCATGTATGTGCAGTTACGGAACCGTTGTCTTCCTTGATCATCTGCACTTGGCCTTCTTTAGTGCCGGACTTGGTGGTCAGGAATTCGGGTCCAGGCAATTTCTCTTTGTTGACTCCGCCAACTTGCTGTTGCGGAATAGCAGATCCTTTCACAGAATCTTCAAACTCTTTGAGTGTGGCAGCGTCAGCAACACGATCAGGGCTTCGTGTGAAGACACGTGCCACGGCATCGCTGGCACCTGTCACAATATCGCCTGTTTCCTGGTTTACTGCGACGGTCCATACAGATATGGCGGGATGTGTTATCGTCTGAATACACTCACTCCCCCTCCACACCCTCACAGTACGATCTTCACCTGCGCTTACCAGCTCGCCACTTGGCAGTGCTGCGAGGGAGTAGACGAAGCTCTCGTGCCCATGTAACTCGGCAACAGCTTGGCCATCCAATTTCCATAGTCTGATAATCCCATCATTGCTGGCGCTTGCGATACGAGCCCCGCTGGGATGGTTATCTGGTACTCTACAAAGTGCTCGGACGATTTCAGGAGTGTAGATCGTAGCTTGAGGGCTGACCTCACCGCCTGTGGCTTGCCCAAGATTGAAAATTCGGATGTTCTGGTCGGCAGACGCAGTGGCAATAGTTTTGTCGTCTATTGCGAGAACGTTGAGCACGGACTTATCATGGCCATCCAGCAGGAACTCTGTGTCCCAATTTCCTAGATCCCAGACTCGTGCTTGCCCATCCCATCCGCCAGATATCAGGTGCTTGCCGTTGGGGGAAACCTCAAGGGTGCCCACATTATTCGAGTGTCCAATGAGAAGGCGCTCAGCGTTGTCTGTGTGTGCTTGATTTGGTGCTTTCACCTCAATGACCGGGTCTTTCCCACCGGAAACAACGAGGCCTTCGGGATACTCTTTGCTTGGCGGGAAGTAAGCTAATGAGTTGATGTATTCGGAACCGTGTCGGAGTAGAGAGGCTTCGAACGGGGGCGTGGAGTTTTGGTTTCGGCGCCAGACACGAACAGTACAGTCTCGGGAGGCTGAGATGACTAGGTCTGGAGAGGGAAAGTTCACAGCTCGGACCTTTGAGAGGATTAGCAGAGCGACAACGAAATCAATGAGGTTAAAGTTACATCAGAGTCGTGTCCGACTAGTTGAGCCGACAATTTGAAGTCGCTTCCAGCCATCTTGTCCGCTCAAGTTCGTCTACTTGTGTCGTGTATGTTGGGGGTGGGGTTAAGCGCCGAGGCTGTCTGCTCAGCTGCGACGATGCAGGGGAACAAGTAAAGATAGAGGAGCAAGAGACAAAATAGGAAAGCCCCTAGCTTGGAGAGCCCCAGAGGCGTGTAATGAGCGGCGTCTCTGGAGACAAGCCGGAGGTTGAAATTGGGCCGATGTTGATGGAAGGTGATGGAGCTCCAGGCGTTGATTGATAATGGACAAGCGATAGGCCCTAGCACCTACCTCCAGGTATGATGGCATTGGGTCTAAGGGTGTGGCTAGGGGAGGTCGCGCCACAGTCTTCGACACTACCCCTCATCTGTGGCGCACGAGGTCGCTCCTTCCGCCCCATCGGAAACAGCCCCACCTTCCGTTCATTGGCGGAGGTGCATTCAAGAAGTTTTGACCAAACCCGAAACGTGCAGGAACTGTCGCGAACTCACCTTCGGTTGCGATTGCTCTGACTTGGTGAACGCCACCTCAGGCTACGACAAGGAGAGGATCAGGTCGCCTTTCCTTGAGTATTTTCTACTGCTGCCCCGGCCCTTTTCCGCCCTGCATCTTGTTTGCCCTTCCAGTCTCCTACGTTTTACAGACACAGTTGTGCGCTACATTTGACGGTGTTGAGCAGCTCCAGAAGTATAGTCGGTGTGAGGTTTGCGCAAGATAGTTGTTGCGTCTGCGCAGCGCGGACTCGATCTCGTTCGATATTACGAAAACTGACGACTGTTACGATTTCACTCTCCTCTTATCTAACGACGAATACGAATCGATACCCAAAGTTCGCCCCTCGACTGAGTGCCAGAGGTCTGTTGATCTGGCAACGTAATCGCCAAGCTCGATAGTGATAACCAAATTGGTTCAGCCGTGTCTTCGAAAAAAACATATTTGTCGACATGGCGACGGAAACACCTAGGCAGTATGTCCCTTTGACATGCCATGGTCACTCCAGGCCTGTACCACATATCAGCTTTTCCCACCTGGAGAAGGAGGAAAACACCTCCTACTATATCATCTCCGCTTGCAAAGGTGCGCCGCTTATATTGGACTTAGGCGCGACTAGTGGCTAACAGATTGCAGATGGAAACCCTATGCTCCGGGATGGTTCGACTGGTGACTGGTATGACCCCCAAATGCAGTTACCGTGTGTTATATGTACTGACCAATATTTTAGGATTGGAACCTTCATTGGCCACAAGGGTGCCGTGTGGCAAGCAAGATTAAGCCCGGATGCATCCAACGCCGCGACTGCATCTGCTGACTTTACTGCGTATGGTTCTTCACCTTCCAAGCGAGATCTTTGACTGACGCTGACACCAAAACAGGAAAATATGGGATACACATACAGGTGAAAACTTGTACACTATCCAGCATGATCACATCGTCCGTGCTGTTGCCTATCCTCCCGATAACTCGGATCTTGTTGCCACGGGTGGCATGGAGAAGAAGCTGCGCGTTTTTGATCTCACGGAGTTGGCTGCGTCAGGCTCGGGAGAGCCTGTAACCATTCCTGCATCATCAGGCTTTGAGATTGCTGAGGGCATCCACACGGGAAGCATCAAGTTCATCTGCTGGACATCTGATCCTAACATTATCGTCACTGCCTCAGACAAGACATTGCGCTGGCTAGATCTCCCTAGCCGCTCTTGCATCCACCACGAAGTTCTCGATGGTGAGATTAAGTCTTGCGAGATTGTATCGCTCTCCCCCGACTACAGCGCACCAACTGATATCGGAGAGGGAAAGCCTATCTTGGCTGTTGCTGCTGGAAAGACGGTTTACTTTTGGAGCGGTGACCGCGCCATGACCGAATTGAAGCGCATCACCCTCCCCTACACGATTGCCAGCGTTGCTCTGGACGTCAAGGGCCGCAAGTTTGTTGTGGGCGAGGAGCCAGGAACGTGGGCTAAAGTCATTCGGTATGATGATGAGGTGGAAATCGATATCCACAAAGGACATCACGGCCCCATCTGGTCCATCGCCTTCTCACCTGATGGCAAGCTTTACGCTACAGGTTCTGAAGACGGAACGATCAAGTTGTGGAAGAACTGCGACGGATTCTACGGCCTTTGGCGTGGAGGGACCGAGCGTGCTGCAGAATAGAGAGACACAGAACACAGCTCGATTTCCATGACGTCAGACAGTCGGGATAGCAGAAATCCCAGTGGCTGCTACACGCCTCTCAGCATGAGCAGTAAGGACTCAGACCCCTACCGGGAGAATCCAACCCGATTATCCGTTGAAAGCATTGGGGACGGGAGACATGAAGGCATGGAAATGCCAGATGGCATCATCTAGAGGCTAAGCACACGCATCAGTTCGCCGCGGCTACTACTAGTGCCGGCCGAGTTGGTTTGTGAGAGATGTTAGAAATGGGATTTTGTACCTTGTTAGATTGCTTGCAGTTTCTTCATGTGGCATTGAGAAGCTCTCCAACGCAACAAATGATAGAAATGTTTGCCAAGGGCCCCCGCCGGCTGTGAACTTTGGGAGAGTGAGTGATTTTGATTAGGTACTTCATTGTCATCCTCTGTTACATGCACATTCAGCTGCCTGCAACGGGATTTGGGGTCCCTGCCCACCGACAATTTCGAAACCCAGCATGTGTTGAGGGGTGGTCTCAGCAATGCAGAATGAATGGGAGTCTCAGGTGGTAGTAGGTATATACATCTTGCTACTGTTCTTCAATCCCTGCCACACTCCCCAATGAAAATCTCGATATTTTCTCGGGCGATTGATTCAACCTGAGCTCACTGGCAAACTCAGAACGGGCTGACGAAGGATTCTCTGAACGGAAGGAGCCGCGTCACTGCTTTAGGGACAGTGTTCTCCCCATTCATCATCTAACTTGGGGGCCTGTCTGACAGGCTTCTAGGCCCGATCACCAGTTACATCGCGCGATCTGTCAAACGGCTCTTCCGGACTAGAGGTATCTACTAGGCCTCCAAAGGAGCCAGCTTCCCCCTTCATCCACTGCGCACGCCCCGCGATCTTGATGGGCTGCCGATCACTACTGGAAAATTAGGGAGGCAGAGGAGGGAGTGTGAGGGTGAGGAGGAGTGTAAGGAAGCATCCTGCCCGTTGCTCATCTTCGTATTGACCATTCCAGTTGTTGGGTGCTGTCAGACCGCAGGGACCACCCAAGTCACATCCACTAGTAATAACAACCCTCGCTATCACTCTCTGACAAGCAGGGATCCTGTTGGACCACCCTCGGCAGAAGCGGGCGTGGAGGAGTTCCTGGTACACATGGGGGAAATGAGTTGGCAACGAGAGCGATCCCGAGACCAGTGAGACCCGGTGCAAAACTTGGCGGGAAGTTCCCCAGTGGAGATCGAGATGAAGGAGGGTCCTGGCTAGGAAATCTCCATCCAACGGGCCAAAGATGCTTTACGGCTATCCTGATTGCGCCCTCGGGATGCACGTGCTTACCGCCATCTTCTTCGGCTCAATTTTCTTCTCCTCTACGGCGGGAGGAGAGTACGAAGCAGGCTATCCCTAGGAACTTGTGATTTATCTCGACTCGCTACCAGCTGGACTGTTTAATCTCCTTTTTTCCCGAGTTTGATATCGACAGTTTCCTTTTCGGCCAGCCTCTCCCAGGCCACGGGAGAACTTAGGCGATGACTTCAATGGGACACCCTCCGCTTTCCACTACCCTAACCTGGTAGGTAAATAATTAGGTTATTTGCCCCTCACACGCCTTGGTCCTGATTGACGCAGCTACGTAACGTAACAGGAGATGGCTCGGGTAAAAATAGATTTTCCGAGGTGACCACTTACGGCTCATGGTCGGTCAGTCGGTCGTGCGGGCAATGCGGTGCGGTGCGGTGCGGCGAGATAGCGGAGGACAGTGGGAAAGACATGGCCGCACCCAAGGCAAGCCACAGAGAACTTGCCCTCCCCCTCTCCCCCGCGGGTGGCTGGCCGCGAACTGCTTGCTAAACCCCGGCGGTCTGTCTTGGGTCCTGGAAGCTCGCTCGATGTGATTGAGCGAGGTGAGGACCGGGAATCCCAGTCCAGGGCAAAATGACTTACACACTGTCTGAGACTTTGGAGCGTCTTGTCTTGGGATTCCAAGAAGCCAGTGGGCATCAGGGATTTCTACTCGTGGGCACGGGACATTCCAGCTAGGCTTCTGGGCTCGTCACAGCCCTTGGGCCTTGGTTGGGTCGGCCGCAATTGGCTGTGATTGTGTTTTCTCGCGCGCTGTGATTATTGCCTCCGAATTGATATTATCAGCAGAGCTATAGGCCTCAATATAAGTGAGATTTGATAGTGGGCCGTGGGGAAGGCTGGTAACCAACGCAAAAATCCTGAACGGCTTCCTTTCCTTTCTGGGAGGCTATTTATCCAAAAGGGACGAGTGGGAACAACAACTCGCACCAATGAATACATGATGGTTGGTAGGGGCACCTGGTCGGGCTCTGATTCCGGTTGGATCAAGGATGCAGGGTCACTTTCGAATTTTCATCTGCTTCTCTGGAGCCCGCTGGAACCGCCTTGGGCACATCAATGGCCTGCGGAGGAGGGATACGAGTCGCACGGGCCGCTGTGCTATGTATGCAGCGCGCATGCCCCTACCGCAGCATGTGTGTTGCTACTGCACCTCTATGTGCGTACTATGCAGGTAGCTTGCAGGCCATGTATGTACTCTCAGAGTATATGTATGTCAGAGAGCAGCCAGAAGCACGGCCGTCGGGGTGATTGGCGAGGGCTAGCGACCGTTGGATGGCCCCCCCGGTCACGGTGCGCCATGTGCGGTGCATTGCGTCTTGTCCCCGGTCTGAGGGGCGCCCCGTTGCCTCGCTTATTCGCTGCTCCCTCGTCCGTGCATTGCTACGGCCGGGTCACTGTGGGACTCAGTGCTGGTCGAAGTGCAGATTGCTGCACGATACAAGGGGGGGTTCGTGAGTTGGGTTGCAGATCGCAGCCGTTGGTGCAGGGGTGGCCGTGAGATAGGCCTTGTTGTCTCGCACCAGATGAAGTTGCAACCCAGATTGCAGATGGCAGATTGTGATGGGACCCTCCGCAGCAGGCTCTGGCCTTAGTACTGCAACCTGCCCCAGGTTCTCACCTTCTCTGTAGGTACCTCGGGCACAGCCAAGGGGGCTACATGGTCTTGACCTGGCTGTACCCGCCCTCTTGGCCCAGTACCTCCACCACACTCGCAGTCGATGCTGCTACTGGTGGTGTCCGTGCTCGTGCTGGTCCCTGCCAGAGCCGTACACTAGTCCTCAGTCTAGTGCCTCCATCGCCATGGGTGGCCAGGCTGTAGATCTTCGCCTACTTGGACCCTTTGAGCAGAGGATGGAGCTCCCTCCTCTATACAGTATGTATAATAAGCTGGGCCAGCTTCGCCTCCAGGAACAGCTATCCAGTCGCAGTGTGCCTCTCAGTCTCAAACATGAGCCAACCGAGGCGTCGGCTGGGCGGCGGGGGGAGGGGGCAAAAGGGGCATGGGGTGTGATGCTTCCGTGTCAATCTGAATTTTCACATTCATGTAGCCAGGTACTTATTTGTTTCTGTTTACTTTTTGAGTTTTGCGTCAGACTGCCTTCGCGGCGTATTCATCACCCCCGAGGCCACTGAGCTGTCACTTTCACCTAACGCCCGCCCGTCCCTTGGCCTCCTCGTCCAGCCTATCCAGTCCCCCATCCGTCCCTCCCTGCCTCCCCTCCTTGCCTTTGCCTTGCCTGCCGTACACAACCTTTACCCACCCACACTGTGAACGCGAAGCCCCGTCCACAAACCGTCGAGTTGGAGGTACGTGCAAATCGCTTCCTTGAGCGGTTGGGCATCCTTTCTACCGTCCTGGCCTGGGTTGGCGGCCACCTGCTGGGCTCTCTCCCCACCTCTGGCCCTCTGCTTTTGTCCACGTTTCTGCCTCCTTATCTGCAGCTACCGGGTCCCGCCAGACCTTCATTGCCTCTTTGGCCAATGGTGCCCGGCGTTGGCCTCGCTGCCCCGTGTGCCGTGACCCTGCCTTGTCCTAGGCCCTTGTCGTAGGCCTGACTAGCCCCATACACCTTGTACTCACCAGCTATTCAAGCTTGGGATATGACATGGCCAGATCGATGGGATCGAATCGAGGATAGGTACAGAGTACACCCTTCTTCTCTCCCATCTGCATACCATGCGAGAGGGAGGTGAGGGTAAGGACAGCCCGTCGTGCCGCTGCCATCCTCGCTGTCAATCTGCCCGTGCGAGGCAGGGTTCAATGGGTCTAGTCCGGTCTTTGGTGGTGGAGTAGATGCTTCCAATAATCTTCTTCCAATCTCCTCCATCTGTTATAATAATACTTGCTCAGTTCTGCTTGGGCCATTCATCCATTCTGCCTTTTGACAAAACCCGAAAAACCCCCACCCCCTCTTTCTGTCCACATGGTTCAGTTTGTCCGACTCTCTAGTCCAGTATTGTCTGTAACCCCGTCACTTGTCTCGGATGCGAGGCGCCTATGGCTTACCTGGACTCAACACACACATACCAGCTATTTTCCTCTTGTGCTTTGCCGACCGAACCCCTCCTCTTATCCCCGATTTAGTCAGTGTTAAGCGCCTCGGCACCACAAAGTCTTAAAGAACAGCACTTTGGGGGCGATTCCAATCCGACATTGACTGGACCGAAGACTAGATCCCCCATCCTTTGCGTTTTGATCAGTAGATATCCCAACGCGAGATTTGCATCCTAGCTCCTCCCTGGAAGCGTACTGGCACGTAACGTGCAGAAGAAGAAGAAGGTACCTAGACTTAGAGAAGTGACTCTGCCGCCGTCACAACACAGCCGGATTTGGGCCCGACGATTGCAAGGATGGCGTCGCCCTGCTTTTTCCGTGTCGAAAGCCCTTATCAACCAATGGCGGATGGCTTCAGCGATGGTGGGGGCTGGTTCCTCGCCGGCGACGATGAAATCGCTGTGTCTCCGTATGATGAGACCTTCCCCAAGAGAGAACTCTTCGAGGACGTCAACCTATCCAACATACCCCTTTCCATGCTCAACGGAGACGCAAACATAGACCCGGCCGAGCTGTCAGCGACCGACAGGTTTGGCGGCGGCTTTCTGGGACAAGACGACGAGTCCCCGGTCCAGCCGCTCTTCGAGACGCAGGCGTCGACCGCTGCCTTCATGCCCAAGCAGGAGCAGTTCCAGCCCACTCCGCCGGGCAACACGCAAGCGGTGCCAAATCCCAGGGAACTGCCCCGGAATCAGGACGGGGGCGCCGGCAAGAGGCCCAAGGACAAGTTGAAGATGCCGAAGCCGGATCCGTCCTTGGTGACCGATCGCCTGACGCCACCTGCCACAACGACGACGACAGCCGCCCCGGGCAGGAAGGGCCAAAATAGTAGCCATATGCGCTTCTCCCCGCGGAAGCGCAAGTCCCCGGGCTCGGCAACGACGCCGTCCTCGCGATCTTCGACCTCGCCCCAGCCCCATCCGCCACCTCGAAAGACAACCCACAACATGATAGAGAAGCGGTATCGAACCAACCTGAACGACAAGATCGCCGCTCTCCGCGACGCGGTCCCGTCACTCCGGATCATGGCCCACCGCGTCGAGCGGGACGGGGGTGATATGGACGAGGCTGACGCCATGGCGGCCGCCGAGGCGGAGAGCATGGGAGGGCTGTCCCCCGCCCACAAGCTCAACAAGGCGACGGTGCTGAGCAAGGCGACCGAGTACATCGGCCACCTGGAGAGGAGCAACGGCGTGCTCGTCAGGGAGAACCACCACCTGCGCAGCCGGGTGGCCGGGCTGGAGATGATGCTGATGATGTACCGCCAGGAGCAGCAGCAACAGCAGCAGCAGCGAGTCGACGGCGGAGGTAATGTATATAATGGGATGTGGGCCAACAATGCCCCCATCCCTCAATGAGTTTGAACCCGAGGCTGCTTCGGCCGGCTCTGAGCGGACCTCTTCCCCGTTCCTGCGCATCTTCTTTGCTTTTTCTTTTTCTTCATATCAAGGTTTCACTGGGCGAAATGAGGGGAAGGGAGGATAGGATTATCGGCTAGTGGGAAAATGCTAAATCTAGCTGGTTGGGCGGCGGCAACACAATTTTAACGGCATGTGAACGCGAAAATGGAGTTTTTACGGTTATGATAACGAGCTTCTTGTGTTTGGGACTTTCTTTATATTTCTTTCTTCACTCTCCTTTTTAATATATGGGAGCTCGGCTAAGTTTGGCACTGCCGTTATGTTTGTCTGGGTGGGGGATCACTACACGGAAGATATGGGAGGCTATCTGGATTTTTCACACAACTGTCAGCACACGAATACGGAAACAGAGCTTTTGATTTTTGATTTCATTCTGCAATTGGCCTGCACATCAAACTGGTTCTTTTAGAATTGTCGGCCTGATATATTGGCAAGCTGTCGCTGCTCTTACGGATGAGGTTGAGAACGGGGCAGCGGATGGCGAGTGGCGACGGCAAGCTATCAGGCTACGTATCGATAACGCAACGAGGTTCTGTTCCCAGGCAAGTTGCAGGGTCCGGGGTGGCATCGCTAGTGGCCCCCGCTGGGGGTCACCCCCCTGTGTTCAGCCGTAACGTAGCGCGGTGCTCAAAGCTTGCAGCCGGGTTCATTGCAGCACAACCGCATAACCCAGAGTGTGATACACCGCCAACGGGGCATTGCTAGGGCCTAGGGAAAATTCTGAGTTTTGCCGTACCCGCGTCAAAGCTACTTGCCAATCTGTGCAGCACGTCGAATTGCTTGCTGCCTGGGGCCTCGGCCGTGGGGATTGGTAATGGAACTAGACTAGGCTGGTGCTAAGCTCGGGTCTGCCTTGTACATACTGCGGCGGTGGCCTAGCGATGTCGTTTCGAGGGCCCTGAACAGGACTAGGTCCACGGCCAGGGCTGGCTACCGATTGGCCCGCCGCGCCTTGCTCAGTAATGGCCTCGCTGCTAGGCTGCTGCGGCTGATTAATCACTCGGGTGATTCCTCATGGCTGAGCACCGCTGTAGTGCGGCTGCCTACTGCTATTTAGCCAGCGCCTCCCTCGCCGCGATTTCACTTGCACTATCCGCATATCTGGCAGTTTTGAGCAGACAGCCTCGCCTGGTGCCTACACTACCGCTACCCCAAGAGCGAATAGCGTGCGTAACTAAGCAGTCAAATCAGAGCCGGACCACGTTGCCGTTGTTGAGGACGGCCAGTCATACCGGGACAGCCTTGGTCGTTGCGGACGCAGTTGTAGTCAGTATATGAAGAGACACTTCCAGACAATCCCCAAGTTGCATCTCCTCATCTGTCCATCCATCTGTCCATCTTGTTTGATCACTACACCGTCGTGAAACTCTGTGTGATTCTTTCTCGTCCGGTAGCATCCTCTATTAAGTTCTTTCGTCCTTCCACACTTGGCCGACACGCAGCGATTAGGAAGCTGAACCGCCCATCCGTTTGATCTTTGGTCCACAGATTGCGACGCAAGTTGCGGCACCAGAAACGCCTGATCTTGGCTACTTGACTTGATCGCCTGCTTTATCTCTGTGTTGATTCTCCCTTCATCTCACCAATACTCTGTTTAGTTCATCGCCTCTCGTCCTTCGTCACAATGGTATTCGCTGCTCATTATAGGTGCGGATGCTTCATCTTCATCCACCACCAACGCCAATACATCCCCCTTGTCAAAACCGAGGCACGGAGTCTCATCCTCGCCAACGCCTCACGCACATCCCTCACACAGACATTTGTCAACCCCCTTAAGGACCGAAATTTGGAAGAGCTTCGATACGAGTTCCCCCTTTACGACGGTGTTTCTGTCGTCTCTTTCACCTGCACAGTCAACGACCGTGTCATTCATGGCCGTGTTAAGGAGCGCCAAAAGGCCCGCGAGACCTATGATGAGGCGGTCCGCCAGGGCCAGACCGCCGGTCTACTTGACCAGTCCCTCGATGCGTCTGATGTCTTCACCATGAGGATAGGCAACGTCCCGGCCGGCGCCCAGGTAAAAGTTGAGATTGTGTACTTGGGCGAGCTTAAACATGACGCAGAGATTGACGGCTTGCGTTTCACCCTGCCCACGTTTATCGCGCCTCGATATGCGGCGTCAGAACTCGTTGGTACCCATGGGGATTCCAACGCACAGGCTACCGGAGGGCTCTCGGTCACTGTTGATGCTCAGCTTCCAGTCGGTTCCTCGATTAAGACGGTCCAGTCTCCCTCACACCCCATATCCGTCCAGATTGGTTCTTGCTCGACGGACTCCAATACGGATGAACCGTCACTCCAGAAGGCATCAGCAACTCTATCGCTAGGGTCTACAGAGATGGACAAGGACTTTATCCTTCAGCTTTCCGCAACCAAGCTCGGCGACCCGAGCGCGGTGCTGGAGACACATCCCACTATCCCCAACCAGCGTGCTCTCATGGCCACTCTGGTTCCCAAGTTCAACCTCCCCGCGGACAAGCCCGAGATTGTCTTCGTCTGTGATCGGAGTGGGAGCATGGGCGGCGGGCAGCAGATCCCCAATCTCATCAACGCACTCAACACCTTCCTCAGGTCCCTCCCCGTCGGTGTCAAGTTCAACATCTGCAGCTTCGGCAGCAGCTACGAGTTCCTGTGGCCCAGGTCCCAGTCGTACAGCCAGGACAGTCTCAATAAGGCCGTCAACTACGTCAAGACGTTCTCCGCCAACTTCGGGGGCACCAACATGTACCAGCCCGTGGAGGAGACCTTCAAGCGCCGCTACGAGGACATGAACCTGGAGGTGTTCCTCCTCACTGACGGTGAGATCTGGGATCAAGAGAAGCTCTTTGAGCTGATCAACGCCCAGGTGGCGAGCACCAAGGGCGCAACCCGCATATTCTCCCTTGGAATTGGCCATGGCGTGAGTCACGCTCTCATCGAGGGTGTCGCCCGAGCCGGTAATGGCTTCGCTCAGACTGTAGCCGACAACGAGAAGATGGACAAGAAGGTCGTGCGGATGCTCAAGGGTGCATTGACCCCCCATATCACGGACTACAGTCTTGAGATCAAGTACTCGCAAAAGCCGGAGAACAAAACAGATGACGATGAGGACTTTGAGCTGGTTGAGAAGGTTGAAAGCCTGACGTTCTCTGACGCCACTGCAACCGAGTCCGAGAAACCACCCGCTTACCAGGCCCCGAAGCCCACTCTCTCACTGTTCGATAATAGCATCAAGGACAATGAGGACCCTGAGCCTCCCAATGCCTCTGGTGCCGATGGCAAGTTCGATCACCTCCCGGATATCAAGAACCCGACCTACCTCCAATCACCCTACCAGATCCCCCCCTTGTTCCCATTCCACCGCTCCAACGTCTACGTCCTTTTATCGGAATCCTCACCAAGCAAGGTGGCCAAGTCCGTCGTGCTCAGGGGCACCTCGCGCCACGGTCCCCTCGAGCTGGAGATCCCAATCACCGTACTCCCCGAGAACGGCGAGATGATCCATCAGCTAGCCGCCCGAAACGCCGTCAAGGAGCTGGAGGAGGGCCGCGGCTGGATCTTCCACGCCAAGGACTCCAGGACCGGCCAGCTCCTCAAGACGCAGCACGACGGCCGCTTCTCCGACCTGGTCGAGCGCGAGGCCGTCCGCCTGGGCGTCACCTACCAGGTTGGCGGCAAGTGGTGCTCCTTCGTCGCGGTTGACAGCGAAGGAGGTGACGACCAGGCCCAGCCTCAGGCCCAACCCGTTATGGAGAAGGAATCGGTCAGCCATATGGCGTTTGCCCCTACTTTTGGGGCTGCAGCGCCAGGAGGTGGTGGATTTGGTGGCAGACAGTTCAGAAGAGTAAGAGCCGCATATACACCAAGTTCTGCTAAAGGAGGTGCGCTTGCATCCCAGCCGACAGGAGGTCTGTTCGGTGCTCCCGGCGCCGCTCCTCCTCCTCCTCCACCACCACCCGCCCCATCCAGTGTTTTGCGAAAAATGAACCCGTTCACCTCCATGTTCAAAGCCGCACCGCAGGCGCAGGCCGCGCCGGAAGCTTCGGCTTTCTTCAGTGCTTCTTCATCCGCGTTCGGTGCCCCTTCTGGGTCCGAATTGCTCGGTTCGATGTCCCCAGCCTCCTTCGGCGGTGCTCCTCCTCCTCCGCCTCCTCCGCGTGCTCCTGCCCCATTGATGAGTGCCACGTACCTCCCATCCGGTGACAGCCTTGGGAGGAGTGCTGGGAACCCTGGAGGATCTAGTGGGACTCACGACCACCTCCTCCAGAAACTATCGGGGTCTCTCGTCTCGAGGAAGAAGAAGAAGAAGTCTGCAGCTCCCAGCGCGAAGGATTCATTGGATGAGGAAGAAGAGGCGGACGACGGCCGCGGTGGCGGGCAGCAGCAGCGACAGCTGACGGGGGATAACCTGCAGGACATCATCTCCCTGCAGGAGTTCTCCGGGAACTGGGGTTGGACCGACTCGCTGGAGCAGATCACCGGCGTGAAGCGCGACGCGGCGAAAACTGCCGCGGAGAAGTCGGGGCTGAGCCTCGACGGCCGCAGCCCGGACGTCCTGTCGACGGTTTGCGCCGTCGTGTTCCTCCGCGTCAAGCTGGCGGGCGAGAAGGAGGCGTGGGAGATGATTGCCTCCAAGGCCGTGTCGTGGCTCGAGGAGCAGCTGGGGAGCGAGGAGGAGATTCAGAAGTGGGAGATGGCGCTGGAGGGGTTGTTTGCTGGATCCAATTGAGGAGAGGGGAGGATGAAATGAGTGATGAAGTTCAAGATGCCATGGTTTTTATTGAAAGTTGGTCTTTATGATGGAAAGGATATCAGAGGGAATGAGTGCCTCTAGCTATGTTTATATGTTTGGTTACGCCTGCTTATATGTACTTAATTAGTTCTTTTTGAAATTGTTGAACGAATTTAAAAGTAAACCCGACTTGCATCTTGTGCCATCATGTGATTCGTGAATAATTGTCCCATTACGTCTTTTGTTGTGAAGTTACAAAGCTGTAGCCTCGATATCATCCATTGAGATTTAAAGGGGTAAAAGTCATGTTCTCATTAACGCTGGAGCGTAAGGTATCGTAAAAGATAGTCTAAGGAGTGTAAAGAAAGATACTTTTTGGTCTTCTTTTGGGCCACGGCCCTGATCAGGCATACCTCGCGGCCTCCAGATCCTCATCCCCCGGCACTGGGGTATCGCAGCTCTTGATGTGCACGCTCCAGAGCCCTCCCTCTCTCCTGGCCAGCACAGCCGCCGTCAACCATAACCCCCCGATGACAGTCCAGATGGTCGTGATGCTCTCCAGAATATCCAGCGCCGGCTCCTCGTCATAATGGAGTAGACCGGTCATGACCAGGCATGCATACACGAGCATGCACACCTGCCTGACCACCCCCAAAAGGCTCGCAACCGTCAGCTGCATGCCCATGACCCTCCCGACGGGTCCCATCGCCGCCCTCGATATCACGATCCCGTACACAAGCACCGTCACTACGCCGCACAGCAACAACACCGCCACGGTGATCTGCAGAGCACATCCCGTGAGGGAGTCGCTGCGATGCTGGATCTGCATCCACTGCGCCCTCGGCCCCATCTGCGTCAAGACCCCCTGAGCCAGCGCCAGCGCCAGCGTCGCTATCAGCGCGACCCAAGCCCCAATCCTCTTCCTGCCGTCCCGCTTCTCCTCCTTGACGGCCGTGGCGTCGTCGACCTGCGCGGACTGCGAGCCAGCCACGCGCTTGAGCCCCAGGATGAGCTCCAGCTGCAGCATCAGGATGTACGCCGCGGTGATGAAGCCCACGAGATTCTTGAGCGGGCGCAGGAACCCCATGGCCCGGGCGTGCGTCTCGATCGGCTTGCCGGACATCTGGACGTCCAGGTTCAGGCAGTGGACGGCCAGCGAGAGCGGCAGCCACACGACGGTCAGGATGACCCAGCACGTCTTGAGCCAGCTGGCGGCCGAGCGGACGGGGTCGTTGGTCGATTTGATGCGCCGGAAGATGAAGGCGGTCGAGGCAACAGAGCACAGGAGGGCCGAGACGACGAGTATGACCGGGACGGCCCATACCACCACCGACATTGTGAGCGTGTGCGAGTTGGAGAGCGAAGCTGCTCAACAGCTTCAGCTCAACACCCTGCTGATTTCCGGTGTAACTGAGCTATCGGGAAGCTCAAATTTGATTTCGAATTTCGATTCTTTCCTGTTGGGTACCAGCCCCTAGTCGAGCTGCATCGAGCCAATTTCGCAGGTGCAGCCAAGCTGTTGGGGAAGAAGAGACCAGGACGCGGATAAAAGCGAAATGAACTGCAGGAGATCTACCTCCTTGATCATTCCCGCGGCAGCGATCAATTGGGATACACGGAGAGAGAGACCGAGGAAGTCTGCCCCAGAGTGCGGTCGTTCAGTTGAGCCACCTACATATGAAACCGCCCGGCAGACGCAGGTCGAGCGGCTTGTGGGGGGGTCAGGAAAAGGAAAGGCCCATTAGGAGAATAAATCAAGCCATCACATCCAGCCCGTTTCCGCGAGGAGGATAGAGGCTGCCATTTGCTAGGGCCTCGCTGCCAGACTGACCCTACCCATGGCTGGCGGCAGGGGCACGGGTGAGGTTTCAAAAGTTAATCCTGACATGATGTTCGGAGGATGCTCGATTGGGGGCTGGGGTCGACTTTTTTGGGGGCCTAGTCGCGGTTTGACCCTGGGGAGGGAGAGAGCATGTTTTGGCCTCTTGCTCGCTGAATTGCCTCGTCCTGGTCGCCGTCTGCTTTGGCTTTCTATCACAAACATCCGGCCATGTTGTGGTGGAGCGGCAACCGTGGAGAGACGGCATAGATGTGTGAGGATAATATAGCGTCGGTAAGGTCCGCTGGGCGCTAGACATAGCGGATGGCCAGAGCACAAACTCGGCCGTGCCACCAGCTGGGTCTGGCCTGTGCGCCTACAGAGATCCATGGACCTAAGTATCCAGGGCGGAGGATGCACAATCAATCCGCTGCCACCACCTAAAAAAGGAGCGACAGCTCCCCGGGGTGACCTGAGCTTCGACGATCCTTTCGACCGCGCAACTTTCCTCGTGCGTGCAGCCGCGGCGGAGGTGGCGAATCACCATCAATCAGATATGTTTTAATTCGCTCGCGGCAGGGCAGTCCCAGCAACAGCTCGTGAGAATGCGCGCGTGCATAGGCGATCTAGATGGCAATTGACGCTCCAGCGACTAACATAGAACATGGCACACCCAGAACCTCCAGAGTTGAATTTGAACACAATATCAATACAATTAATTGGTAATAAATACAATATCAAGTTAAATGCTATAGAAAAACAATTATTGATTTTCTTATTATTGTATTATTGATAACATAATGAGGTCCCTGACTTGTGTGAACAGAGCTTTAGTGTGCCATTTTATGTCGCTCGCTTGACACTCAAACCCAGGTGCATACATACCATGTAGTATAGAAGGTAGCACGCGGAATCCACTGTTTCGCCCTTGTCTTCTTTCGCTGCTCTGCATCGCCAGCACCTCGTATCAATCAGCTCCATCATGCACGTCATCCTTTCACAATCACCTCATATCCGCATTGAGTTAATCCAGGAACTAAGTGTTTGGCCAATCAACTAGTAAGAGCCTAATCAAACCTAGGTAGGCGAAAGATGGTATGGATGAGATGCTTGCGGAAGTAGGTGCTTGATCAAATGCTTCATGTTATTCTCATCGCCATGCTGGCACTATATACTGTCATCTACCTACATGTACATATGTATATATCTAGATATACAACCCTAAGCCAAGATGCCATATTCCATTCCTCCCCCGGTTTGCGTTAGACACATAGAGGTAGGATTTCTACCCGTCTATCATGAAAAAGAAAGACTGATTCCATCACGTCTCTTCTCTCGCGGCATGTAAACAAAGTCCTGCAAAACAAACAAGTATAAACGAGTAAAAACAACCATGACTGTAGAAATCATTTCAGACTCCTCGACTCCCGAATTGAAAGCAAAGAAGGGGGAAAGAAAAGGGAGCCACACTGCCATGCGTAGTGACAGTAGCAATGTAGCCGGAGTGATTATGCTGTCACCCAGCTATCACGCGTCCCAGCCACCAGCTCCGAGCAGCTCCCGCGTGATGCCGTAGTAGACAGGTGAAATAAAAGTCAGGGAGTGATCCATCCAAAGCCCATGGAGCTGCGCCAAGTCTAGTATCAGACACCGATGCATATATAGTGACATCTTTATACGGTCTTGCCGCCGCAGTCGGGAATCTCGATTCCGTCCTTGAGATTACGGTTGACGTCCATTAGCCCCCACTTGTCTTCCCACTCCTTGCCCTTCTCGTTGAAGCGGATTTTCCAAGGCTCATCAAATGCCGAGAACCAGAAATATTGGGTGCCGTTGTTGAGAGCCGGGCAGATCCAGTCCTTCATGAACTGGTTCAACTGAGATACACCGGCGACAGACCCCTTGGCGCAGCTCGTAGCCTCACCACAGTTGGTTCCACCGCCAGAAGGCCAGCCTGTTTCCGAGATGATGTTCTTCTTGCTATCCGACTTCCACAAGGGCCCGTCTCTGGTCTTCCAGAAATTCATGGTCCATGCGGCAGCATCTTCAGCTGCGGTACCGGAAAAGAATGGATGGATATTGGCCATAATGTAATCACTCTCATCAGCCAGGGCCTGTGTCCAGTCGTCACCCAGATCCGATGTCGCCACGGGCAGGCTGATTTTGCGGCTGGTCAGGTTCGTTCGCACTCCCGACAGCAAGGTTCCAAGCTCTGTTATTGCCATTTCCTCGCGGAAGAGAATCTCGTTGGCCACAATCAGCCCCTCAAACTGGTCGCCACCGTACTCGTCCAGAATGTCCCACATCTGTGAAAGCTGTCGCGCGTTGGTCGTCTTATTGCCGTCTTGCCAAACTCCCAGCCAAACCTTGACATCGTTCTTGAGGTCAAGTCGATCAATGGCGTGGAGAACCATTTGGGTCTGGTTGCAGTCGGTGCCGTAAAGACGAATTTTGTTTGTAAGCTTGCTGAGCACAGCAACGTCTCTCGTGATGTTGTTCTGTGAAGGCGGGTTGTGCATACAGTCGGGGTATTGTGAGTTGATGGGGGTGTAGTCCATCCCAGGGAAGACTTTGTGCAGCTTGGTGTTACTCATCAGCTTCTTGATTTCGGCGCTGTTGATGTCGAGATCGCCGTTCTTGTTTGTATCCTGGTCAGCCGAATCGCCGCTACTGCTGCTGCCGCCGCTCTTGTTACCACCACCACCACCAAGTCTGCCGTTTGCCGCCATACTGCCGAGAACCGCGGCGACAATAGCGCCCGCAATGAAGACGGCAACTATAGCAATAATTGTTAATCTGCATTTCTTGGTAAAGTGACCGTCACTCCCTCTGAAGCGGCCTGGCTTTTCTTGAGCAGCCTCGGCGAGATCATAGCCACTGCCACCACCGCCGGTAGCTACAAGGTTTCATACATCAGCAACTAGAACAAACTGCATAGCAGTGGTCAGGTGGAAATTCTTACCGTTAGCGTTTGAGGAGAGCAAACCGCCAATCACGCCGCCACCTGCTGCAGCCCCTGCTACACCTGCAGCCCCCCGTTGCCCCCGATCTGAGGTTTGTGCTGAGCTCAACATTGAATTACGCTTGCTCGGCATGGGGTGGTGGAGGGCGTCATCGCCGTCGTCCGCGATCTCATCTGGGTTGACCTCTCCTAGCCTGCGGTCGACACTTCGTGTGGAGCTCGAGTATCCTTGGTACGGGTCATCCACGTAGGGATCTGGAGGGGCGAAGCTGTGTACGCTCGATGGCTGTGATCCGTGAACCCCGGGAGCGCCTGCCATGAAAGAGAAGATTAGTATCAACTTGTTGGAAGATTATAAAGAGCTCGATACGAGCAAATATAAGAGGCATACCGTAGTATTCGTACGGGTGGCCGCCGCCGCCTTGGTTGTAGGGATTGTGGCCTCCATGTGCCGACCGAGAAGGCGGCAGGGGAACTTGGTTGTCTGACATTTGGTACGACGAATCTTGGTATATATTTCGGCCGTGCTCTGGCACTGGAGGAGGGCCATCGTTCTGATATGGCCGTGGGCTCGCGTCTCGGTAGGGGGACTGGTCGCCAAAGGGACCCCGCGGGTCGTTGTGATAGGTGGATGGACCGCCGAGAGGTTCCCTCTCGGCGGGATAGCCGTGTGAATAGCTCATATTAAAGGAGACGCCAAAAAGCCAAGACGAGGGACTAGAATCCGCAGAATGTGTCTTCTAGGCGAGGGAAATGGCGCCTCTTGGCAAGTTCGGTAGGGTTGCGAGCGAGCAAACGGTCGCACAACGCTCTAGACAATCGGCCGGGTATTTTCTCTCAACAGATGTAATGGTGTCTATCCTGTGATAACGATATGACGGTTTACAGAACGTGAAAGTTGCTTCTCGGCATTCGCAGATGACACGACAAAACCTAGACAATGGCCGAATTGGGAATTGGCGGCGGGCCGTAGTCTCGATCTCGCCAGGAAGGGAGCGGATTACAGGAACGGGAGAAATCGATTCCTGGGGTTGGATGTCTAAAAACTTGGAGGCGATGATCGAATTGCTGGCTTCTTGGAATGCAGTGCCGTGGATGTGGCTGTGGTGGTGACTGTGAATTGACATGCAGCTCTGTAAATAGACTGGGGGAACCGGATGCGCAATGACGCTGGATGCAGGATAGGCTGTTGCACGCTACGAGTAATCCTCGCTGGGCAGTAAAAACAGGGCAGTAGAGTGTCGAGTCCCCCGAATGCTGCAAAAACTCGTCAACAAGCAGAGAAAACGAATGAGCGCCAGTCGGAAGAAGCTGGCCAGCGTTTGGTGGAGGAGGCAGATGGAATGAAGTGACCAGGAGCAGTGTGTCGGATACTTGTTTCGGCGCCTGGCCCTCCCGTTTCTACAGTAATTTGGCCAGAGACTCCAGGCTTAGTTTAGTCCTACCTAGCCTCAAGGGGCAGGGTGGGGTTTGTCCTGGCTGCCCCTGCCCGCCCCGTACCTGCTTAACCTATTGGCTAATTTACTCATGTACTTGGCCGTAGCGGCCTCCGATGCAATACCTCGCGCGCGCGGGGTCCGAGGCCCAGAATTAGGTACTGGGGCTGTGTTCTGCCCCATAGAGTGCTGGACAGTACATCATAGCACGGAGAATTCATTATATCGATACCTTCCTAGAGCAGGTGCTAAATCCTAGCATGAGCTGCTATTGTCCTCGTAGGCAGGTCTTGGTCACAGCCCAGCAACTTCGTATAAATTGCGCTCAACGCCAGCAGTTACTACATTGTTCGTCATTTGGTGCTAGACTGCTGGTGCGTCGTTTAGCCGGAGGCTGCGCGGCTGAGCGACCATTAGCTTTCGCGGCTTGGACGCGAGCAACAGCTGAGGGTGCGGCTCGTAAGACATGCTGACTGAGTTACTGCCATGAATAAGAATATTGATTCCCTCTACCGGCTGAGGTGGCTGTAGGATTCTCGACTGCGTAAGATGGTAAGATGCGCCTCCATCCCAGATCCCAAAGCATGACCAACAGCAGGCATGGACATCGCTCGAACACTTTCTGTGATTCTCGGCCGACTGTTTCGGCACCTTTCTCCATCTCAGGAAACCACTTGGCGCCATTGGCCCCATTTTTAGGGCCTTCCAAACAAACATCCGTCCTTAAATAATCCATGGAAGCGTCCATGGGATATTGAACTGGGGAAGGGCTAGTGCCGGCCCACCCTCCATTGCCAGAGTCATGTGGATCATCAATACGAGCGGTCCGCGGATTTGCCTCTTGGGAACGACCGAAAACACCGTCGGCTACGGCCTGGCCCCCTTTCCCGCTCTTCTCGTTCTTAGAGGGCGATTTTGTGTGAATATGCTGTGTTGGGGCGGTCAAAACGTGCTCAGTGGCGGCGGTGTTGGCAGCTTCCTCCCTGCGCTCCTCCAGTTGCTGGTGAGACAGTTGAGGTTACGGGCCTACCTGCTCCACTCTTCCTAATGTTGACGTTATTATGGACCAGCCATTGCAGGAAGCTCCAGCCAACCACGATCACACCAGTCAAGGCAGGTCCAGGGTCTGTGAGTCGTGGATCCTGCTGATGGATGGTAACTCTCAATTGCCATATAGAAAGGCACGCCAATTCTGACTGCTAGTTGTTCATTAACTTGTTAGCACATCGGATGCCAAAAGAGGGCGTCATAACCAAGGGGCTCGCTTAAGGTCTAATTCTATGCATCAGAACTTGTCATTTCTACAGCCGTGAATCGTCATTTAAAGTGTATCTCTTCCGGGGCTCTTAGGTTTCGACCACCTGCATAAATAAATCTGAATAGCAGCAGATACAGCGACTGATGAAGCTGACCAATTCGATATTTCGCAGCCAGGCCTGACAAGGGAACTCCAAGCCCAAAGCCCGCCAGTTATTCTCAATCCATTTTGCTTCCGTGTCAACTGATCGTCTTCTGTCCAAGGGCGATGGTAAATCATACTTGCGAGAGTAAATTGACAAAGTCAGTACAAACCTGGACGGCATGAGGCTGGCGAGAGTCTATGACTTAGCCTGGAAAACTTTCATCTTGTTGAAAGATAATGTCACTTGCACTCTATCAGTATTTGATGTGTCGAATCATCACCATGTTTTTGACTATTTATTCGAATCAAAAAGGCACATCCTATAAATGCCACGACTAGTATCTTCGGCACACAGTGACAGGTCTACGTTCCGTTTCTACCTCTTGCATATTATGGAGGGGCGTTGATTTTACGTACACGGCCACCCACCAAGTTCTTCTAACTTTAACGGCAGGCAGAGAGAAGAGGATCGCACTCCGCACTTGCGTAGTCCAACGTCTCGACAACGAGACTATACGTACAATCCAGGTCGGGCACTATTCCATCTGTATTTTTCTGCTAATGAATCATCAGGCCATGTAATTTCGACTCCACGCTGTCTCCTCGTACACCGTCGTACACTGTGCTCCCTGAAAGATGTCACAAGCCAATCAATTAGTCATTTCGCTGTTAGCCCCAGGCAAACGCATGCAAAGACGAGATCCTAATCTCGGCTACAAGCATTAATCCCTTTGCCGCTATCAGTTGATCTTGGTCTGTTCAAGTGCGAGTTTCTGCATATCCCAAGTTCAGGGTGAGGAGCAAAACCTCCTTCTCCCTAGGTAGGGCGAAGCAATCAACACGGCAAATATCCACCTGTCTTGACCAGTCGAACGGCACCCATTTGCATATTATCATGGCATTCTATCGATACCGCAAGAGGTAGAATGGTCCCAACCGCCGGTGCCAGTGCCCCTATGCAGTGCCCATCTCCAAGTTTCGGGTCGGCGCACAACCACGCACCTATCATTACACATCTTCAAAACGCCTCTAGCAAATCGCACCTGCAGCTTCGAATTGAATTTGAAACACCAAGACCCACTCCGCGCGCTTCGCGAAACCAGATCGCTGATCCAGCATTCTTCGTTCTGCCCCACCCCGTGCTGATCACTTTGACATCATGGTGCGGCCGTTTCCCAAAGTGCAGGGTTTATCCCAGCCAAGCTGCTCGTATGGAGCTCACTTCCAGATGGAATTTTGTTTTGTTCCCAATACGAAGGGGGCTATGTCCTGCAATACCTTGATATCGCGATACGGGGAGCGACAAGTTCTCCCTAGACAGACACGTAAGCTGTCTTAGTTGTACGGCACACCTCATCCAATAATGACGAAGAGAGACATGATCGACTTATTCTTACTCCTAAGCCAATGAATCAAAAAAGAAAACACACGAAAAGAGCAAAAATGCGTAATCTGGGAATCGAACCCAGGGCTCCCCGACGCTGCTCGGATGGCAACGGAGAATTTTACCACTAAACCAATTACGCTGTTGTTGAGTTATGAGGTCAAAAGTTTGTATATATTCATGCGGAAAATTCCCTATTGCCATGCTTCAAGATCAACGCGACCTAGGTGTGAAAACTTGTGGGCTTGGTGGTGCTATAAGGACATTCAGTGGTGTCTCTAAAGCTGAATACCTCGATAAGGGTAGTTGATTACAAACGTTAAGACTTTCAGTCTACCATCAGTCAGTTTCCCCTTTCTATTTTTTTGCCAGGCACCAGCCTCTTTATAGCATCTTGGCCTTGAAGCTGACTATTTACCTATATTATATTCTTAAGACGGTATATGGGTGGCTTCTGGACATTGGTACCGATGTGGATGTGCCCGCGCGATCTAGTATCTGATGAATATGCCTTACTTTGCTGAGAAAGCAGATTTATTCACTAGTGATATCACAAGATTTCCCATATCAACGCTGGTAAAGACTGTAACTACCTACTCTATGTAGCAACCTTGGCGTAGACATGGAACCTAACTGAACCCACAAGATCAAACAGTCGTAGACCTCTAGTGTCGCTAAGGTCCACCGCAGGGATCTAGAGGGATTGACACCGACTTAATACTGTCTGGATGTTACGCCCTTTATTCCTCGAAATCATAAGGATCGGGCCGCGGCTCATACGCACTTTTTGGAAATACAGCCGCCTCACGAATCCCCAGATAATACTTTCGGGCATCTGGGGCGTATATACGAGAGGTTGCGTTGTGTTCCCGGCGCGTTTCCGTTTCACTAATGGGGGGTCCCAAGTCAAATTGGTAGAAACCCTGCTTTTGGTACCCAATTTCCAAGCGGACATGTGGAGAGTAACAATGTAAGTCGATCTTCGACTTCATGAGCCACTTATTGAAGAGAAAGCAGATATAGGTAAGCTTCGTGAACCGAACACCCTGCTCAACCGTCCTCAGCAACTCTGTTGCTGTTTCCCATATTTCCTCACCACATCCAAGGATTTTCAGTGATTCCAGGCTTTCAGGAAGGCATTCGATAAGGCTCGGAGCTCCCTCGATCTGAAGTGGCATCGGGCGTCCATTAAAGCCGTGATTCTCTGGGGGGCCAGCGAGAATTCCAGTAAGGCACTGACAGCTGACTGTGAGCGTCTTGAGCGAGCGTAGTTGAGAAAGTCGTGTTCCCATATAGAGGCACTCGGGATGATCCTGCCATTCCCACCCCTTATCCATTTCCTCATGCATATTGACACGGACATCCTCTAATGTTTCAGAATGGAGCAAGAGGGCCTCCAGAATTTCGCGGGGCGTCAATTGATTATAATCTTTAATAAAAGAGTTATGGGTATACTCGAACTTTTTGAGTGCTTTGCAGGCTTTTAATATACTCTTGAGTGTTGGTCCAGCAATGGTAGAGATGCGTAGAGCGATTTCTTCCACCGGAGAACATCCAGGCTGTAAACGATCAAACTTCTCAGCGGCTACCATATCCCCATAAAGAAGGTTGCCCTCGTAAAATCGGAGGCGAGGAAGATGAAATATGACCGGCCCTTGTTCGTGAAACATCTGATAGCCCTCTTCAAATTCAGTGGCCTCATGGAATACATCCTCAACTTTTGAAAGCGGGATGCTGGGCTGGTTAATGTTGAGTTTTCCAGGAGGCGGCTTTTGGCTGTTCAACGACCCAACCATTTGCAGTAAACGAATAAACTGCCGTGGCTTGGTAGCTTGTTCGAACATCAGCGTTTGAATATTCGGGCAAAGGAGCATGATAAGGGCGACCTGGGCATCAGAACAGCCTTTGCTGAGATCCTCCACCCATTCGGCAGACCATTTTCTGTCTCCGTCGTAATTCAACCGATCCAATACGTCCTCTATCGCCTGTTGATAGACTGAAAGCTCCTTCTTGGTACATTTGACGTCTTGGGGTTGCGCAATATCCTTGATGTGCATGGGTGTATCGTTTTCTGAAGAGACTCTGCCTAAAAGGAGAGTCTTGACGTGTATAGCAAGCTCGGGTTTGGAAATGACGATGTACCGTAAGAACTGCACGTTTCGGGCGCGGGAACAGGGCCCCCCACCGTCGCTGAATGGGGCTGCGTTTCGGAAAACATGGACGGACAGCGGAAGAGCTATCTCATAGAGCTGCTTGCAAGTCCGCAAGACTGCATGGATCGATGGTTTCCCAAAGGAAGAAACAAGGTGGGAAAGAATCTGTGTTTGAATCTCGGGTGGTAGACTTAGAAGAGAGGTGCTCTTCGAACTTGGCTGCTCCATTGTGTCCTGGATTCTTTCGTTGTGTATTCTTTACGAGTATGTAGACAACTGAAATGAGTACAGGGCCGAAGACGGGATGTGAGGGTGGCGAGGTATGGTGAACTACTGAAGCAAACACAACCAACAGTTCAGCTAAGCAGATTGCCTTACGCCTTACTGTGGGGAATGATGCCCGCAGTTGGGTCCGAAGGATAACCCCACTGCATTTTCCTTTGTCATATTACTGCATGTTGGTTGCCAACATGCGTCTCCATACGTGTATGCAAGTGCGCTGTTGGTCAGATCATGGCAGTTTTCCTACCGTTTTGGACAGCCCCATCCTGGCTGCTGGTCTCATCGCACCAGAGAATGAGTTGGTTTCTAAAATAAGAAGGCAATGAGTACCGCAGAAGTGGTTCTAGTCTTACTACGGATGCAGCTCTTACAGCTCCAGCGGAACTAGTCTCCCTGCCCATCCGGAAAGGAACCACCAACAACCAGAGTCTGAAATAAGAAAACCCACTGCAATACGTGTGATATTACTCCACTAACAGAATTGTATGGCATCTATACGTAGAGCTATCCTGGATGATCTTGTGCAATGCCACTTGCCTCGGTACAACGAACAGTCCAACACCGGATCATGTATATCTATAAAAGATATGCGCCCAAATACTCTTGACATCTGGTTTTCTTTTCATCCAAAACACCAAAAAAAAAAAAAACTTGAGAAAATTTGAGCTGGTCTCAACCATCTTCCTTTCTTCTACTAGAGCTGGCCTCTTTTCTTCCTTCCTTTTTCATTCACTTCTTGATAATGAGTTTTCCAAAGCCAATTCTCCTTGCCGCCACTCTGTTGCTGAGTGTTGTCAGCAGAACGGTGGCCGCTCCAGTCCCTTCCCTCGACCTTTTCCCTCGCGGCACCGGCGAGATTGGAGATTTTCTGGAAACTCGCGGCGAGGATGTCTATCTTCGATTTCGTGAGGCAGGTGAAGAAAGTAATATCGGGGAGATTACCAAACCCAAGTTCCCTATGAAATCCAAGACTACGATCACCAAGACCAAGTCTCCTCGAAAGCCTACTCGTGCCAGAAAGCTCAAAGAGTCCAACATCTGGACGAAAAAGGTTTCTGGGAAGCTCGGTGCCAAAAATGCTGCTGCCAGCAAGGTTGCCGCACACAAAGCAAAGGGTTCCAGAAAGTCCACCTTTGAGAAATATGCCACTGGAGCCGATTCGAAGAAGACCAAATCACGCTCAGGACAAAGTCGTCATAGAGGCCCAGAGCGCAAGGGAAATGCGGGCGACCGCAACCAAGGGCCCCCCCGGAGGCGCATGAGAAAACGCAACGACAAGCCACGACCCGTTTCTCCTCAAGGTTCAAACCCACCCTCCGGGCATTCCTCGCGTGTTTCTGCGGAGAGCGACAGATCAAAAACACCCAACCCACCACCGAGACCACAAACGCCCAGACCACAAACACCCAGCACAAGACCACCTAGCAACACCGCTCCGAAACCGCCTCTAAACTTGAACAAGCCACTTCCACCGACCCCTACCAATAGGTCACCTTCACCCGGGCCTGCCAATAGAATTCAGAATGCCATCAAGAAGGTCAAATCTTTTATCAAGCCCAAGAGAGGCTGAGCACTGACTTTCAGGCTTGATCTCACACTCTATCGCAGCTCATGGAGCACTCGGTGTACACATTGTGCGGAAACCATGAGACGCAGCAGGTCGGTCAGGCAAGGATGGGACGTAGATTAGGTAGATGATAATTGGAAAACTTTTCTCCTCGCTTCTTAAAGACTGGTCATAGAAATCGCCCCCCTTCTCCTCAAGTTATTTCCCTTACTACCAAATGGAGCAATCAACCAAAAGGTATTGGGGAATAAGACTTGTGACTATATTTCCTCAGGACTCGCGTGGTCTCGAATGGGGATGGTCGTCTGTGTCGGTGTTTTGTGAAATGTTCTATTTGAACTTGGTTGGCACGGCAAGTGTGGCAGACAACAAGGTGTCAAAGCTAAGGTCAGAGCTAATTGATTTGTGGAGTGCCTTAAGGCGCCTTTCATCACGTACTTCGATAACATCATGCCATGCCTTGCAATCAGTCTTATACCTCTTGCGTTAGAAGTGCTCAACAGCTAAGCACAGAGAGAACCAAGGAGAGAAAGGGAGGGAGCGGTAATGAGCTGGATTGTGTCGAGGATAGGTTTGGTCGATTTGTTGTGCCCGAACAAGCAAGGTGTGCAGAGTGTCTAAGGAGGTTGGAACGCGCCGTGGGATCGCAACACTTTCCCGCTGGCGACAATTATATAGCAGGTTGACTAGAAGCTTAGACAAAAAATCTAGGTATCTGAAGCTTCTAGGTGCGTAGATTCGATGCTATGAAGTGAAGGGGAGAAAGTGAGTTGAAGTCATAAAAAGGAAGTCGATTCGACCCAAGTCAATGTTAAGATTCATCGATGATGCATTAGCCCAAGCATGATTAGATATAGACGATCCTTTAACAACGATATACACTCGTATTTTCCGATATCCAAGACTCCAGCGCCCCAGTTCACCTACGCTCATTCGTAATGATTGAGTTTTGTTTTTGAAATGTACGCTCGAGATTGGAGCTACCCAATACCACCAGGATTGCGATGCAAGTCCTCAGCCCTCACGCAAATTTCGCTTTTAACAGACCCCTGCTAAGATCGACAGAGATTCCGAAAGGGGTTGCCGCTGCCAGTCAAGCGTGCCATCTTCCTGCACCATAAAATTGGCCGCCTCTTCGACGAGCTTCCATTCACCTGTCTCGTGGTCCATTTGCGACGACCTGAAGATGATGTTGGTCCCGAAATCCTCGAAGACAACTTCCCTCCTCCGTAGCCGTAGCCATTGGCTAGCCTCGTCATCTCCCATGGCAGCATATTCATCTTCCACCTGCTGGTTTCGGATCGCGATGGCTCTGAATACGCGGCTGTCCCGCAAGGCATTTCGAATAGGATATTGTCCCAGGATGCGTATGGACTCATTGCGCACCGCCGGATCTCTACATCCGAACGAGGCTATAAACAATGGCCATGTCCACCCGGAATCCATCGAGAAGCCGCAGCTGGGACGAGACTGCAGCAGCATTTCGGCCAACACGTTTATCTCATGGTACTGAGGGGTCAGGCCTTTAGCCGTGACCAGTCCAGAGTAGCGTGGGATGGCAGTGTATATGTACAGGATGAGGTACTCGATCCGCATATTCGCAGCTTGCATATATGTGTGCAGATCGTTCTGGCTGTTTCGAGTTGCCGCGATATACAGCGGGTCGAAGGCCTCGGCCCATCTCTGGAGCCAATACCGCGATTCTGCGACGAATTTGGCAATCCGTGGGTTCTGCTTCACGCTCTCCAGCTTCATCTCGAGCTCGTGCTCGTCGACCACTCTCGTCAAGTTGAGCTGTGCCGTGGTTGATGTGAGGACAGGGACATAGGCCACCATTTGCTTCTGGAGCAAGATCCAATAGCTCTGGGCTTCATCCTGAGTCTGGAATGCGCGTGGCATGTCGTCAAGAGAAACGACATGAGACTGCTTTGGGCGGAAATAAGGCGAATGTTTTGAGAAGGGCATGATGCCTGGCGGTCTCTGGGGAGGAGGTGACATCTTCGGATCACCTTGACTCTGAGGGCTCGGTTGGCTTTGAGGACTGGGTAAAGTCGAGTGGCTCTGCTGAGGAGTATTCGATCCAGGTCTCTGATGCCAAGGGGTTCCCGGAGTGCTGAGGGGGCTTTGCGCAGGAGGTGACTGCTGCTGCTGGTGCTGATTAGACCCAGACGGATGTCCCTGGATTGGGCTATTACTAGGGCCTGCCGAGGCCGGTGAGCTTGAATGCTGCTCGGCCGGTTTAGGTCCAGGAGGGAAGAAGAATTTTCTATACGACCCCATGAAAGATCTCGATTGTAGTTCAAGGGGCTTATAGCAGTCGAGGATTTCTGAGACGAGAGCAGGTGGTGCTGGTGCGATGCTGACAAGATCGTCGGCTTTGTCAGTACAAGCGGCGAGCTCATTCAACATGCTAAAGCCATGAGTGATATGCTTTAGAGCGGCAGGCATATTGGCTCGCTGGGTCTCGAAACAGATAAATAACAACGATGAAAGCATTGCGGTTCGCAAGTTCTCTCGGCTTGGTCTGGCCTTGGATTGGATTCGCAGAGCTTCACAGTAGTAGATGATGGCATTGAGATAATGTTTGTTGTCTGTGGGTAAAGTTGTTCCAACAAGCTGGCCTTCATCTAGGTAAGCTTTTCGCAGAGCGCCGATCGCCATAGCGCCATATCGAAGAGTAGGTTCTTCGAGAGTCAACTGAGGCATGGTGGCCGTCCAGAGCCGTGTGATATTCAGACCACCACTTAGGAACGTAACGGATAGAGACGTCCACTCGTCGAAGTAGGCCCTTTGATCGCTATTGCCGAACCGAACGGTATTAACGTCAGGCTCCATAAGCAGTTTCGATGCCTTCTTCGTGTGAATCAACTTGGCTGAGGTTCCCGCCTTCTTTGCTGACGAGGCCTCTTGCGGTGTGGTGTTGACATAGCCATCGCAATAGCCTCGCCATTTCATACAGTTAAGACACGAGGGCTTCGTTTCATCGCATTTCACATGGCGTTTTCTGCCAAGGGTTAGTGTCGATCGAAAAAGGGCAGTAGCTGACTTTGATGTATGTCCACTGCGTATTGCTCTTCGTTGTGAAATATATATCGGGAGTGACTCACTTGCCTAGCAAAACAAAGGTTAGTCGCGGCTTGAAGTCTATCAGGGGAAGAGACAAGAGGAACTGCATTTTCTGTCCTCTATTGCAGCCCTTTAGAGAATTACAGTAGGCAAAACAGGATGGCGGCATTACACAAAGCAAGACAACATGAGAGAGCAGCCCTCTGTGCATCCGCTGTCGTAGAGAAAGACATATCACTACTTACATGTGCTACACCCAGTGCGGGCACGAGTAGAACTTCGCCGGGTATGTCGAGTTCTCGTATCGAGAGCAAATCGATGCGTTGTTCCTCGATTTGCTGCACTTGAGTCGGGCTCGAGGCCCGGTGATGTTGCTGTGGCAGGCGATCGGGGCAAGCTGAACAAAGTCACCCGTTAACTCTGATCTTCCAGCAATATTATCGAAGGCCAATTCGAGATGACGGAGGGGTTGTGGTTTGACTTGAGAAAAAACGCATCCACCAACAACGTTGAAGCCCCCCCGACCTACACGGGTAGAAAGGAGACGCCGGTATTGTTGAGTAATCAATAAAGGATATTCAAGTCTGCTTTTGCTAGTTCCAAGCAACGCTGTCGCTACTAGCTACATGCTGTGTCTTGGCCGTTGCGCCAGGGCAAGCACACGACCACCAATATGAGAAAATTGAACCGCCCAACTCACCTAGACTGGCTGGGTCTTGGACCACCAGTGTTAATGATGGGGATCGAGAACTGAATCTCCATCGCGGCGCAACTGCAATTAATTACTTGCCGGCTTGGCGTGGTCACACAAAAGCCCCTGGGCTGCGATGCAAGGTTGAGTCGAAACCGGCAGTTAGGAACATTCGTCTATAGCTAGAAGATGGATAGGCCGAGAGGAAAATAAATAAGACAGATGGTACGGGAACACAAGTCAGAGATATAAACGAAAACAAGTCGATCTATAACTCTGCCGCAGCAGGGATGGAGGGAGGGGATCGAAAGTGAAGGGTCGTGTGAGTCGTCAGTGCGCGGTCGGTTACGGAGACGTATCGGGTGTGCTGTACGAAACCATGACTTATCGGTTTGCGATCAGAGAAAAAAGCTGGTAAATGCCGGTAAGGGGGGGCCCGGGTGATTTGCAGGTCGCGGGGGATGCGCAAGGAGCTGGGCGTTGGGAGGTAGGGATATGAATATGCCACGCCCGGCACGCCCTGGATGGCAATTAAGCTGTGAGGTGGTATTCGATGAAACGCTGGCAGACGGGCAAATAGCAGCTGGGGCACTATTAACGGCAGGCAGGCCGACGGTAGTATAAGGCAGGCTGCCACACAAGCGAAGATCCAGGCAGGGCGCGGAAGGGCGAGTGTAAATGTGCGGAATTAGGGGACGCGGAAGGGCCCGCCCACCGGACCCAGATATGACGAGTGCTTGCGATGAGCTAAAAAACGAGATCACCTTATGATCGGTAATTAAGCATGCTGGTCGGACATGTCAGTCGGCGCTCCTGAGGCGCCAGACTAAATTACGCCCATCAGAGAGCGTTATTTTAGCCAGCGCGGGCGAGTGATGTCCAGACTTCGGCACCGTCTAGCGGCAACACGAACGATGGAACTACACCTACCTACGTGTCCGCGCGCTACCAGCTGGCCTGGCGCCTTCGGGAACTTACTTTCCAGCTCAGATTGGCCAGGCCAAAGCCAATGCCAAGGAGGGGAGGACGAAGGAGGAAAAAGAAAATATTACTAACACCGCCATCACCACCTCGCCGCGAGACGCAGTGCAGATCTCTAGTCGTCTTGGCTGACCGGGGGTTGTCCCTCTCTCGAGGAAAACCTGATCCAGAGCCAGACTGCAGCCGGCTTTGGTTGCCTCTGTCCTGCGCTCACCCGCGCGTTTTTGCAGCCGCCTGTGCTGTGGATGGGTCGTGGCGAGCCTCCAAGAGACCAAAGCGTCTCCCTACAGCGCAGAACCCCCTTGTCCAGCGAGCACCTCAATGCCGTTCCAGGGTCCCAGCGAAAATGGGAACAGGTTGCAACACACCAGTTCCTGAACGTGGCGCAGGGGTTGCTGCCAGGGTGTGCCTGATATGTCGTGCCAATTTAAGATCCAGCTTGCATGGATTGACTGACGCCAGACATGCTTGGTCAAGCAGATTGGCGGAGTATGGCAGCGGGGAGTCAGGCAGACCGTGAGAAAAAAAGGCTGGCACGTGGAACCTCAGCAAGGATGATATCAATGGTGACCCGGCCTGACCTGACCTTGCGTGAAGGCTGAACGGAAGCTGAAGCTTGGTTGTCGATGTGATGGGGTGAAGCAGCAGCAGACCCTGGTCACCAGATGAGCATCCTATCTCCATATGCGCAGGGTAGCAGTGCAACCCTTCCTTGCTCCTCCGCTCCCTAAAACTCTGAACTGCTGCTACTGCGCGCTATGAATATCTTGCATGATACGTGCCACACTGTTGCGTTGCAGGTGGACAGCCGGGCGGGACGGGAAGGACTGGACAGGACGAAATCAGCCTGGGAGTGGAGGCGCCGCTCACGGCCTCTTTCTTACCGAGGAGGGGCGTTTAAAAAAAGGATTTTTAGTGAGTTTTAGTGAGCCAGCACGATGTCGAGGCTCCGCGCTGGTTCGTAGGAGGCCAATGTGGTACGATCGTGCATGTCACAGATGGAGCAAAAAGGGCTGGGATGGGTATGGGGAAGACCCCGATCGAGGAAATCAGGTCTCAAAGCCGAGCGCCGTCGTAGCTCCAGCCAAGGTAAGATCACACCGACCGAGCAGGGGCTTGGGCAGATAAAAAGACAAGCTGCCTCAGCTCCTACGGATCGAGCAAAGATCAGAGGCAAAGATCAGAGAGGCGGCATGGCTCGCTGGGTGGTGGCACAAGGAATTACACAATAGCTTTATCAATAATACAGGTGTATAACAGGATTTGTCAATCTCGATGAAATCACCAGACAATAATACGGGGCATTATATTGGTGAATCCTACCCGGCTGCTGATATTGATATTGCCCTGCGGTCGGCAGCAGAAAGCACCTGGGCGCGATCCCTGAGGGTTTGATCTGCATGTGCTGGATGGGACAGGATGGACTTAGGACAAAGCAGCCCCCAACAGGAATCGCCGGTGTGGTGCCAGACTCAGCTGTCACTGAATCTCTGCCGTATCTCGCGCCAATCTATCTTCCGTGGCACGTCGACCTGCATGATCAGGACATCAACTTTAACTCCGTTCGCGGTCCTCGGTGGTCAGTCTGCAAACATGCCACATCCTGGCATCACAACAACGGCGCGAGATGACGGCATGGTCGGCTACCAGTGGCCTCGCGTGCCTTTACCTACATAGTACATATGCACCTCGGGCAGACAGGGTCAATGCGGTGCGGGCTGGCAGCGAATGGGTGGAGGTATCCTATATGTACCTACATGGGAAGTGCCGGCCACCTATCGAGCCAACCACCTCAGCGTGCATCATTATCGGTTCACTTTTCTTTTCCCCAATAAAGTCGTGTGCCCCAATAAGCTAATGCCGGCCTAGCCAGGCGTTGCCATGCTTGACAGATGAGAACTAGCAGCTCTTGGTGGTGACGCCAAAAGAGTGCCGGAACCGATCCAGATTGGTCACCGCCGTTGGCGCCACCACCGCGGTGCAGCACGATGGATCGCTCAGTTCCGTTAGGGCTTCAACGTCATGCAGCTGAAAAGCATTTGCGTGGTGGGTGGATGGAGGGATACGATGCAATGGGATGCCATCAAGGGATTGACGCTGACCAGGGCGGCAGCTGATGTGTGTTGTGACTGATAGCAGCTGCACGAGTCCTTCAGCCGTTATCCGGGAGCATCCAACCCCATCGCGATGCAGGCTCAGGCCTCAGCCCAAAGCAGCATATCTCTTCCCAAATCTGCCTCGCTGGTTCACAAAAGCTTGGTCGACGTTGTATCGATCTGCCAACCTCTTTAACCCTTGTGAATCCCCTTCGAACCCACCCCAAGCATAGCGGGAGTTAGGTAGTTTTTGGCATTCACTCTCAGCCCCAGTCCACTGTCCACGTGTCGATGCATCCAGGTAGGCGGGTTGAGCCAATGATTCTGACAAAACCCCGGGCAAGCTGCAGTTATATTATGTAACGAGGCGGCGAGGGTGGCTCCCCGACAAAGTCTTCATCCAGGCCAAGCCCGCTCAGCCGATATCGTCCAGATGCAAGGCCTTGTCACCAACTCCGGTCTCCTTGGCGTCCCCCCCTCAAGTGAACAAAAGACCACTGCAGCTGGGAGCTAACCTGTGAAACACAAGTACCTGCATGGCAAATCAGGCTTGGACATGATACCCCGACCGATACTACTCCGTGTACACTATCGGTTGAGATGGAACCCCGACGGCGCAACCATTACGGCCTTCGGTGTATCTTGAAAAGGCTGGTTGGCAGCCATTTCTCCAACGGACGCGTTGCTTTAGCCCAAAATCGATAAGATCGGTCATCCACACCAGTTCATGCTTCCTGTCAATCACCTCACCAACCACTTGGGATTGACATGAACGAAGAGGGCAGGGCTGATTAAGTAATCGGAGAATCGGAGAAATACAGTGCTTCATCGACCAAAGCATTGAACGTCGATCTGTCGGTGAGGTTTCATCCTCCATAGTAGGTTTCCGATATAACCTTGTCCATTCCCTGCTGAAAGAAGAGATCGGAAGGCAAGGCAGGGTTGATCAGCCGCTCCGTTCAGCACGCGTCTTGGGATGCACTTCGAACCAGCCGCCCACAGAAATGTTACCACAGCCTCAAATCCCCCTCCTGCGAGCCAAGCAACAAATGCACGAAGCAAGGCGGAATCAATGGTCAGCAAGAGAACAAGGTGGAGAGTTGGAGAGGGGTATGACCACTCAAGCGATGGCTGTATGGTCATCAAGCGGCAGGATGGGCGGCTGGGGGGCGTGACCCGAGACAAGGTCATATGGGTTACATGATGAAGATTTCAATATTCAAACCTGGAAACCCCATGTTCGTCATTTCAGCTCATTGCCACTTGGTACGACCTAGGAATTTACCGGTACGGAACGCTCGCCCAAACAGAAGATGCTCGAATTCGCTCGACTCATGCCAGGAAGATGTGTTCCTCACAAGGGTAAGTCGGTATTGCTTCTGACATTACCATATTGGGTGGCATCGTGCGCTTGGGCAAGGCAACTACCTACTCCGAGTCCTCCCACCCGCATGGACACAAAATATCTCGTAGAGACTACTAAAGAAGGGTCGATTGTTTGGCTTCAACTGATGTCTAGACCACACGTGAGACACTATCTCAGAGGGTCTTTGGGGTCGCCTTGATCCTTTTCGCATCAGTCGTTGTGTGCGCTGATTTTACTCAAAAAGTGCATTGCATAACACCGCCCGAATAGAGGAGAAAGCCATTGTCCCACACTTCCATTCAAACCAGCCAACACCTGTTTAGACAATCTATTTCCAGCGGCCAGAATACTTGCCTGGGAGTCGACCCCAGAATTGGCCAGATGCGATGCCAAAGCTACACGCTACATGAAACCTTGACCTGTGTCGAATCCCCCAACCAGTAAACGAGGGTCAGTGGCCGGGTAGCAAGAGACGCTTGAGAGACAGAATTGGCAGGCAGAGTGAAGAGCTGCCCCTCAGACCATCAAATGCTATGGTTTTTATGTCGACTTGAACCTTCTTCTTAAGAGAGAAATGCAGGCAAGGCAAAAGAGGACCAAGCACCACTCCGCCCTGACATCTACTATCACAAATGCGCTCCGAAGCTTCCAAATTTCATAGCAGTGAGTGGTCATCTAACACAACGAGGCAAAGCATTATGAACGTCTCAGTATGTAGATAAGTAACAACTCGAAAGCCTTCATCTGGAGCCAATAATACTCCTCTCCCAAAGTCAAGCCGGCCAAAGGAGACCGAATGATCTCCCCCTTGTCCTTTATTCCAACAGTCCTTAAATTTTAACTCGGTTTCGTGCCTACCTACCTGCTTATGTGCCACCAACTGCTGCCAGCATATCCAACGGGAGGCCACAGGTCCTGAGGCACTGGTACTACATCATCCACCCGTCTAGACCGCCAAGGTTAGATGATGGGGAACAATGCGTTGATAGATACTTGCTGACCCAGCATACCCCTTGTCTCCTCTCTCATTGCTTTCCACTGAACAATGCATTTCGCCTGCTCGGGTAGTTGCAGAAGCACGTACATCTAGGTAGGCATCAAATGTCTCATAGAGAAGGTACATGTTTAGCTGCTCGTCTTAGTTCTGACCCCGAGCTCATCATGTTGTCAGCCGTCGGTCACTCTGAGCACTCTCATTCCTTCCCGCTTCCCGTTTTCTGCTTCCCCCCGAGGGAAGATGCATCGGAAGGCAGGTGCGATCTGGGTCACTGATCGTCGTCGTTCCTCAAGAGCGCAGCGTGCCTTCCGTACTCCAGGTACCTACCCGCTCCAGTTCAATGTCATTGTGTTGCCTGAGGCAGTACAACATTGAATGAATTCTACACCCTATCTACCTACCTACCTAGTCACTTCTATTCTCTTTCTACTTCTCCCTCCTCTCTTTCTACTTCTCCCTCCTCTCTTTCCTTCTTCTCGTTCCACAGCCCCCCTCAGCATTTGCGTTCGTGTACCGGGTCAATAGCAAACGGGGACTGCATTCATTGTGCGCCCCCCGGGCATTGTCCACCACTTGTATGTTTTTATTTCCTTACGCCCATGGGAAAGTTTCCAAAAACTTATTTTGACTTGGGACATATTACTGGCAGGAGACATCTAGTTTATCTAGACTCAGTTCTTAATTGGAGTACGAGGATCCAATTTCAACAGGTGATTGTATGTTGTCTTTTCTTTCTACCGTGACTCACTGCATGGTCCTCGATGTCAATTTCGGGTGTTCATCCTTTGCCATTTCTGAACCATAACTAATTGCATCTGCTGTGTCTGGCAGTCGAGGAAGTGAAGATGGAGGAAGAGGTGAGTAACTGCGTGAACTCCAACTTGGTGAGGAACTGTGAACCCAACAGCTAACCTCTGCTATCCATAGCTCTCAACCAGGGAGCTCATTTCGCTCCACGTGAAGCGGCGACAGCTCGCTCGAAGCGGGCTCGAAAGTTGGCAGCTCTTGCCAGAGCTGCCGTCGGAAGAAGAACTGAAGGGATCAGAACGAGCAGATCTCAGAGAGAACGATACGAGTTCTCCATATGAGTCCAAAATTGACTATCTTGAAACACAGTACCAACTGTGTCGTGTGGAGGGGACGGAATTGCTTCGAAGGACAGTAGTTCGGAACATGCGAAATCCAAACATAGGAGAAGATCACAACTCCTACAAGTATACCCAAGTAAGTCATGTTTTCTCACTTTATTGTCCTTTATTTCTTCTTTGGTCATACTCGGTTTAACTCTTGTTTTAGGTCTACGTACAAGGATACACGCTCTCGAGGTTAGGCCTAGCCTGCCGCATCAGTTTCTCGACAGAACAAAGCCAAACGACGATCGATTGGTCAAACTCGCCACGGTTGAAGGCGGGAACTATGATTGTATTGTCTCCTAAAAAATCTGGCTTTTCCCGGAAGTTCTTCGTTGCGAGCGTGGTAGCGCGACCAGTCTTGGGAGGCTTACTACCAGATGCTGGCGAAGCAGAGGACACTCCTCCCCGAATTGACATTATGTGGTCAAATCCAAAGGACGCCATACTAGACCCCAGTGTTGAGATGGTCATGCTCGAGTCCAATGGCGGGTATTTTGAAAGCGTCAGGCATTGCATGATCGGGCTACAACATGCCGCCCTCGAGAAGTAGGTTATTCGAGTCTCCTCATGAAGGACAGTTGTTAATATTTTAGAACGAAATTTGATAAGTATATCATCGATGGGTGTACGGATGAGTCCGAGGCCGAATATCTACAAAGGCCTGGTGTATTCACTCCATCAAAAGTCAAAAGCTTTGACGAGTCTCAGCACCAGGCATTCCACCGGATGACAACACAGGAATTGGCCATTGTTCAAGGACCCCCCGGGACCGGCAAAACATTCACATCTGTAGTTGCTCTCGAGAGTTTGGTTGAGACTCTCTTGGAGGCCGACGCCCCACCAATCATTGTTGCAGCCCAGACCAACCATGCTCTTGACCAAATTCTCTCAGCATGCATGGGAGAATTTGGGGCAAACATTGCGAGACTTGGCGGTCGCTCCAAGGAAGCTCAGATTGAAGAAAGAAGTTTGTTCAATTTGAGACTGAACTCAAAGCTGGGTTATAGCCGCGAGGAGTCTCAATACCGCAATGCCGCCGAAAAGGCCTGGAAAGCGGTGTGCACCCGTGTCCTAAACACCATCAACATGTGTTTCCCCAGTGACAACTCTACGTTGATTTCGCCTGATGTGTTTAGGCGCGAAGGGGTCCTGAACCAAAAGCAGTACGAGTCTCTATTGAACCCAGGCAACGAATTTGCCGACAAACGAGACGCTGGAAATGAGCCAGAGCCAATGGAGAGGTGGCTTGATCTCGACGCCAAAAAGGAGCGTCCGGAAGATGATGCCTCAGATCAGCCAGATGATCCAAATTTAAACAACAACTCGAGATTCGGCGAGCAAGATGAAAGAGAACGCCTCAGAGGCACTTTCATCCCTGTCAAAAGGTCCACAATGGTCCCGAGTAGCTCCAATACTATGCATCATCGTGCCTCGAAGCAGCTACAGTCTCGTTCCGACCTATACGATATCAAGCCGCAGTTAAGGTCCGCAGTCTACGACTATATGTGCCAGAAGCTCATTGACAAGGCAACGACGAGCTTCCCCAGCATCCTTGCAGAGTACCAAACCTGCTGCCAAGACCTTACGATCGCAAGACTAGAAAGAAGTGCCAAGGTCCTGCGCGACGAGAAAGTGAGCATTATCGGCTGTACAACGACTGGACTTGCCAAATATCGGGGCCTTATAAGCGCTATGAAACCTAAGATTCTTCTTATTGAAGAAGCTGCGGAAACACGTGAAGCAAATATTACCTGCGCATTATTGCCTTGCTTGGACCAGGTTATCTTAGTTGGTGATCACCAACAACTTGTCCCGCATGTCGATGTCAATGAGCTTGCCTCAAAGCCCTTCAACTTCGACGTATCACTCTTCCAACGACTGGTGGGCCTTCAATGTCCCTACTCAATGTTACAAACCCAGAGAAGAATGATTCCTAGCATTCGAGAGTTAATTCGAGGTTTCTATCCAGAGCTCAAGGATCACGAAACCGTTCTTGACCCCACGAAGCGACCGCTAATCCCTGGCATGGGTAAGACCAGCAGCTGGTGGGTTTCCCATGATTTCGTGGATTCTCGAAGTAGCACTATGTCCTATGTGAACTTCGACGAAGCCGAAATGATTGTAGGCTTTTCGCGATACCTCGTCCGAAACGGCGTCAAGCCAAGCGAGATCACGATCCTTACCTATTACAACGCCCAGCTCGAGCATATTACAACAGCCATCAGCGAAGATAAATTTCTCAGTTCTAAAAACCCCAACAATGAACTGTCAGTCCGAACAGTCGACGGGTTTCAAGGAGAGCAAAACGATGTGATCATTCTGTCTCTTGTCCGAGGCCAACCTGCCTCGGACCGCCCAACGGCAGGTTTTGTCGAGAACGTGAACCGTGCAGTCGTCGCTCTAAGCCGAGCAAAGAGGGGCCTATATGTATTCGGCAACGCCAAGAGTATTCTGCTCAGCAGCGCCACCAGCCATGACACCTGGGGCTTTGTCTACGAAACGTTCAAGCAGCAGGGCAGGATTGAGGACTACCTTCCAGTATCTTGCCAGACGCATGGAAATATTACTCCAATCCACAGGGCGGCTGACTGGGCATCGATTATTCCAGGAGGTTGTGCCAATACATGTGGTCTTAAACTCCCTTGTGGCCATGGATGCGTTGCACTTTGCCATGCGAAGTGCAAGTGTGCACATCTTTGCGAAAAGAACAATGAGAGCCTCTCTCAAAAGAGCTCAGAGCCGAAAAGCAAGCCTTCAAGTGTCACATCATACATTTCCAACGACAAATTACTCCAGGGCAACTTTCGCAGCTTATTCGGCTCACCAGACAACTCTACACCCCGAGAATCTCTTCAATCTCGGGTCAATGACTACTTGGCCCCTAATAGAGAAGAGCAACATTCAGAGCCATCTCTTGTGCGGGGCTGGAATGCACAAAGCATTGAAACAAACGACATGGTGCTCGAACAACACCGTAGAAAGAAGTCTTCCTCACAGGGCTCATCTGTTCAAATCCGAGAGACATTTACGCAAATAACGATTGACGATAAATGCCAACGTATTGTGGACGAGAGCAGCCTTCCAAAGATCAAAAAAACGAAGGTTGAGACAAATCTTCTCATTGACATAGACGAATAGGAGAGCTCTACGGTCAACGTGAATGAGGACTTGATTGATATGAGTCAGGACCTGATATAACCAGACTTAAGTCTCAAAATGGCGAAAAGGCAGAGAGAATCAAGGTTGAAAATGGGAGAAAATAAGAATTGTAACTTGCGAAATTATTCGACACGGAATAATTTCAAATAAGGTTTAGTGGCCGGCTGATTCCACCTTGGACTCTATTGGGAAGGCTTCCAAAGCTCAGGGCTCCAGGTATTCCTTGTGTATCACGGAGTTGGCATCCATTGTTCTCGCTATGCAATGATCAAATAAGATACATTCAATCATTAAACACACAGAGGTCTTATTTCTTGTGGGGTTCTCCCTAGTCCTTTCAGTATTAGGCAACAGTATCGTTTGTAACGTTGGGTCACCGAGAACAAACGAACGCGAGCAAAGAGAATAGATTGATTTGTCCTTTGATCTAATTACCACCGCCACCAATATACCCTTGTGTTGCTTGCCGCATGTGCAAAGTGTAGCAATGCTCCTAGACAGCCAATGCTCGTGTTCATACGACATACGGCCGAGCAACGCCAATCCCGACCTATACCAGCTCGTTCAGCCTGAATTTTGCGCAAGAATCATCTCGATCGGCCATTGTGTTACTTTTACTGACCCCTATGACCTATCGTGTGGATTTTGTGTCGGGGATGCTCTTCCAACACCCTCCAGACCAGATCGATTCTTGTGCCTGCCATGCAACTCCTGACTCAACATTCTTGACCGGGGATGACCGAAACCCTAGCGCCCATCAGGCGAAGTGGTTCCCCAAGAGTCTCAGAGACCGCAGTGACGTACTCATCGCACGTATAAAATTGAATTGGTGGCCAGGACTTGGTAGAAGACATTCTCACGGGGTAGGTCTCATCACACGTATAAAATTAATTGATGTTCAAGACTTGGGAATCGTTAGCTACCTAGGTAAGAAAGAGATAGTTATCTAAGGTAATTGACATTTCGCTACATGACCTTGTGTTAACACCGATTTCAGAAATGGCGATTTTTATCACTCAACGTCCTTTATGTATACGGAAGAGAGTTCGAGCATAAAATAAAAAACAACAATAGAAGATACCAGACCCGACATCTCAACACAATGAATAATGCCCTTCATGTATATACACGTTATCCCACAATCCTCCCAGGCCCCGTCTAGCTGGTGAGTTGAAACCGTCTGTAACTAAGAAGATGCCGAATCAGCTTGTTTCCATACCGACCTAAGTTGTAGCATCCGAGGATAGCCAGGAACAGAGCACAAGCAGTTCCTGTCCAGCCTCTCCACTTGCCTCCTCCATTGTCTTTAAACCTTGCTTTTGAATCTACACGGTGATTCAAGGGCTTTACCCAAAACGATCTGCGTGTCGTGAGAGGGAATCCTGAAAATGTAAGACCAGTTCTCCCTTCCTCCTCGACTTCCAACATTAAATTCTCCCCTTCGTATCCGACTCGCCTCAAAATGGTATCGTCACGGCATAGGAAAGGTGGTAAGTGGTACTGATTCGGTGGGCTGGCCCTTTCCCCCTTCTGCCTCACTCCCGGCCGGTCCTGGAAAAGAACATGACGAGTCCCGTCTTCAGAGATTAGTATGCAGTCATCTCGAGTCTGCTTTCTGTTTGCGCACGAGGTGTTGGGGCAAAGATAGAAGCCACAATGATCAAAATAGTCACGGGATACTACTCCGCAGACATCACAGCGGATCCTGGGCATATTTTGCGTGTTTTTCTGTGAGCCCCAGTCCTTCCTGTACCTCTGACGCCCCTAACATGCTTTTTCTTCTGTGCTGCTGATGGATTTACGTCAGAATTGATGGGCAGTGGCGGACATCCTTATACTTGTGGGCGTGGCCCAACACTCGGCCCATGGCATGGGGCGATGTGCTAACATTTCTTGATACAGTCCAAAGACTTGAGGCTCAGGTGGGTATTGTACTTTGCTTGGGTTTTAAAGCCTACTTGGAAGTTGTGGGCAGGATGTAGTCGGAGTTGCAGCAATTCACACAAGAAGAGGACAAAGTGCGAGCATTCAAACATAACGGACTTCTGTACAGAGATAAGTATGGGACCTGATCCTTACACCAATATTCAGGCGGACTGAGATTCACTGGCTAGTTAAAGGTTCAATCATGACTCATTAAAGCTATCCCGCTTGCTTGGTGGGCTTTCCAGTTCATTCTATCTCATGATTGTCTTTGTTTGGAAAAGTGTCCTAGGGTAAGCTCACACATCGCACTCTCCGCACAATTTTGAACAGCCTTTGTCTATACTGAGCATCATAGTATGTGAGATGTGGCGATCAAATCTAGCGCGTGGCTGTTTTTTGTGTTCGAGCGGCTAGAAAAACAGTCCGGCCAGCCACGTCGAGATCTGAAAGAATCGGAGTTGTATGCTCATGTGTTGGTTTTCGAGTCTGCGAACTCGTTTGGAAAAGGCGCAAACGATGTATATATAAGTTCTGGATTTGCTGCAGTTCATTCATTCTATTTCATAAAATTCTCGAGCAATACCACAACACGTATTTGTCTGCGCAAAGCGAGAAAACCTCTGAGCAGAAGAGCCAATTGCCCCGACAACCATCCAACTTGATCCAGAGACAGCTGAGCAAAGGAATACGAGGATCGGCGAATATGTGGCAGCGCCAGAAGGTGCCACATGATGCCCTCCAAGACGGGTGCTCTTGCATACCCGGGGACATAGAGCATCCTCGAGAGTACGAGGGGAGACGAAGTGATGACAAGGGAGGAATATCCAGGGAGCGAAGCCACGGAAAGAAGTCAAAGGCGGCATCAGGTCCGAGGTTCAGCTTCTTAGCCGCCCTGGCGATGATCTTTCTCCCCAGTCGAGACCTGGAGCGGTTAGAAAAGGCGAGGCAACATGCGAGAAAGCGCAGGAATCACGAGGACCAAAACCTCGGGAGGAGACCGAGCTCAGCAAGGCGCCAAAATTCAACAAGGACGCGGAGCGGAAGACAGGAATCGACTTCAAGGGTAAGCCGGTCGAAGAGTGGTGCTTCCAGGAACGAGAGGCGCCGAGGCGACGAGGGCAGTGACGAAGCATTCTCGTCCGGATTAACAAGGGGAGACTCGAAGAAGAGGAGTGAGCGCAAGCAAAATGAATGGAGCTACAGCCCGGCCAAGTCCGTGAGAAGTTTCTTCAACCACAAGAAGGGACAAAGGAGTCACTCTACCGCTCAAGACCAAGCCGATTTTGAGAAAGCCCCTTCTTTGTCTTCGGTGCCCTGGTACCGCCGAGCGAGCACCCGGCCAAGTGTCGCTTGCGACCCCATTCTAGAAACACAAGAAGAGGACATACCCCCTGTGCCGGAGAGACTGACCAGATGGCCAGAAATCAGGGACAACCATGGTAGATGCGAGGCATGGGTCGATGATTGTATGAGAGATCACCCAGCCCTTCGGCCGAGGAACAGTACAGAGAGACCTGAGTTTCAACCTGGGGGTTTGATTTGATCCTCAAAAATCCTACCCAACTGCTCAAGAACAGTCCATTCCACTAGGCGGCAATGGACTAGGGCGTATTGGTTTGGTAGTCAAACCAAAGTATGATCTAAGGTGGAAAGATGCTCTATGGTGCATTGCCTTTTAGGCAGTGCCTTAACCAATTGTATTATATATATGATGATACCACAGGCTCGAGTGAGGGAGCGATCGCTGTATATAATCATCTCGCCACTTTTTAGATAGTCGATCGTTTATAGTAATACTAATCCCCTTTGTCAAGAAAAGTCCATCAATTGATCGTGAGGAACCACCCAAGAAATACCAAAAGGCACGAATTCTGGAAGCTCACGATTCAACAGCCAGTTTTATAATATTCCTCTCTTCTTTCAAACAGCCTTAATATGCCACCTCTTCTTGTAGCATCTACTGTGACGAAGTATTGCATCCATATCTTGCGGGGCGAAGCAAAATGCCTTCCTACAAGGGTCTGACTGATCAACCCTGCCACATCAGTTCGCGAACTGGATCATAGTGGCTGAGCTGCCCAATCTCCATGAAGCGAGGAGACTTTACAAGCTAAAGTATTTCCTTCTAAATGTCTTTCATTCTTCATTGTTCTTGGTCTATGCTGTGTCAATACCTTCTTCCGGCAACCACTTGGCCCTCTACCCCTCTTCCAACCTCTGGCCCTAAATTCCACTCTCAGGAGAAAACTCGAAGATTGGTCCCCTAACCTTCTTCGCTGTTTTACCAAGTAGGAAGGATAGGGCGAAAAGTGTAGAAGAGGATAAATAGTAACCGCCCTGATGCCGATAAAGAAGCCTCCACCTGAGAAGTCCCTTCCGAATGCGTTCCCCGAATTCGACTTCGCTCTCAAGAGAGACACTGCGGATGTTGATTATATTCCCCGGATAGAAGGCGGTTACTTCCGCGCAGGGCTTCACCGTCCAATTCGCCCGTCGACCGGCCTTCCACCTTATCAATACTCCCCGCTCCCAAGCAGCAGTGAGTACGTCCGTTGCCTCGTTCTGCAACCTGGCCAAGAGGACGATGATGTCGTCATCAGTCTAGAGCCCACCCGGCTGGAAGGCTCCGGTCACAAGAGCTGTGGTGAGAATAAGACCGCCCCCTTTGAGGCCCTCTCGTATACTTGGGGCACATCCCGGCGGGATCGTCCCATCACCTGCGAGGGCGGCGAGATATTCGTCACACGCAGCCTGGACCTGGCCCTACGACGCTTACGCTGGTCGACGGGCCCGCCCAGGAGGCTCTGGGCTGACTCGATTTGCATTAACCAGGCTGATCCGGATGAGAAGGGGGCTCAAGTAGGGCTCATGGGAGACATATACTCGCGCGCCGAGCGAGTCCTCATTTACCTCGGCGCACACGATTACAACCTCGCCAAAGAAGCCATCTCGCTTATTAGTGATATCAACACTACAAAGCTGCATGAGATGACTTCCAAAGACGGAGTAGCTATCCCGTTCGCCCAGAATGACGACCCCATCATCGCCGATGAGCGTTGGAAGGCCTTCTCCCTCATGCTGCGCCAGATCTGGTTCACCCGCGGCTGGACCATCCAGGAGGCGTGACTAGCCCAGAACGCCGTCGTCCTCTGGGGCGAGAACGACCTCGACGTGCCCTGGCTGGACCTCGTCCGCACGTACCTCTGGGTCGAAGGGCGCGCTGTCAACGCCGGCCTAGGCCTGCGTCACGACCTCACCATGGCCGAGGTGCACCGCACCATGTTTGCGCGGGCTCGTCCGGCCGAGGCGCACTCGCTCGGCGTGGATGACTGCGACGGCAGCTTCCTCGAGCTGCTCGAGCAGGCCCGCGTGGTGGCCATGACGGACCCGCGCGACCGCATCTACGCCTTCTTGTCGCTCGCGGCGGCGGCTGGAGGGGAGGATGGCAGCGATGTCGATCTAATCCGTGCTATCCAGCCAAATTACAAGGACTCCTTTCACCACGCTTACTTGGAGTTTGCTCGCAGTTACGTCCGCTCGTCCCGGGATGGACGCCTTTTGCACCATGTGGTCCATGATGACGAGACACTCGCCGATGCGCAGCTCCCATCTTGGGTCCCACGCTGGAATATCGGTTATTACAACTCACGTATCCCCATCGGCCCTACGTGCATGACCGTCAACTTTCTCGATCTCAGCTCAGTGGCTAGCCAGCCGGAAAACTCGAACAGCAGTGACACCGACAGCTCAAGTCCCCGGGAATGGTGCCTGAAGACGCACGGCGTGCTCATGGACACCGTCACCTCGGTCCTCTCACTGCCAGCGCCCGAATCCCTCGACATCGGAGAACACATCGTGCCCCTCCTCGCCAGCACCTGGTTCGACCTGGAGGAGGCCGTGGAGGGAGGCCCTCCCGTGGCCTACGCGCCTCATATGGTCACGACGGCCGTGCTGCGGTGCCTGACCATGGGACGGCACGCGGGCGACCCCGAGACATGGCCGGACCACATGCTCGAGTACTGCCAGCATGTCAAGGCCCTGACCTTCGACTGGCTTCGCCGTCGGGGCAAGCTTGATGAGAGCGGAGACGAAGAAAAGGAGGACAAGCCAGTGGCCCCGGAAGAGGAGGACGACCAGCAGCAGGTCAGAGACTTCACACCGTCGCAGGGAGAGGAGCCAGAGAGCACTCCTCAGGACTTTCTAGAGTTAGTCATAGCCGAGCTCACCCGCCACGGAATAAGTTTACCCGTAGACAGCGCGGAAGAAGTAAAAGAGAACGATCCTACCCCAACCACCACCCTCGAAGCTGAAGATCGCCAGCGAGGGGACCTGTCCGATTCAGGCCGTGGCGTGGAAAAGGTCCACGACATCGTAAAGTCGTCCACCCGCAACAGAGTCTTCGTGAGAACAGCAAGGGGCTACTACGGGCTGGCGCCGGGCCCCACGACGGCTGGAGACGTCCTCGCCGTCTTGAGCGGAGGATATGTGCCCTTTGCGATGCGTCCGGTGGGAGGGGAAAGACAAAATGGCAACGCTGGCTGCTTCAAGGTTATCGGGCAGACGTGGGTCGAGAGCGCGATGCTTGGGCCGGTCTGCGATGAAGGACCAGGATGGCAAGATTGGAGGGCATGGGGCGCGGAGGAGGAGGAAATCATGCTCCTGTGAATAACATGTTGCCTTCTCGAGGCCGCCTTCGGTATGTTGGAGCGCCCGCCAGCCTGTTTTAGGTTGACAGATGTTTACTGGGTACGTGATCGTCGCCTCGAAGGCCTGTCTCATGGAAGTGATGTTATGATATGTGCATTTGTAAAGTGATAGGTGTGAAAAGTCGCTTGCCCATTTGCGCTTCTTGACCCCTTGCTAACGCCTATGTCTTGAAAGATAAAGATAGGTATAATATATGTTCCCAGGAAAGCTGTCAGCTTTTAAAACGCCCGTTAATTTTGGTTCTTGCCCATGGTATTCCAAGCTCCTTCGCTCAGAGTTCTTGTTTCATATCCTGACCTGTTCCTTAATCCTCAACAACATTAATCTCGTATCCAATCAAGACTTCGGTGCTACTACCTTCCCAGCCTCTGGTTCCAGCTGCGCTGAGCATGTACCTGCTGGTAGGGTCGACGTATAGGCTTGAGATGACGCCGGCACGCGGTGGGCCGGGGATAATCAGGAATGGGACTGTGGAATGCTTGAACGCTCTAGTATCCCGGAGGTCGTAAAGCCGCATAATATCATGCGAAGCACTATCGGAAGAAACTCATCATTAGCCATCAGGTCATGAAGAAGAAGGAAAAAGAGGTTACTCACCAAACGAGATGCCGCCCATTGACCATAGGCTTTACCGCGCTCACGGCTCCGCTACCAGCAGGAAATTTGAGCACCCGTTCGGGCTCCCACCCTCTCTTAGCTTTGCGCACGTCAAACTCCTCGACTGTGCCGTTACGTCTTCCAGCGTATATCATATTTCCGTCGGGACTCCAGCATGCGCTCATGCACCATGGAGGCACGCCCACTCTATTGCCAATGCGAGCTACAGGAGCCGGGACACGTTTGTCCCAGATTCGGATTATGCCATCCATAGCAGCGGATAGGAAGGTGTCTGGTGAGGTTTGCGAGGGGTCAAACTGCGTTTGGGGGCCTGATCCAGATAACAGCCTGGGAGACTGGGAAGCTCGTGAAGAATTTTGCACTCCATTGACTTCAGTATCCTCCCGTTTGAGCTCCTGGGCTACCTTTAACTGTTCTGAGTCGAGCTGAGGTCCATCAGTAGACGCCGATGGCTCCGATTTGATGTCTTGACTCTGAGTCGGCGCTTGTGAGAGATCTTCTGACGGAGGGGGGACGACTGGGTCCACGTCCATGGCATCATCTTCAGGAGCAGGCGCCGCCACTGCAGGCGCAGTCTCCTTTTCCTTGCTGTCTTCCATGCCTGCCATGGCCATGTCTGCTGAATGGTCCATGCCACCTCCATGTTCATGACCCGACATCATGTTCATACCTCCATGGTACTCATCCTCATCCTGCCCGAAAGGTTGCTCGCCAGCTGTTTCGCCAAAGAGACTTCCGGCATCGCTACCACCAAACAGACTTTCGTGGGCTGGAGAGGCCTGGCTCTCTGCGCCGCCGTTGAACGATGCGGTACCGTCAGCTCCTGGAGCGCCTGATCCCCTTGTAGAATCCCCATTGAGGAAACTAGTGCCGTTTGTGAATGGCTGAGCGTTGTTGGTTGAAATGGTATCCGACATGAAGGGCTCATCAGCATCAGCCGGGACGGGATCCCCGGACGCAGGACGTAGTTCAAGAGCAGAGATCTGACCACCGCTCCCTTCGAAGGACCGCTTGACCTGCCCCGTGTTGAGGTCCCAGTCAAAGATATTCTTATCCCACCCACCGCTCAGCACGCTTCGCTCATCCTGCGCTAACGACAGCACACTCACAGCGTTGGTATGCTGCTGTAAGCATGTGATCTTCTTCCCCTCATCGTGCCTCACACTCTGGAGGTTGATGCCCCCCGACTCCAGGCCCGAGAGCAACCACAGCGCTTGTGAGTGAACGGCCAGAGAGTAGACGGGCGACAGTACCGGATCGTGATCGCCGCCAGCCCCTCGACCCGATGGCTCCTCGTTCTCCCAGTATGACATGAGGATGCCAGCCTTGGTGACACTGTCCACAAACGGATGCCTCTGCGCAACAGTCAAGGCAAGCTTACCGTTAATAGTGCCCGGGCCATCGTACTTGCGAATGTAGCCATCCGACCCGCCGGTGAACCAGTATCTCAAATCGGGCGTGATGGCCATGGCGTTGACGCTTGTGGCCTGCGGCGCCGCCATCGTAGGCACAATGTCGTATAGGCGGGCGTTCAAGGCTTCGGGGCGAACAGACGGCCGGAACGGCCCTGGCTGTGCATCTTGGAATCCCTTCGCATCCCCGTTGGAGGTGGAAGTGCCCTCGTCTTCGCCTTCTCCCGAGGCCCCGTTGTCATCGCCTCCATCCGGCGCCGCTTTGCTCGACGAGGACTTGCCGTCTTGCTGCGTTTGCGACTGTGACTGGGACGGCGATTGCGCTTTCCGGTGCCCTTCCTCGCCCGCGGGCTCTGCGTTCTCCCCATCAGCGCTCTCGCCGTCATCGTTCTCGTCGTCGTTGTCCTCGTCATCATTGTCGTTGTCGTTGTCGTTGTCATTGTCCTCGTCATCGTCCGCCTCGCCGTCCGCATCGCCATCCGCGTCTCCATCCGCATCCGCATCCGCATCACCGTCGGCGTCGGCATCTGCGTCTCCCTCGCCGTCCGCATCCGCATCCTCCATTACCTCGTCGTTCTCGGCATCGTTGTCGTTCTCGTTGCCTCTGTCCAGCTCCGGCGAGCTACCAGAGAAATGGTCTTCTTCATCCATCTGCCAGGTGCTGTGTGTTTGCGCACGCGATCGGTTGTCGTCGGCGATGAGCCAGCCCCCGTCAATTGAAGGGAGTGTCACTCAGTGGCTTTCCAACCAATCGCTGTGTGGCGCACTGCTGCCACAGGAAGGCGGTCGCCCCGTCCCTCCAGCCAATAAGACCCTCCAGGGCTTGGCCTGCGCGTAAGGTCTAGGGTACGGGTGAGAGTGAGTGTAAAGTAGGGAAAACAGCAATCAAGATGCCAGACCTGACATCTCAACACAATGAATACGAAAGGTTGGAAAAATAATCTCTGCTATCCCAAGGCTGCAACTATGCAGAAGGAAAATTCTGTAAACCTTCATACCGATGACTCACTTGCCATCGAAAGGTCTAGGGTATTTCATTTTACTCTAAGCTAGGGCAACAAGGTGCCTTCGTTCAGGTACCGAGAGTTCAAGTCTAAAATATTGCTACGTAACTTGTCAGTCTAAGTTGATCGTGGCGCAAATCGTGTTTGGACGTTACTTTATTTGGAAGAATCCTGCTCCTCTCAAACAGAGGTCGAATTGCTTGCATAGAGTACGCAAACATAGAGAGGCGGGATGTATATTCCGAGTTCCCAGTCACTTCATAATGATTGTCCAATGGGGTATTCGATATGCCAATTAAGATCATAAGAACCGAGCTGACAAATTTCATCCGTTAAATTAACACACTTCATTATGACTCGACATCATACCCGCAACTCTCGGAGTCCCACGAACCGAGGGGCGCGAGCCGAACACACAATCTCATCTCGGAGCGAGCAGAGACACCGACAACTCGGGACCAACTTTGAGACAATCTTACAAACTCAGCTCAGCCCTCGAGCAAAACCCCGTAGTCCCCCCCAAGCCCCGGGGGGGGAGTGAGAGAAAATGAGCAGGTGATGGGTGCAAGCGGCCGCGCAGCAAGGGTGATCCTGCCCTCGCTGACAGCAGAAAGGGACAAGGCCAGCCGAGTTGAGAAGACTCGACAACTCGATTGAGTATGACGCCAGCCCTGGCCCGGGGTGGGAACTCTTGAAGGCAAAAAAATAAGAAAATCTCTTGGCCACGGCAACTTCCATGTTCAAGGATATCCTGGGAAAGAAGAGACGAGAGGGGGGAGAGAGACGACTAACCCACGAGCGACAAGCAGTTCGCAAAGTCCAAGCGCCCAACGGCTGGATCGTCCTCTCCCACCCCGCAAATCAGCGGAAGCGAGACACTTTCTCGTGCGGCCGTAAATGTGCCTTGATAATGGCATCTGAGACACATCTCGAGGCAGAACAGCCAGTCTCCATCTCTAAAGTCCACAATAGTTCGTCCATCTCGACAAGCAGCAAGCGCTTCTCTCGAGGAAGGACCTTTTGCCTGGGTATCGGAAATTGCAACCGCTTAGAGGTCGACCCAGTACAGCAGACGCCCCCCAATCTAGCGCAAGGGAAGCGAGTGAGCTAAGACGGAGCCTGGTCGATTCGCTGGGGGGTTCCGCACGCATGCACCCATGAACCATGGCCCGTGGAGTTTTTGCGAGAGGGGAGGGGGCCCAGCTATTCCCAAAGCAAGACCACGGAACGAACTGATGGGCATCTCAAAGAGGAACTGGCCTTGAGTGAGGAACTCGTCGTTCTCGCAAAGTCCAAACCCGTAATTCTTGGGCGCGAAAGTCTGGCCAAAGGGGGGCTGCGGGCAGGGGGCTGGCACTCATCTGAGACAGACTTGATGCGCCTTCGCTTTATCGCAGCGTCAATTGTGTGCCCGGCGCATGTCACGCAGCCCATGTCAATGGCTCCAGATCCGGTCCAAACATGGGGGGTCGTTCCAAACAGGTTCGCTGGTTGTTCATCGCCTGCATAATCCGAACGCTACGCTGCAGTCAGTTTGTACCTTACATGTAAGTAAGCCTACCATCAGACATTCCATTCCAGAGCCGCCCAGCATCTGCAGCAAACCATGAAACAAATACCACCCTTCCTCTCCCCTTAACCCCACGTGGACCGGCCAGCTCCCGCGACACGCACGAGGAAGGGAGGGGGGGGAAGAAAGACTCCAGTCAGCAAAAACCCAGCCCTTTTGCGTGCGTGATCTGGTTCCGGCCCTGCTTCCCGAAAGCCGTTTCACCAAATCCCTATCGCCTCACACAATCACCCCACAAGGCGGTTCGCTCCTTTCACGCGCACATGTGGTTCAAGACCCTGAAAGTTTTGCCCCCCCCACCTCTAACCCCTTGATATTCCACCTGCATCTGCCATATCGTCATTCCCACGAGAG